AACACGATTACGCTGAAACTACTTCAGCCACGGCTCATGTTCCGCAGACAAAGACCGAACCTGATTAATGCGCTGTCGACGAGTTTTCTGCGTGAACAAGTGCATATGATCGGCTAACTGCTGCACCGAATCCTCGACAGACTGTGATCTGCGGTCAACAATGTAGCATCCTTCATCTTGAGGACGCTCAATCAGATCCGCCATAAAGCACCCAAATCCAGATAAATTTGTCGTGATTGACGGTATGCCCATCTAACAGACAAGGATTATGTTTGTGCTCAGGCACGAATGTAGCCACGTACCACAGTGCACTCCGCTGGAGTGTATCCCCAAGGCTCGTAATAGCTCGGGAAAACCCCGAGATGCGTGCCTCGCACGAATTCCTCGTAGTCTAGCCCAAGAATAGGGTTCGAGCTGTTGAGGAAATCTGGGTGGAAAACGATTTTCACGCGATCCGACGCAGAGTTGAATAAGCGAACTCGGCGAATCTTAGTAAACATAGTTCAGCCTGCGAGAGGGAAAGAGAGATTGAAGCAGATCTGACTTGATTCAGTATCGGATCGTTGTTGTCGTCTGCCATGTTGTGGGTTGTTACAGGAGGCAGACTGTTGCGCTTGAGGGCAAAGATACGACGTTTAAGCAGTACGAGATCCTCGTCCGACAGAAGAGAGGAGACGTCGGGTAAACCAGCAGATGATTCTCTGCAATGCGTAAGGACAGCACGGGAGGAACACGGATGGGCGTCTCACGATTGGAATCTTGCCGCGGTTTCAAACAGTCTTTCGCCGATGCGGTTCTGAATCTCGGTAACCGCGTCCCGCAGTTGTTTGGTGACAGCTTGCCCCTTCAGCGCCTCAACAGTGTAGCTATGTGTTGCGGCAGGCATGATGATGAAAGCGACCACAGTTGTTTTTGAATTTCTGTGACGTCTGTGAGTCACCTGGAGGTGATAAATAGGAAGTTTCGAACGCTTTCTGAAGGAGATAATTTAGACGAGCCAAGGCCTCAATAAACATGTCGACACCCTTGTTCCGATATTCATAACGGCCTGCAGTAAACATCTGATCTCCGGTAAGTGTCAAAGTAAGAGCAGCTGCGTAGAAACCATACGTAGAGAGTGTGGTCCAAGTCGAAGTTGTAGTGACCGTAAAAGTGACCCCGGACAAATTCATCAATCTTGGCTTTGGAGGTCGCGTGGCGGTTCTGGAATTCGTGCATGGCCTGAAACTTGACGACATTGAGCCCGTTCGGAACGACACCATCGGGTTTCCTCTTGAGAAGATGCTCAGATTCGTAGGCTGTGATATGAGAAACCGTGGTGAAAACGTCAGCGCAATGCGTCGCACTGCGCTCTATGCAGTAGCGGTGATAGATGCCGCGTTTGCCCGCTTCGTGATCAACGTCAAAGTATTGGAGATTGTTGTAAAAGTCGACGCTACCGGCGCAGAGATAGCGACCGAGAAGGGTAGCGTGAGTGGTGAAAACGGTGGTGACGTCGATATGGCGCTTCCGGCACAAAGGAATCGCAACACCAGCTTGCCACTCGTGAAAATGAGCCACGACAGCAGTGGTGAGCTGGCGGGAGACATAATCCCCAAGGAACCACGCGACGATGTAGCCAAATACGATGGTCTCGTTCGTCTCTGTGTCATTGGGCGGGGAAGGAATACCAGCGAGGTTCCACAAATCGCCCTTCCACTCGTCAAGACGGTTATACATCGAGCCCGTGTCGAATAGTAGAACGTGAGGCGCGCCTTCGATGAGCCAACGTCCATACAAGCACTTCACGCCCTGCGAGCGCATTGAATCCAATGTCGCGGCGAGGTGCGGATCGGTGGGATCCTCGGCCTCTACCTCCATCGGCGCGGACTTATACGAGAGCGGGCCAATGAGACAGTATCGGTCGCCGTATTCACTGACTGTGACTGGGACTTTGGTCTTGATGACTGTGTATATGCCGCCGACCTTGTTGGCAACCTCCCAGGCACATTCGAATAGTAGACTTCGCAAAAGTATGAGAAAAAAACGCGTTGAAACCGGGGCATAGGACGTACGGGTTGCGAATGTCGCGAGACATGGGTGTAAGAGCAACAAGGAAAGATCGTGACGTAAGATCTTGACCCCACATCTCCTTTCTCCACACCTCCACATACCATCGGTAGCCACCGGTGGGCACGTGGCCCAATTTGTCGCGGTGCACCCCAGGCGAGAACTTGGATTTTCCAGCGTTGACGCGCCTGATGCCGGGACTTATTCTGCGTTCAAATGTTCTGCGCTCAGCTTGCATTATACACCAGATTCAAAGGTGCAACGCCGAAATGATGGATGTACCAGTATCAGCCTCCGTATAATCATCAAGCGATCATAGCAGTCAGTCTACACGATACAAGTTATATCTGCTTTTTCTGCTGCAGGCTCTTAGGGAGTTCCTTCACAAAAGGCAAGAATGTCCGTCCCTGCATGTAAGGCTGCAGCACTGGCGGAATTTGGAGTCCCTGCGAAGTGATGAGCTCCATGTGGTCGTGAATATCATGGTCCATACCGCATCAGTCTGGTAGTTCTCCACGATACAACACAGAGCCCGTTCTGTTGCACAAAGCGTTCCATTGAGCATATGCACGTAGACCTTACGCGCCTGATCCTTCGTTTTGATCCCACACCTCACTTCGAGCCGCCGGCTCTCTACAACCCTAATCAGTTATGCTCGAATGCCTGTCAGGAAGTGAACACTGACGGTAGTCCGTGCAATTAGAGCAAGAAACCAGCTCCTTGTGCTCTCTCTGGAAAGGGAACCAAGCTTCGAGATCGAACTTTTGGGCAGCAGCGAGATTGAGAGCACCCGAAACGATGGCCACAACGCGGTATCTGATCCCAAGACTTTGGTAGAATGCCTCGCTGTTCTCGATCATCGAATCAAATGCCTCCCAGCTCTTGTCGGGTGCGGTCAGGAGGAACTGCTCAATCTTCTCGAACTGGTGCACTCGGAAGATTCCCCACATATCGCGTCCGGCGCTACCAGCTTCTTTTCTGAAGCATGTTGAGTAGCCAGCATACTTGATTGGAAGTTGAGTTTCTGGCGATTCGAACCATTCCTCAGAGTGGAAAGCAGAAATTGGCTGCTCAGAAGTTGCAATCAGATACTTCTCGTCGTCCGAGCCAACAACCTGATCTGAAATCAGTCCGATCAACGTGCAGCTATCGTTGGTCTACTGACTTTATACAGTTCCTCGTCAAATTGATCCAGCTGTGCGGTTTTGGCCATCTGTTCCTTGTTCATCATGAAGGGCGGCTGGATCTTTTTGTATCCCTTTCCTCGCAGGAAATCGAGAGCGTAAGCAATGAGAGCCTGGTTCAGATCTACGCCGTCGTTTGTGAGGAAGTAGCCTCGGTGTCCTGCAATCTTTGCACCTGCGTACGAATCTGAGCCATCTTCCGTTGAATAGACTCCGCCTTCGTACCACGGTCCAAATCCATAGCGTCGAGTCTGAGGAGAACTTCATGATGAGGCATGATACCGGCTCGTACCGGCGGTTCATCGTTCTCTTGTTCCGGGTGCCAGGTTCGAATGGTGACATTGTCATCCTACTCTATAAGCTAAGCAGTTGGATTGACTTTCCAAATCGAAGGACAAACCTCAGTCAAGCTGACAGGGACGCCTTTTGCGACGATGTTGCCCACAGTGCTTGCTTTACGACGCATCGTCAGTTCAAATTCCTTCGCCTCTTTCCTGAGAGAATCCACTTTCGTATCCAACTCCTTCTTCTGCGCCACAAGCTCATCTGCAGAGTCTTTGGCCTGAGAGATTTGAGAAGCTCGAAGTCGGTTATCGATCATGCACCACTACCTTTTTCTTGGATGCAATTTGTTTCTGCATATCGTTGACCTCTTTCTTGATCTGATTCGCGTCAAAGTCCACTGGGAATCGGAACCGGACGTTAAGCGAGCGGTAACGAGTGGCACAGTGTAGAACGCGCACTTTTCACCCAATCTGCATACATCTGGATGATTTCATCGACCAGCTCGACCGATCCGCCACGACTACGCTGGGACTCCCGAATCTCCTGAGAGTTACCCCCCTTGTTGTCGATGAACTGCAGGATATCGAGAGTCATCTGGTTATGTGGTAGCCGTTGTTATCAAAGCGAACTTGTTTTGTGACTCGCAATCCTTGAGATCATGATCACCATCAGCTTGACGCGTATCACGTAATACAGGTAGGATCACGCCGGGGTGATGCCGATATTTGCCTAGCCCAAACACTCATCATGGCCTCCCTCCGTTTAGTCGCCTCCGCTGTGCGCCGTGCGCCCGCTGCACTGTCTCTTGGTAAACGAGGCTATGCTGAAGCGAGTGACAAAATCAAGCTCTCCCTCGCTCTTCCCCATCAGGTTCGTTGGCCTGCCAAGTGCAGCTCACGCAAAATTCATGGCCTCTTTCTAGTCCATCTTCTCCTCCGCCGATGTCGTGCAGGTCAACATCTGTGCTGCCACTGGTGACATGGGTATACTTGCCAACCATGTTCCGTCCGTCGAGCCTTTGCGTGCTGGAGTTGTTGAAGTCATAGAGTCCAGTGGATCCAAGAAGTGGTTTGGTGCGTCGCTTCCGCGCTTGACATTCCTCTATCTTAACTTTGACAGTATCTGGGGGATTCGCTACCGTGCACCCTGGCAACAAGCTCACTGTAAATGTCGTGGAGGCTGCACCGCTGGAGGAGTTTTCACCGGAGGTTCGTGTGTGGCTGGCTCACATCACCTCACCTCTCTCATGTTTCGTTCAGGCCATCCGCACTAACCTCCAGGAAGCTCTTCGTGTGGCTGGCGGCAACGGTTCAGAGGAAGACAAACTTGAAGCGCGTATTGAAGCTGATGTGTACGAGGCACTGCAGCATGCTGTAGCATCGAAGTAATTCCTTCTCGTCCCCTACATGAGCTTAAAATAGAAGATCACAAAGCTCCTTGTTCCGAGCATTCTGCGCTGCTAAATTGCCAACTGAGACCAAATGGTCGAGTCAGGCCGATCGATCGTCCGTGTAACCTTTCGCAATCCCGCTCCTTCCCTGCTCCAGCACACTGGGCGCGTCTTTCCCTAGTCGCATATTCAATCCTTGAAAGCTCCTTTCCTGTAAAGCTTGGGCTTGAACGGATACGAATGAGCTTCAATACCTAGCTAGTGCGTAACTCTTACATACCACCAAAATTCTCGGCTAGACCAACTGCGGAATCTGGGTTGCGTATTGTCAAAGCATCCAGTGATTCGGACAAGCCACGATTGTTGGTTTTGGTATCGTGTTTGTTCAGGCCAAATTGCTTTACAGTGCGATACTTGCCTGAGACGAGGGAGAATGTAGGTCGCTCGCTGTTGACATCTTCGGTTTCAGATTTGTCCTCTTCACTCGGAGAGGTGACATTGGCTTCGGAGAGAAGTGATCCAAAGTCGAGAACATAGCGGCCGCTCCAGCTGTGTTCCGCCTGCAACGCAGTCTCAAGCTCGAATGGTGTCACGACCGGACGCAAAAATTCCTGTAATCATAGTTCAGTGAGGAACGGAGAACCAGACTCGCCACACTTTGTTGTCAATGAGTGAGTTTTCGGGACATGCCACAAGCACAAAACATTCGACTTCAATAAAATTGGCGAGTTTGGCCGGATTGAGTTTGCCCACGCAGAGGGTGTAGCTTTTCTTATTCGCGCGCGATATCAATCCCCGGAGATGCTTGATGAGAGGAAGATAAGATGCTTCGGACGAGTCAGACGGAGTGGAGAGATGGGAAAGGGGAAGACTGACCCACACCGAGAGTTCCAACAAGAATGCCGAAAACATCGCAATCGCGCGCTTTCTGGACAATTGCGTACCGCCGCATGAGAAGGCGGTTTGTGATCGAGGACTCCAGACGTGCTGTATTGTTTATGGGATCATACGAGTACACCTGAAATGTTCAATCGTCACGAGGAAAGTTGGCTTCAGCACTCACATTGACGCCGGAATGTGTTATGAGGATGTTGGCCAAGCGAAGCCCTTCGCCACCGATGTATACGATGCTGGAGTGGTCAGAAGATCGGGGTCCCTTGGTCTCGATTGAGGTAGTTGAACCTGGTTCGAATGAGTGTGTGATCGATTTCATGGCTATTGGAACTTGAAGCTTTGAATGAAGAGCATCGCGGAGACTAGCTATCCCAACTAAATCAAGTGATATCAGAGTAAGGGAAATCAAATCACCCATGCGGTGCGAGTAAGCCCCTTCAAACATCAGCTCCACACTGGCGCCGTCGAGCTCCAATACTTTGGACAAGGCGGAGACGCAGTGGTCGATATTGATACCCTGCTTGCCAAAGACATAGATCACAGGAAGACGGGATGTCCTGAAAATTACTGTGACTGTGATTGAGGATCGGTCAAGAGAGATGTACGGACTTGCTCATGCAGGCGCGACCATAATGTACAACAGCTTCAGCATCGACATGTTGCGCTGCCACTTCATCTACGCAGCAGCTAATGACATCGATTCAGAAAAATACCAGGGAACATACACCAGCAACACACCTACCTCCCATACGATGTGTCCGCCAGTACATAGAACTCCCTCCCCATCCCTCCAAGTGCATCTTTCAATCTCCGATACACCGGCACCGAATCATGAAGCAGATCATCCGGAAACTGAAGCGCGATTCGCTTGTATTCTGCCCGGGATATTTCCTCAATCGTGCGTGGAATGTCGTAGTATTCATCCAGTTCAGGAGGCGTGAAGAAGGTCACAGGCGCTCCCGGAGCGAGTGGAAGCGGCCGAGAGATCACATCGGTGTCCGATGAAGAGAATGCAGCCATCTTTGGAAATGTTGTGTTCGTAAGACTAGATTTTAGAGCAGCACTCCCCCAATCAGCAATCTTGTGCGAGGAAAGATCGTAACGATCAGAGCGACGTCGGCGAACGCCGCAAGGGCAGAATCGCATCATTTCATCACAGCCACTCCACTGCTCTACCACCATACCACCATGCACGCCTCTGTAGCCCGCCGCACCCTTAGCGGCCTTGTGCCTCCCAAAATTGCCACACCTAAGCTCGTCGTATGTATACATGAGTTTTTACACCATTCACTGGCTCAACGCCACATGTTTGTTTTCAGTCGGGCGACTCCGCCGGTCCCCTTGGTCCGCTTGTCTCCTTCTACTCGAAACTTCCCAAGGGCCCCGCCCCCGTGCCGGCTGTTCAAGGCATAAAGGGACGCTACTTCAGCGGAAAGAACGCCAGTGCGAAGCCTGCTCTGGTTCTTATCGGTGGATTGTGGCTTCTCGGGTACACCATAGACTACCAGAGTGCGTCTGTTCGGCATTCTTGGGGCCATTTCATTGTGCTGATGTCTCAATTTCCGACTGCAGTGCACCTGAGTGAGGCTGAGCAAGCCATCTTTACATCCTGGGCATTTACTAACGTGTCTGCCAGAGCACCACAAGAACAACGCGCACTAGAGTGGCATGGCTCTGGACGGAGGATGAATGGTAGCCGAGCTTGCGCACTGCAGAACTGCTGTAGATATCGAAATGGAATGACCCTCGATTTATGCCTGCTCCTGAATCGTCCGTTACTTTCCTGGCTTTGGTGGTCGCAGTCCGGACCATGTTGAACTTTCGCCTCCTTTCTTCGTGAGTTGGCAAGTGTTGCACCTGATCATCAAGTTGTCCCGCTCGTTCATGGTATGCACCTCGCAGTGCTGGTAGCTAATGAGTTTGTGCCGACAGTTCGTATCCAAGCAGAGCAAAGCTCCTTTCAACAATCGCCAGATCCAAGTAGAGATCACTGTCTCTTTCAGCTTACTCAGACAAGCTTGGACTCTGCCACCTTGCTCTGCATCCTTTTTTCTACCACCACACCCATACTCGAGCTGATGCAAATCCAGGAGACGGGGGCACAGGCACTGGATCAGCTTCCAGCCTGCGTTCATCGCGCGGTCGTATCCTACATCCTACCTCGGACTCGCGAGAAGGACGGGCCCGTGCTTATATGAGTGAAAATCTATCTTCCGTCCGAAGGCCGAGTGGGATTGGCAGGTCTTTGACGAGTATCGCATTGGATTCCGACTCCGGGGAAGACGAGAGCATTCAAAAGGGTGGTGTCATGGGGAGTCTCGCTTACGAGCTGACCCTCTGCCACGAGCGCTGCTGGGATCGCCGACGGACGAGCTCTACAGCCTCATTGAAGATAATCCGTCCCCGGTCCAATTCTCGGAGTCTGGCGACTATTGCCACCCACCCGGCGGTCGCAAAGTCACAGCAGACTGAACCGACTGGATTGCAGGTCAAACGGAAACGTCCGCAAGCTTTGGACGGCGCAGAGAAGTTTGGCGGGGAGGAAACCGAGGTCAAGGAGCGTTTTCTACGCCGAAGGGCCGTGGAGTCTTCGGGTTTGGGGGGAAACAGTGGCATCAGCGAGAAAATCAGCACCTCAGCAAGACATCTTCCTAGCGAGAGAACATGATGTTAGTCAAAACTCCGGCGGTGAACCAATCCAATATAGCAATTGGAGCATCGGCCCGCCCATTTCCTATTCGTTTGACCGAGTCCCAAATCTTCGGCGGAGGAACTATGCGTACAATCACAGACGCACTGTTCGACGAGAATCGTCAGCTGCGTATCGTTTCCGGCTCTAGGACTACCCAGTTCGCGTTCTCTGCATTTCGTTCCAAGGTGGCCGGTCTGCATTTGAAACCTGGGATCTATGCAAGAATCAGTCATGAGTGGTTGAAGATCTCTAGTAATCACGGGACAGAACTAAAACAATCCGGCTATCGGGGATTTTCTGGTCGGCCCGCTGCTGCTAGAGCTGCATTTGGCCGATTCGCCAAAATGGCATGAACTGCCAATTTCTCAACCGGGCGCGACGATCGTCGATCTCACATATATCAGTACGAGCGTTGCGCCGACGCATCCGCCCTCGATTCAAAGTAGGCAGCAGCTTCCGCCTTTCTCAATCCGCTACGAAGGAGCGACGACGATCACCGCCACCGGCGAATTTATACCTATGGACCCCAGTAAAGGCATTGCCGTTGGCGTCACCTGGCATAAAGGAGCTGCAAAGCCGGAGTCACAAGGCAAACAGCATCGTAGCTGGTCGTGCCCTTTCGTGATCCCGGTTCCGACATGGCTAGTTGCAAAATGCGAGGCACGTGTTTTTGAAATGAATGCACTCGTTTACATCAGCGGGAAGCAGATCCCGTCGGGTCTTGTTCGCGTCAGTGTTTCGTCGTTAAGATCGGATAAAGAGATGGCTTCAATTCCCAGGTGATTTGTATTCAATGTTGCGTACGAAGTTGGTATGTACTTGCTTATCCGTGGGGATCAATCGATACTTTTGGCTCCTTACGAGGCAGGGCAAAAGGTGACAGTATACGACGGCTGAGCACCAGTCGGGCAAGTGAAGAGCGAGGTCAGATCGTCGTAAGCGTAAGCGTAAGCCAATGGGCAGGCTTGTTCTGCAGAGTCGTTGGTCAGCTTCACCTTCTGCAGTCGGAGAAAACAGCGTACTGAAGTAGGAGTAATGCCCAACACCGGAAGACGGGCAACTTTGCACAGATCAGAGAGGAGCCTGGTCAATGCTCAAGAAGACTCACGTAGCAGGCGTGTCATGAATTCCACTGCAGCAGCTGGGGTTGTCGTCTGGAGCATAATTGTAAGTATACAGCGAAATCACATGGGAGAATGTAAACATACTCGGATGGCCGTTGAGCGCGTCAACATAGCATTGGCTCTTGCAGCCGACGGGAAAGCCAGATGAATCGAATGGTCCTTTGAGCTCAGCAGGGCAGTTGGGCCCAAGGTCAACGGGACACTCAGAGAGAGCGCAACCTGCCGTGTTGTCGATCCGAACGCTAAACAGATGTCAGGCAGATGTCACCATCGGCACAGACGACTGGACGAACGGGAGGTTGTATCCATCGACGACGGAGACTGCCGGATGTTCTAGCGAGCGAAGACAAGGTGCATGGGATGCGTACCATCGTAGTAATCGGTGCTTCCGCCGTTCGCCCCGAGGTTGAACTCCGCCAATGACGCAGGCGGAACACCAGTGCCAGTGGCACGATCGCAGAGCAATCCACCGTTGCAGCCCCCATCCAGGCAGGAGTTGGGGCCCGGGTTGTTCGAGAAATCGCAGTTGCGACGACCCCAGATACGTCCGTTCTAGTCATGGTGAGAAAGACACGGTAAACTTGCAAGAGCACACAAACCCAATCATTCGGGATGTCGAAAGTGACTGCGCTGAAGGCACCAGCGGCCCATCCCGTAGGATAGTTGGGAGTACCTCCAGCACTGGTGAAGTACGCAGGCCTGCACAAGTGTGAACCTTGCGGGACACAGGCATCAATCTTCACTGGCTTACCAGATAGTGAACGGGCTGAAGGTCGCATCGTCAGCGGAAGTCCATGACCGAACAATTGGGGGACCCACCATGCGTTGTACACAGTCATCGTCCGCGCGGTCGCGGCAGACGCCAGAGCGAGAGAGATAGCGATTGACTTCATGGCTGGGATGGGAGATACCAAGACGAAAGCGACTAGTTTTCGTTGGGTCTCCCTTCTCCTCTGACCTCACTTATATATGTATCAGAGAAGCCCTGATCTCGGGCGCTTGCAGATCTTCATAAGCGGACCGTTGCCGACATATCAGTCTAAAACACGCATGTGCGGGGAGTTGAAGATGGGCCATCACTTTGTTGCACAGATCCTGCCTTGTCTCCCAGTCGGTCGAGTGCTGTAGATCGTCTTGGCATATGTAAGAGGCGGGCCGGCGGCATAAGAGATTGACAATCTCATGATTGGGACAGGCTAACCCACACGTGACTATTGGAGCACAAAGGCCGTCATGATCAACGAGCCGATGATGATGGCATGTGAATGTAGCTCAAAGTTTTCTGCCGCCTGCGCGGAATGCATTGCAGGTGTTGATATATTTCAGGCAAACGATGTTACCTAGAGGGCCTGTGGGTGAGAAGAAGAAAGTCTTGTCTACGGAAATAAGATCCAGCCCTCATGTTCCTAGTTGCAACCTTTGCGGTTCCATTTATTCATCCATCAATCCTTCCATCATCCCGTCCCCATCAGCTCTAGGTGCGTTAGGTGTGTTTCAGAGTCGACTTGCGGTTTCTCTGGTGGCTCCATGTCTAGATGTCCGTTCCGCGCAACCAGGCGCCCAGAGAAGCCTTGCGTAAAGCTCACTATCACGTCGTTCTCTAAAACCCTCGGAAGTACAGCTGACCCCTGTCTCCCACAGATGTCGATTGCAAGATTCCAGCACACAGACACCATCAAGATTCAAGATTGTCCAATTCTCCGGGCGTTCTGAATTTGAATTGCGAAAGGGCTGAAAGGGCTTCCGAGAGTCGGACTGCTCACTGCCATGTTGAACAAGTGCTGAAATGTTTCGACAAGCTGACGAATTGTAGAGGCTTGCCTAAAACACACATCCTGTCGCAACCTGCTTGTGGCAACTACCGCCAACTACAGCAACCGACTGCGGCGACACATGGGGATCCCGGCAGAGATATGCGTGACTTATCCTGGAAGGATGGGCATGAGCAGATGACACCGCACAAAAGATTCTAATATTTATAAATAGTATTTATACCAATATATCATATCTTGTCTCGAATCAAATCCAGCGGGAATCGGACTAAAAATTTCGAGCTTCCTCTTGTGCAATCCATCAGCACTCAGCCTCCAGTTCAAATGATCAACGAGCTACTGGGACTGTGCGCACCAACGACCGTGAAAGCAAAGTAAGCCTATCCGATTGAAGTAGTGACACAAGATCAGGCTTCAAGGTCCGAAATTTCAGGCTTCATTTGGTGGGATCGAACGCAGGAACGACGCTTCTACGGCGTTGCATTCAGACAGCGTCCAGGGCCAAAGTGTAACGAAATCACTCGTCGCGCATAAGCAACGGCATGTTCCGAACCCTAACCCACAACTCTGCTTCTACCTCGTGTTACTCACCATCCTACGTTCTTTCCCAGTCAGCTCTAATCCTTCCCCGTCTTCGACGACGACGGTGCCCGTCCGATGGTTATGTCTTCCGGATCTGGGGGACCTAAACCGCTCGAAAAAGGCGATGCGCCTCTGGACAAAAGCACCACTAACGGAAACAGCGACGAAACGCACGCGCTATCGCTACAAGAAGCAACCAGGAATTCTACAGCGTTATGGCAGCAGGATCTGGCGACGCTTTTTCGAAACTCAAAGGATCGGTTCCCCGACGTGGTATGGGAGCTCAAGAATGTCGAGGGTGAAGTGATCAAGGGTATTGAAGAAGTCTGGGGACACAAAGGTGGGTGCATTGTTTTATCAGTGCCTACCTGGACCCATACCGTCTACTATATCACCAGAATAACTCTTTGCTGACTATTTGCACTCACAGCCATCGTTTACGCTCGCGCGCCGCCGTCGTTCCAGTCTCGGTACTTTTCGTTTCGTCCACAAGACCCGCACCGCGACTCTCCAGGTCTAGGCACTTCCGTCCTCTCGCTCGACTTTCGCGGATCACCATCTCCCTTCCACAACGGAACTTCGTCGCCCGCTCCGTCGACCACGGTCGGCGGCATCACGCGCCTTACTACAAGCATCAATTCGGCGCTCTTTTCCAATGAACTCGAATACCTCTACACAGGCCAAGGTTTCGGAGAAGCCTTCGAGTTTCTGTTCGATGAGCAGGGTGGTACTGCGGAGGGTGACGAAGACGGAGAGGAGATGCGCATTGATAAGCTCAGGAAGGATCTGGTGTTCATGTGGCGGTCTAGATTGTACTCGGATGTGCGGATTGCACTAGTGAGCAACGGGTCTGTCGCGACGGACCAGGGCGGAGACAGAGATGAAGATGATCACGACAAGCAGATGCCCGTGTTTTCTTCGCATCGGTTTATCCTGGCCTCGCGGTGCCCATACTTCCACACTGCCCTTCTTTCGTGGCCAGGGCCCCAGAAGCCACTCACGTCTAGCGCATCGAACCACGAGCCGTTGATTCTGAATCTCCCGTCGCCTCCATTCACTCCAGCCTCTCTGCACTTTACACTTGGATTTCTTTATACAGGCACACTGGTCTTCTCTCATCGCACGTACGATCTCACCACTGCACTTGCTCTCTTGCAGTCCGCCAACTACCTTTCAATTCCTGCTTTGTACGAAGAAGTGAGGGGGCGGATAGTCGTCGAGATGGCACATGGGCTTTTCCACGCCGCGCTACCGTTTCCGGCTTACGAAGCCATGACCGGAGGGGTCTGGGGTGGGGGCGGTTCGCGGTCTCGCAATGCATTGCCGAGCTCCACTGGAGGTAGCGTCGGCGGTTGCACGTGCCGTCGCTGCACGCTCAGAATCCCACGTATCTTGACGTTTGCTCTGCGGAACGACGTTCACGATCCCATCCTCGAACGCGGTTCTCGGCGCGCTTTGGTTGGGCTGTTTGGGCTAGGATGGTGCACTGAGGAATTTGGACGACTGGAAGGCAAGATCCACGCTGCTGCCTTGCGGGGGCTGGCCAAACGCACTTCCGCCGAAAGCGGTAATGTACTGCGTATTTTATGGGCTGCTGAGGCGGCACGCGCGAAATTGACTGGTGTTGACAACGGCTTGGGCAAAGGCGGAATGAAACTGGGCGGATCGGGTCGAGGTGCCCAAAAAAGCGACGAGGATTGGGTGGATATCGTTCGGCCACTTATTGAAGCAGCAAGAACGCAAGCCGACAAAGTTATGGCCGATCAAACTGCATTGGTGTTTGCCAGCGGGGAGTGGATGGAGATCGTCCAGAATCAGGGTGCCCGCTTCGATGACGCGGAGCGAGTCGAGTTGTCAATGCGAAGTATCGTCAGAGGTTTGAGGGAATCGAACGCGGGAAGAGTGTATCAGGTGAGTATCTTTTCTCGTGTCGATGGACTTACCTCAGCCTATGTAGGCTCTAGTCAATGTGCTGTTGTTACCGGCGGAGGGGAATGAGGAGTTTCCTCGTGACCAAAATGGATTTCCGGCTCAACCGCTTTTGGCGCAGACAAGCCACGTCCGAGTTCAGGTCGAACAAGCCAGGTCTGTCTGTTTCTATTATGTGCTGTTTGTTCTGTGCCTGTGAACGGGCCTGAAACTTATGCATTTTCGCTGTCTTGTCTTGTATGCTCAATGCCCTTATGCAGAATGGATGTGTTGGCATGGCTGAAGCGTGGCGGCCACGGTCGTGCCGATAGGGTTGCACGGGAAGGTGGCTTGGACGGCGTGCAAGGCTGGGCGATCAGCGAAATCGCCGATGGTGCGTGACTTGTCTCTGAGAGCTATTCTAGGCAATGACAATTTCATTCAGCATTGGATCTGCGAGCCGACGATCTGACGGCCGCCATACCCACATCAAGCACAATTTCGGTCCCTAACCATGCCCGGCAGACCACAGCATCGACCTCGGCTGCCCATGCCCGCAAGTCGACTGGTTTACTGAGTGCCCGAGCGCAGGACAGGGAGGAAACCCGGAGCTTGAGCATTCACACGCAACAGAGCAGCATGCGGGTCAGTGTCCTCAGCAAGGGTATCTCGACCCCAACAGCCAGAAGCGTCCGAAAGCAGGAAAGCAGAGATGAGGAAATTGGGGATCGGCCGGACTCGAAGTTGACTCCCCAGATGGGTGTGATGGATCTCGACCGGGATTCTCCGTCTTCCAGTCCGTCGTCGCCCAAAGTGCCTCTTTCGCCGTCTCCTTCTCCACGACCAGCAGCTCCGACGCGGTCTTTGCCGTCCTCACCGTCAACGACATCTCTTGCAAGCTCAACGACTGGACCTAAATACGCTCGTTCAGGCATCAGCGTCAATGTTTCCCCTGCCCCGAGACCCCGAAGCTCTGCTAGTACTAGGAGCACAGCCACTGTTCGTTCGACAGCCACGACCAGGGGATTGACCAGGGGATTGCATGTTCCAAGTGCAACCATAAGACGAACGAGCACTGCCAGCACCTCCAGTGCAGCGGAGTTCAAGACTGCGCTAAGCACAGCTGCGTCCTCGACGAGATCCCGTTCGCGGCAGAATTCGGTCTCGTCGACGAGTGTGAGGAGTCGGAAAACGAGTGGAGCATCAGACGCGTCTGTCTCGGCCACAAGTCCGTCGCGGACAACTCCTGGGCCAACAGCAGCAGCAAAGAAAAGAGTCGGGACACCGAGCATTCGTAGTGTCGCTGGTGCCAGCGTTCGGAGCACGAGCACGATGGACACTGCTACCAGTGCGGCGAGACGAAGTGCTACCGCCAAAGAGAAGAAGCCCGAGGTCAAAGTCATCACATTGAAGCATCGGCCCCGGGCTGCCACTGGGGCTAGTACTAAAAGCAACAAAGGGAAAGAGAAGGAGGAAGAGAAACCAGAGAAGCCGCAACCACCGTCACCGCCGACATCCGAGATGGACGTGGACATGGTCTCCATATCAAATGCGTCCGGTACTTCCAACATTTCCGGGACGACAGACAAGGACCACCGCAAGACGGACAGCACTGCTAGTGTCTCGACATTGCGCGCCAAGCGACGTGACTCAGCCGCCACAATCTCGACAGCGACTACCAAACGTCCGGTGACGTCACTGGGCGCGCCCGCTGTACGTGGCGCAATGCTCGAAATCGGGATCCCATGCATTATTTCCACGAAACGACGCCGATTCAAAGCATTCGCTCGGTACATTGGTGAAGTGCAAGGCGAGTCGGGGCCGTGGGTCGGCGTCGAGGTACCTGCCAGCACGGCCGAGTCGCTCATGTCCAGCCAGCAGTGGAACGACGGCTCATGGGGTGGAGTGCGCTACTTTGAAATTGGTGCATCTGGCGATGATTGGGAATACGGCGATCGAGCCGATGAAGGTCGAGCCCGGAGACGGAAGGAGGGAAGCACCAGCACCGTCGGCGTGAAGCGCAGTGGGGACAGCACGCTCTCAGCTGGGCGCTCCACGAAACGCATCAGGAGCTCTAGTCCCAGTGCTTCAGATTCTGAAATCGGAGCAAGGGGTCTCTTCGTCCGGCCATCGGCGGTCTTGTATGTCGTCGATGCTGTGGGTGCGGATCTGTGATAATAGGGGATACCAACGGTGACATGCTTTATACCAGTACCCAAACACTCATTTTATTTCTTTTATTCTCGTTCCCTAATACATCCATTCGTTAATGTCTATGTTCCATTGTTGTACATACATCAATTACAATGTGTTGTATCAGGCGAAGACCAATCCATGATGCGCGGTTGCTGCTGCTGTCTGTCGCACTAAAATATACCTGCTTAGTCCTGATTTTCGACGGAGAGGATTCTCTCGATATCGGAGATTTCCTTATGCGCACGGACAGTCGCAAGAATTAGGATATTCATACATATGTAACTCTATAATCATCACACAATCCCCGAATCAAACTCGCTGAAGCTCTTCGTGAATCGAGAAACCTAGTCTTCTCTGAGTTTTCGTAGCTTTTCGACCGCCCGTTTGGCTATCCATGGCTTGTCAAATTCTGCACAGCGGTCAATCAAGTCACTCACCGCTGCTCCTGACAGACGAAACTCTCTGGGGCGCCCTCCCAGTCCTCTAAAACGTACTTGCCAGCGCCAGCTTGCACCGCATCATCATCTCCCGTCCCGAACAGATCTAATGCAAGCTGTGTGTGACTGACACCCGCATAAGTGGTTGGGCATCGCGGGTTGACGAGGATTCTGGCGGCTCGGAAGACAGAATTCGGGATCGACAACGGGGAAGCGTCCTGATGAGACGGCTCGACTTCTTCGTCAGGCATTGCATCGTAGTCGGACCCTGCATTGGCGTCCGGATCGACTTGTCCAGCAGGTCTCCTTGCGCCTTGTAGTGCAGCATCACCAGCATCTTGGGGTGCCGGATCTCTTGCAGCAACCGCTTCCACCGGATCCGGGGCAGCTTCCCGTCGGTGAATCTTGTTTCCGCCACCGTTGCTGTTCGCGCGGTCGACTTCGTCCATCGCATCTCTGGCGCTTCTGACCCATAAATCACGACAGAAGTAAGCCTGGCTGCTATCCAAACATTGCGCATCCGGTTCCCTGACCGGTACACCCTGTGCAAGGCTGACGTTGTGGAAATCAGTCCCAGCCCGGTAAGAAATGCCTCGGTAGTAGCTTTGTTCAGGGTCGACAACATGGGTGCCAGATTCGCAACAGAAAACCTGAAAGGGAAGGTGCTGAGCATATCGTGAAGCGCCGAGTTTGTCTCGCGGGGGGACAGCTTCAGCTTTCGATGACGATTTCGCCTGTCGAAACTGGTCGCCGTCAATATCACGAGTGCGCCAGCTGTTGACAGTGTTAGTAAACACAACCCAAGAGTGATAAGGCGGTTCCTACCGGTCGGAGAACATGAAGAATCCATTATGCTCCGCCCAGTCCATACCGCACACCATCGCAGCCTCGTTCGTGAAGCTGATTTTGATGGTCTCAAGGATATCATTGGGGCAGGTGAACCCTTTGAGCCAAACTACCCGCCTGAACCGAATTCCGCGTTTTTGCTCCAGCTCATGCAATGGTTCCAGCACGAGATTACGCGTGTGTGCCTCCTCCAGCGGGTAATATGCCGCTAGAGGATCCTCCGTCATCCCCGGGACCCTGCGGATCCGGAATGGCACACCAAGAAGAGTCAAAACGGCCTCACATAGATCAATGAGCGTCTCCGTCGAGTCCGTTGAATCATAATCCAACATCGAAACAAAGAGGTTGTTCGTCCCCAGGCGTTTCGCCATTTGGACGATGACCGCGAGCTGATCGACAAGGAAATGATCTGCCGAATGTATGACGATGGCAATGTAATAAAGGTGGTCTTCACGTATGAGGTCTTCGTAGGGGTTTTCAATCTTGTTTTGACCGAAGGGGCGCGTGAGGGTCGGACAGAGAGCGGCGACCCAGCCATTCAGTGAGAGCAGTTGGTCAATGGCACCAACTACGTGCTGTGCATCCATGGATGACGTGTCCTTGTTCATCATACTGGGGAATGAATCATATGAGACGGAGACAGAACGAAGACGCATAGGACGAAGACGCACTAAGGGACTTGGAATCTCTCCCAATAGTCCATCATCCCGTTTTGTATGACATCCCCCATGAGCTCCTCGCGCTCATCGCGGCCCATACGTGCTTGGAGGAACCGGTGCTTTTGCACATTGAGCGACTTGTCAGGGCGAGTTGCGCGTTCGATGAAGTTGTGCTCCTGGATTTGCGAAGCCGAGCCCGATATTGAAGAAGAGGAGAAAAACAGCCACCGCACGAGAAACGCGCACGCGGCAATGAATGCGACTCGCGAGAGATTCCTCCGACGCAGAGAGAACATGGGGAAGCACAAGTCAAGTTCGCCGTCACGCGTTTGACATGGTCCCTGAATTGATGACAATATAGAGTAGGTTGTGGCTTTAGTACAGTTGGTAAAGAACGGGAATGTTTGGGTGAATAAGTATGCTACAGTTGTGAATGAATGCTTCTGAAACGACTCAGATGTCCTTGTAATACTCGCTGTCGGTTGAGGAGGGATATAGGCATGGATCTCGCGGTGAAGAAGACCTGCTCTCGAATGTGGACAGCGCGATATCTGGGGTCTCTTCGACAAAGGAGGAGAACACTATCCCAGTCTGTAGTCGAGATGCAGGACTCTCTAGCGAGGAGGAGCTCTCTCGAGCCGAAGAAGACACGATTTGCCGGCGCCGCATGATCAAGAGTAGAACACGAGTGCTCAATAGTGAGTGCACAACTCGCTGAGGTGTGGAGAGCCAATTTGCGAACATGGACTGACATGGAGTTAGAATGGACTTCGGTGTAACGATGAAGCTTGAGGAGGCTCACGGGAGCCAGTATCGGAACCAAAACATTTGCGATGGAGATTGCTGTCCAAGCCGTCCATGAATCGTTCGAATCGTGGGATGTCACTTACCCAAGGCATAGAAGTAGAACAACAGGCCTGAAGACGTGTCAAAATTCATCAACAGAGCTTGGAAGAAGTCTTGCCATCCTGATACAGCTTGACCACCCAGGGCACTCTCGACCGACGTACTGAGTCCAACTTCGTTATCCCTCCGCGACCAAGAGCGCCTAAAGTATCCGCTCACAATCTTTATAGGCCTTGACCGCAGTCAGTATAGCGACAGCTGCAGAAACCGATGAGCTACGGAGATCATGGCACGAGAGTATAACACGGACCTGTTTCGGAGATCATGACCAGTAGATAACCGTACAAAAGTACGTGACCAGCATCGACAAGGTAGCATCCAACTCCTCCATTAGGGACAGCTTGATCTGCGGAGAATATGAGCGTTTGTCAAGCGATTACAGAAATGCGGCCAACAGTCCAAAGTCTTTGTCTCTAGATACAATAACACACCCATCGGAATCCATGAACCCTATAACAGTTCAGCCTGACTTACATGCAGATAGTGTCTGCACTTACCAGGGAAAGAGTGCATAAGAAGATCAAAACGAAGCGATTTCTCTCCCATATTGCGCAAGTGCGAAGAATCAGGATGACTAGTGGGGGCTCATCCTCCAATGGTAAAGCGAGAACAGTAAACGAACGCTCGGACAGCATGACCCCAAAGAAAGACAACCCTAAGAGAAGATGAAGATGTGAAGACGACGACGAAAGACGACGCACATCCGACAGCCATATTCCTCTGGAAACATTGCTGGCAGGCGCTCAGTGCGGACTCCTGCGGACTCCACGATCCTCCTACCTCAGGCGAAAGGTGACTGAACCTGGCTGGAAGGTGCGTCAGACACGCGGGACGTCCAGGAAACGAAGGAAGCGCACCGGTAAGACTCAGAAAAGTATCGAGAAAAGGAAGGTATCTGTTGAGAAAGAACAACAACGTGCTCGTCGTCCATGGCCGCGGCCATACATATCGGACCTGTAGTGAGGCATTCGCTACCTCCCATGTCCTTGCAGCGTAAAAAGCTCACCTCCTGGTCCAAAGTACAGAGGAGATCGTAGGTCTTTACGGCATCCGATTAGCGCGTACTAGCCGACGGTGGGCGAGACGACGACGCACGAGGATGGTCGCACAGGCGCAGAGCGTGCCAGGAACCAAGCGGGATTCGAGGTCCTGAGAAGACATGGAAGAGAGGATTAACAAGGGTGTCAATTTATAATTGGTGTCACCGACAGCACTCAAAGAGCCCATGCCAAATGAGCGGGAGTGTTAGCCTTGTAGCTACGTGACTATAACCAGGGCTAGGGACGCCACTGAGTAAGGATGGGCGAAAATAGCGTGCGCCGAGCAGGCATGGAAGACAAGAAGAAGGTCCGTGGAAGGAAATTGCGTGCCACGGATCGCAGCGGAGGCGATCGAAAAGCATACTAAACCCTTGGTCCATCATGATGGGAACAACGTCGGACCTTATTTAGGGTTTTCCCGCTCTGATAGCGGAGGTAATAAGCCTTTTCTTCCCAGGCAGACCCACAGCCGACATTCGGGAGGCTTGACTACGGGTTCCGAGTCGAAAGTAGGGTAGCAAGTAAGCACTTGGCCCGGCGTTTTTCATTCTCACGAAGCGGACAAGGGTGGCCAAAACTGAACTGTAAGCTTTAAGCTTTGCCGCTAGTTTTGATATTAGTGGAGCTGCAATTCACTATCAAGACACCTGGAACATACATACATATGTACTGTGATATTTGTTATGATAGTTTTTCTTCGCAGGTATCTGGCAAGCTAGAGAAGAAAGTTGGTTGCTGGAGAGACCAGTGATGCATGAAGATGTGATTCGAGAGTTTCTTGAGCCCTCAGGCTCAAACCTCGTTGGCTGCGCTGTAGCTTTCTGATTTCATGGAGTTCTGGGATTGTGAACGGCACGGAAACGTACATAAGTAATCTTCATGAAATGGGGAAGCTCGCCATCGGAAGACTGCATTATCGATTACCAGCTTCCGACGAGTGATGCGCTGTAACTCGGGCGATATAACGCCTCGCTCTCACGTGTAGGTCACTGAAACCGGGAATTCTGTGGCCGGAACTGAAATCGGACTCCAGAATCTGGGCCTCATCGGCGAAGGCTCTGCCATGTCGGTGATGCAGTAGGCCGTGCAGATCTCGATGGACGGCCATGACGGCCAACGACGAACTGGGCCGATAAACTCGCCGCGTCGATCCGTAACGTGGCTCAGCAAACTTCCTATCACATCACACCATGCAAATATGTGAGCCATCGTGAAAATGGAAGCCAAGCATAAAGCACGCACCATCTCAACGTCGCAATTTCGCCGGCACTTAGACCCTCACTGATTATCTGCATTTCAAATTGTATACTCATACATACCGGACCATTTTCAATCCTAGGATGGCTCGTGCATTTCGAAAACAGTAGTCAGAAGAGTCGGATGCTGGAGGGCGAGGCGCAACAGCACCGTAGCAGAGCTGGAGTCGCGCGATCGAGGTGAAGAGAACATAGACAAGAGGGGTGGCGGTGCGCACTTAAGATATGGCTCATGTAGACGACTTCGAGCCTGGACAGGCGCGCAAGTCAGTGGAACACGAGTTCCGAGTGCGATGCTCGCTATGGAAGTTGTGTGTTTTCAGGCATCACGAACAGTACAGGTTAAGTCAGTTACGTTTCTTTTACTTTCTCTGCTCAGTTTGGCAGATCTGGGGTGTCGACCGAGACACTGGCCATTCCTGCTGGTCCATAACGCGTTCCCGGAAGTTCGGCGGCCTCTGCGATGGCTCGAACTTTGGCGATTTCTTCATCGCTGAGCTTGACAGCCGCCGCGCCCAAGTTCTCTTCCAAGTACTAGTAGCAGGCAATCAGCGCTTGACGTGGGAGCGGTCAGCCTAACAGACCTTAATCTTCTTCGTCCCAGGAATGACGACAAAGTCGGGCCCTTGGGCAAGGATCCACGCGAGAGTGACTTGACCGGCACTCGCCTTGTGTGCAGCTCCGATGGCCTTCAATTCCTCAACCACCTTCAAGATCTTGGGAAAGTTTTCGCGCGAGTATCTGTCGGCCAGATCAACGCTAGCTGAAGGAGACACACGGAGGCTAGACGGACTTGGGAACACTGTGGCGGAAGTCACCAGGCTCAAAATCATCCGGCGATTTCTGGCCGGTGATTCAGAAGAGTATATGCTATCGAAACATGACTCACGTATTGACCAGTCAGCAAGCCTCGTCCAAGAGGTGAATAAGCGACGATGGTCACTCCGAGCTCACGTGCAGTCTCAAGCAACGCAATCTTGGGATCTTCGATGTCCAACACAAACGGCGAGTACTCGATTTGGAGTGCGGCGATTGGATGGACAGCGTAAGCGCGACGAAGGTCTCGGGCGGAGCATTCAGAGAGACCGATGTATTTGGTCTTCCCCTCCCTTGTGTTTAGAAGATTATCACCGATCAAGACCGTAAATAGCATACGATAAGACGCACTTCACGAGCTCGGCCATCGCACCGACTGAAATCTCGATGGGGGTTTTGGGATCCACACGATGGAGGTAGAATAGATCGACACGATCCACACCCAGACGTTGAAGGGACAGAGCCATCTGCTCCTTGATGAAATCGGGTTCACCGCAAACCCCCACACCGGCCTTGAACCCGCACTTCGTTGCTAGGAAGATGTCCTCCCGCTTGCCTGTGCGTTTGAACCTGTTGAGTAGGCAGATGCCGAGCGTGGTCAGGGATTGAGACATGCTGAATATGTGACCTCACACGCACCACTTTCCAAGAAGTTCTTCGGAATCGTTGTAGATATGGGCAGTATCCCAGTGAATACAGCCTCCTGAGAATACAGCGTCCAAAACCTGATATAAGGAAACGATGAGGGGATCAGCGGAGGGATCGGGTTTGCTAACCTTGAAACGATCCTCGTCAGCCTCGGTGGCACCATAGAAGGCCGAGAGTCCCATGGCACCAAATCCGATAGGAGGGACTTCAGTCTGCCCGATCTTTCTTGCAGTGAGGGTCATGGCTTGCAGTAGAATGTTCAGAGATGAGGCGAGGGAAAGAACACAAGGATTTGATGACCGCTAGATAGGCACTAGTTCATAGTGGATTTGGTAATCATGCTCGCCAGTTGCACGCCTTTCTGTACAAGTAAGTCGCTGTACAACAAGGTCTACACAAGTAATGATGTCACTCTGTTTTTTATCCCTCTCACGATAAAACTAGCAATGTGTTGCGCCCACTCGCGCATGAGACGTAAAACGAGCAAACATCTGTTTAGGTAACGCCAGGAGCTGAAGCAATTGGATTGTATATCAAGAGGTGATCACGCTTGGAAAATGACCGGTTATCGAGGCCTCAGCAGGCATGGATAAATCACGAGGGGACGTGACAAATGTTTCTTTCTCTTGAACAGCCATCTGCCACAACGCGTTTCTCGAGGCCGGGTCTCATTTTACTCAATAACCCACAATCTCTTGTTCGTCCGATTACTCCATAATAATGGTCTGTCTTTCCATTGGCAGTGCCGTCCAAGCTAGCCTCCATGCCGATCGTTCGGTCCTCCTCGAGATTCTTCACTCAAAAGCAAGATTGGAACAAACTCGCGCACTTTCTGTTCGGCTCCGTCCTCCAACCGCATCGGCGCATGCTATGGCACCGCTACCGACCTCGACGTCAACGAGTTAGCTCGATCTGTCAAGGCACTGGTCTAGGAAATGCGGCGCCCGGGCACAATGGCGTTCGGTTTGCTCGCTTCCGTCACATTGGGGGTATATAGAACGGGTCTGAATAGGATTGGCTTCGATATCCTGTTCTATTATGACTTATTTCACCATCCCACACTGGTGGAATGTGAGTGATGTTACGCTATCATGCTTCCGCAATTCGCTGACTGCCGCCCCGCCCATTACCTAGTTGCCTGTCTTCCTGGCACTCATCTATCTTGGATTGACGCGCATCCAGTTGGAGTCGCACAATCTGTATGACACCTACAGCGATGGCGAATTTCCTGTTTTGTCGTGCGAAGGAGTAAATACGAGTGAGCTTTCCAGATCTGATGTCGCGGCGCCTCTGAAGAGCAGACGCAGACGCAAGGACGCTTGACGGGCTATGCAATAACCTCACCGTCCCCGGAATGGGCTCCGTCAACACCCGGTTCCATCGTTTTGTGCCTATCAACGACACCTGGTCGGAGTCCGGTGGAACCTTGTATACGCCCAACCCCCGGCTGATCAGCCAGAAGATACTCACGAGGGAGACGTTTACGCCGGCCACTTCAATCAACATGCTCGCCGTTGCGTGGATTCAGTTCCAGACACACGATTGGTTCAGCCACGGCGCCGAAAACGATCCCGACTCGAAAGACATGCTTATTTGGGACCTGCCTCGCGACGATCCCCTTCGTGCCACGGGGCAAACGAACATGACGTTGCGCCGCACAGTATTCCAAACCCACGACGGCCGACCCAACACATACACAAATACCCAGACCCATTGGTGGGATCTCAGCCCAATCTATGGCGTCGACGATGCCACGCATATCAAATTGCGTTCCTTGGTGGATGGGAAGATGAGGGTTGCTGAGGACGGGCTATTGCCGAGGAATGAGGAGAATGGGATCGATGCAACAGGATTCAGCGACGACTGGTGGGTTGGACTGTCGCTGATGCACAACATATGGACGAAGGAGCACAATGCCGTGGCAGACATGTTTAAGCACGCGTGCGTTCTCGTTCCTCTCCTTAGCGTCGCCAGCAGCTGACGAGCCCTCGAAGTTATCCCTCTTGGAACGACCAGGAGATCTTCGACCACGCTCGTCTCGTCACTTGCGCCCTGAACGCGAAAGTGCACACTGTCGAATGGACACCTGCCTTGCTGCAGGATGAAACGCTGCAGATCGCCATGGACGCCAACTGGTACGGGCTCGCCCCAGAATGGCTTCGGGGGTTCCCCAACATATTCAATCAGCAGATTGCACAAGTCTGGTTCGGGATCATGGGAGGCAAGCCTGATTTCGCGGGTGTACCGTTTGCGCATAGCGAAGAGTTCGTGAGTGTGTACCGGTTCCATTCGCTACTTCTAGACGCGATTACTGTGCTCAATCACACCGATGGATCGAGCACTGGAAAATCATACGACATCAACGAGTACACCTTTTCCAATGCTTGGGACGTTGTCCACGACAACGACTTCAGCGACCTAGTCTTCACTTTTGGCGCGGACTATCCTGGCGCACTCCAGCTCGGCAACTACCCGAAGGCTATGCAGAACCTGAAGAAGCCTGGAGTGTCTTATGCCCTGGACATGGGCGCAGTCGACATTATCCGTGACCGTGAGCGTGGTGTGCCGCGGTACAACGAGTTCCGACGACTCTTCTCACTCATTCCGGCAAAGACAATGGCCGACATCTCCGACAATCCGGCCACCGTTGCCGCGCTCCGCTCGGTCTACGGTGAGGACGTTGAAAGCGTTGATATGCTTGTCGGGTGTTTGGCCGAGAGCCCTCGCGCAACCGGATTTGCGTTCAGCAACACCCAGTTCCAAGCATTCATTCTCGCTGCATCGAGGCGGCTGATGACAGATCGGTTCTTCACCACTGATTATACTCCCGCAATTGTAAGCCCCCTACATTTGAAGTGCGATGTTTGCTGACGTCGTCTCCAGTACACTCAAGAAGGATTAGACTGGATCGCAAATTCGGATTTCCGTCAAGTTATCGGACGGAACATGCCTGAACTCAATGCTTCAGCTCATTCCGTGGACAATGCGTTCAAACCATGGGTGGTGCCCAGAACTAAGTAAATTTAGTGAAGTACAAGTGCAGTGTATCAATACTTTATCGGTATTCAGATACGATTACATTGTCGTTTTCTCGCACATGAACGCTCGAGCTGCACTAGGCACCAATCAGTGCTCGTCATGCCTGTATTGTTTGCTGAACCGCAGTCAGTTGCCTGTCAGTCCTGACCTCCAACTTGAACACATCAGTGATGATCGACGAGCTCTGGAAGCGAACGGAAGATATGGAACAGTCATTCTGTACTATGTGGAGACATGTTCTGTTCGAAAGAGTCCGATGGCCTCAGGCTGTTCATCTCTCTCTTCCTGCAGTCTTCGTTGGCTCCTCAAGTGGTCCTTAAGTACCAGGGCGTTTGATCAAAGTCGCGCGAAAGACTGCCCCGGTGGCGACCTCCCCCGCTTCCAAAGGTAACCCGGCCAACATGTTCTCCAACAGTGGATAGTTCGAACTGATTTAGCGTCTCGTCAATATTGGGAGTTGCTAGGCTTTTGATGTTCAGGATAACCCTTGCTCCGATTACTGCAATCAGTCTCATGCGAGTCAGTTGGTGCACGAGAATATCGAATCACCAGGTATACTTACGATGTACCCGGTCTGGGAAGCTAATATATAGTTTATTGCACAAGCACAATGGATCCACTCACACAATGGGGACTTCAGCCAGACTTGCTCTGCCATTGCGCCACAGAATCAGCTCGGTGGTAGACACAACTGAGAACAGGTCAGAAGAGATTAGATTGGATCATTAAGAGCACCACAGCCTACGTGAGATAGCAAGGAACCAGAATACACCGTCCCTGAGAAAAACTGTCATGACGGGTGTCTTGACCAGTCCCGTGGACATGGATTGCCGACACTTGTGTACAGTCATGGCAAACATCGTAAATGCCTAAGCGAATTGGAAAACAAAAACACGGGAAACCGGTGGACAGACAAACCACAATGGATGGAAGGACAGCCCAATATGTCAACAATCTAGAAACATCTGGCCCAGAAATCAGGAAATCTTGAAATTAGTTGATCATAGCACGTACTCAACGAAAAACAACCGGGCAAGACGGTCCTGAGATCATCGAATTAAGTAAAGACAGGGCTGTATGATTCAACTTCCTACCCGATAAGAACAAATTCTGCGTAAGGATTCAAGTTAGGTTCTCGACCAGATTGGACTGCAAGCACCTTGCAGCGAGCGGATAGTAAAATACCCAGAGACAAATCTGATGAGGGAGTATGTAGGTCGGGCTCTGGAATCAGGGCGATACAACTACACTCACAGGGCCACAATTTCTCCTGCACGTTCAGTTATTTAGGCTAAGAGCGGGAGAGGAGGAGGGCCAACGTGCCTGCAATTAAAGCACCGAAGAAGTACAACAGTATGCGAGATCGAGCATATAATATCCAGACCCTGGGAGGCATTTCAGAGACAATATCGGATAGGAAGATCTTTAATTGAACATACCGAAGAGCCAGGATAATGTCCGCGCTGATGACAATCAAAGAGGACGTAACGAGTTCAACCTTTCAGAAATGTCAAAACCCGAAATATCGCAAGGGACATTGTTCTTTCACGTATAGATATGCGTGGCAACTATGGCGAGAAATTTCTAGGTCAGAAAAACCATAATTCCGGTCAGCCACGTACGTCTGGTAGAAGAAAAGTTAGTGTCACACGGGAGGATTTGGTTTGTTCCGTACTCCACTCTTGCGTTGTACGCTGAGCATCACTACATAGTCGGATCAGGATATGGTCGAAGGATCCCTGGAAAGACTGACTGCTGAGATCGAGCCTTGAAGAAGAAAAAGTTGGATGGGGCTCAATCTGGCTTCATGGGACATGATACTTACGAGACGGCCAAGAGGGTCCAGTATCGAATCTGTGAGGGATTGCGGAGTTGGCCATAGAAACAGGTCATGCGAAGATTCGAGTACCCATATCTTTAGCAATGTCAATCAAATGCGTAGCTTGGAAAACGTCCACTTGATCCACCTCAGTTACCACCGCCATCACCCGGTTGCACCCCCGCGGGGGTCCTCCTGGGTACCCTCAGACGTAGCTCTGAGGGTACCTAACAGGTACCCCCCTGCGGGGCCCGCGGGGGGGATTTGGTCCATTTGGGGGCGGGGGCATATGCGGGGGTCAGCAGGGGGGGGTCTGTACATGTCATGTGATTTATCATTGGGAGCGGGCAGGTGGGCGCGAAAAAAAAAATGAATCACATGACACATCCAATGGGCGGGATGGCGGCTGATGGCGGGGTAAAAAAATCACGTGATGCACTGCATGAAAATTATCAAAAATGGCTAGCAGGGGTTGGCGGGGGTTGGCGGGGGCGCTACTGGCCCCCCGCACACCATGGCGGGCAGTGGGCGCATTATCACGTGACTTTTGGGGCACCTTTTGTGCACCATTCGGCATGATTTCGGAGGTGTTGCTTGATCCATTGCATGCTGTGGCAGACAATGGGCGCATAATCACGTGATTTTCCGCCCAAAAAAATGGAAGCCTTCCCCAAATCATCCTGGTATCATTTCTATTGGTAAATACACTAGTTAAGCATGAATTTGAGCTTAGAAAGCCCAAAATGCACCCTGCACAATGGGACTGGTGATGCACTTGATCCCATCATTTGGCGGGGTCTGCTGCGGGGGGTGCCACGGGGGGTGCTGCGGGGGGTGCTGCGGGGGGTGCCGCAGGGGGTGCCGCAGGGCCCGCTGTGGGGTCAACCACAGGAGCAGGGGTAGGGGTGCATTGCATCATATTTTGATCTATCTATTCTCGCTGTGGTCATAGCATGCAGCATAATTATCCTTCATTTTGCCAGGAGTTTGGAGGCTGTGTCTGGGGTTGGTCTGCAGCTACAGCCATGTGACTCCCTGATGCTTCGGCAGGGGCTGGGATATCAAAACTGTGCAATATTGTCTGCATAATCCAGGCATGTAGGGTTAAAAAGAAAGTGTGATTTGTTCATTTTTTGGCTGGCAGGGTAGGTGGGCTGACATCATGGGCTGCATCGGGTCCACTGTCAACTCATTGATTGTTTCGTCTGCTCATTCTATACACATGCCCATTGGTAAACTGATCATGCTGTAGGCACAGTCTAATCTTACCCAGTGGATAATACCACACGTTAATTATGCACCTAATGTCACACTTCCTGTCTGGGACTCATTGAAGTTCATCTGTTCTGTGTTACTTTACAAGCAGTTTGCTTTAGTTGCAACATGAACAGATGTAATAGAGTGGATTTGACATGCCCTGAATTGATTCCTAGGTGGAATATGAGACAATGGATTCACCAGCAAGTTGCCTCACAATAGTCAGAGATTGGTAATATTTGAATTTCCAATTTCATATACAACACTCTGTGCACTCAGAGCTTGTATATTTGCAAGATAGACTGTAGAGACATAGATGGTTACTTTTACTACCTCTGGGGCTGCACACATCCTTGCCATGACCCACTGCCTGCACCCCTGCTGGTACCCCCATTGGCACCCCCGCCGGCACCCCTGTTGGCACCCCCGCCGGCACCCCCGCTGGCACCCCCGCCAGTCTAGCACCCCCCGCTGCACCGGTGCCTTGTCCCCGTGATTTTCTTATATGTAAGATTATGTAAACTGACAGCTCGGAACACGTCAAGTCACTAGCCAATCAGAACCTGTATAAACGTCGTACCTAAGTGTTTACTGCTCTTCTAACACTGTTCCTACAGTTATGCAGCTGAAAACCATCGGAATAAGGTCTCCTTCTGCTATTCTTATTGAATATGTAGATACTTCATATCATTTGTCCACCTAAAATTCGAAACATGAAAAGAGTTCACCATTGCTCAAGGTTCCTATGTAGACAATGGTTCAACATGGTTCACTTTGGGTATGGCAAAAAATATTTTTTCTACACACAAGCAATTCAATACAGCTGAATGATATACTCTTTGGCAGTGTCTGAAACAAATTCTGAGAGCCCTGGACCCTGGAACTATTCAAAAACTTGAAATGAGTCCGAAAAATAGGGTCTTGATAAACATGAGATATGGGCTGGTTTGAAGAGACATGGGCCACCGGTCATGTTGAATATAGTATTTTACAATGTTTCGGTGCCCTACCTCTCATCACATGGCCTCATTTCCCACTAAAAAGGGTGCATACACACTCAAGCTCATAAAATCAATTGTCACCCAGAAACAAGAGCAGTGAAGTTGTTTCACTGGGATTGGGTAAAGGTTACCTAGAAGTCACTTGGGTTGCAGTACAGAAGCTTTGGAAAGTGATTTTGTAGTTGATCCACATTTGGTAGGCTGGCAGATGCTTGTGCACCCCCACGGCACCCCCCGCGGCACCCCCCGCGGCACCCCCTGTGGTTGACCCCCCCCCCAACCCCTGCAAGGATTTAATTGACAAATGTCCTGCTCAATCCATTGTAAGAGTCTACAGTATTATTGGATTCAGTAAAGGGCCCAAATGGTGTGTAGACAAGAAGTATGAAATCCGGAAATCAACAATTATGACACCTCCACGGAATATGCTGCAAATGGAGAGAAAAATTTGAGTGCAGACAGACTACCTGAAGCAAACAGACAGAGAAAAGAAACATTAGCCATTTCTTGTTGATGATGTTGGCTGTCCCTGGAGCATGTACTTGGGAGATTTGCCTAACAAATCAAGTTGCACATTTTTCAAATTTTTAGTTTGACCTGACAGCTTGAGCAGACCATGCTAAAATGAACCAAGTCATATATATCAGTGCCCCAAGCCAAGCCAAAAGATTTAGGTAAATTTGCACAGTTTTGATATCCCAGCCCCTGCCGAAGCATCAGGGAGTCACATGGCTGTAGCTGCAGACCAACCCCAGACACAGCCTCCAAACTCCTGGCAAAATGAAGGATAATTATGCTGCATGCTATGACCACAGCGAGAATAGATAGATCAAAATATGATGCAATGCACCCCTACCCCTGCTCCTGTGGTTGACCCCACAGCGGGCCCTGCGGCACCCCCTGCGGCACCCCCCGCAGCACCCCCCGCAGCACCCCCCGTGGCACCCCCCGCAGCAGACCCCGCCAAATGATGGGATCAAGTGCATCACCAGTCCCATTGTGCAGGGTGCATTTTGGGCTTTCTAAGCTCAAATTCATGCTTAACTAGTGTATTTACCAATAGAAATGATACCAGGATGATTTGGGGAAGGCTTCCATTTTTTTGGGCGGAAAATCACGTGATTATGCGCCCATTGTCTGCCACAGCATGCAATGGATCAAGCAACACCTCCGAAATCATGCCGAATGGTGCACAAAAGGTGCCCCAAAAGTCACGTGATAATGCGCCCACTGCCCGCCATGGTGTGCGGGGGGCCAGTAGCGCCCCCGCCAACCCCCGCCAACCCCTGCTAGCCATTTTTGATAATTTTCATGCAGTGCATCACGTGATTTTTTTACCCCGCCATCAGCCGCCATCCCGCCCATTGGATGTGTCATGTGATTCATTTTTTTTTTCGCGCCCACCTGCCCGCTCCCAATGATAAATCACATGACATGTACAGACCCCCCCCTGCTGACCCCCGCATATGCCCCCGCCCCCAAATGGACCAAATCCCCCCCGCGGGCCCCGCAGGGGGGTACCTGTTAGGTACCCTCAGAGCTACGTCTGAGGGTACCCAGGAGGACCCCTGCGGGGGTGCAACCGGGTGATGGCGGTGGTAACTGAGGTGACTTGATCGGAGTCACTCACATAGAATACGCTCGATAGATTTATTCGCGACTGCCAGACGAGCTGGATCTGAGCCGCGATGTCACAGTCATGTCCGTTCGGTTTGAAGTTACCTTACTTCCTGTCGAAGGGTTGATACGTGCTCCAATCTAAGTTTCCTGATTTGAGGTGCTTGGGGATGGGGAGATGGTAACATGGCACCCACAGGAGAAGCACAAATCCCGCGACTCCGAAGTGTCAGCCAGCATAGAAATCTCGTGGTGAAAGGATCACCTGCTAGGTAGTCGGTAGTCCGCGCATCGCTGATGAGGACGAGGAGTTGCTGGAGTTCTTCTTGAGATAAGCCTGGCGGAAGAGGGGGAGAAGCCATGGTAGAGGAGGATGCAAACAGATGTTGGCGGCAGAACGGATGCTACTACTTTATCAAGGGCAAAGAAGTTGATCTCAGGATGTCACCAAAGAGAGCTTCCGTGTTGTATGTCTCTCTCATCACCGCACAAGAAAGCATCGTCGTTTCAGGACCAGCGCTTAAATTCCGATTCAGTGGACGAAGGCGCGGGCAGTTTTACCCAAACTATGATTCTGTTCGTGATAGTTTGTGCATAAGATCGTACTTGCAAACCAGGTCGCAGGAGGGAGGAGCGACGGCCATCAGCGAGATGTGAGTAGGCCTGATTCTGAAGAAGTTTGGTGAGATCAAGGGTCAAGGGTCTAGGTCCGACAGACCAGTCAAACAAGAGCAGTAGCGGGAGCGGTTGTAAAAAGCGAGCTAAAGCTTCGTGGTGTAATTGGCGAATCTCGCGTTGAAATTTCGAGGTCGTCTAAGATTCAGGTATCTTTCGAGAACGAGGTAATCTTCGTGAAAAATGGGTACTATAATCGATGAACGATCGATCCACTTTTCCGCGGCCCGGGCCCGGGCCTAGCCTACACGACTATATATTATGTGCTCTCCTGAAAGCAGCCGCTACGAATCAGTACATTGGTTCCTCGCATCCTGGTGTCACCTTGCATGATGCTAAATCCAGAACTTGATTGGATGTGCTCTGCCAGAAAGCCGCTCCCCGGGCCAAAAGGTCTGCCAAAAAACCAACATTGAACAGCTTCAGGAGAATTTCCGACAGCCCAGAGGAATCGCGATGGATTAATCCCAATGATTTTATTTTATGTTGGCCTCTGCTGTTGAATGTTGCTCAAACTAGTAGAGCCATTGGGCCCCTATTGATGGTACCTACGGGCAGTGCAAAATGAGCCTCTACGCCGACCACTGATCGATGCGCTGAATGTGCGGCAATGTTTGTTGGGGTCGCATCGACGTTGAATTTGTGAAAGCCTGTCAGGCATCTCCCTATCACGTCATCGGATAAGTACAAGGCACACATACCAAGTCATGTGATCTTCAGTCCCATCTCAATCATATCTTATCTTGAGCTATTCACGCGGATGGATGTATTGCACCGTCATCAAGTCAAGATGCAGATCACTGGAGTCGGCCTTGTTCTGGCTTTCCTATTGGATTGAGCATTACAGCGCTCAATCCGGGAGAACCCGTTGTAGCAACGAGGGGCTCACGCCACGAACCAATTATACCCGAGGGCACGTAGTGCAACACCAGGTGGTGCCGTGGATACTAGGATTGCCTCACTGCAACAAGTCGACAAACTCAGGAAAGGCTGGTAACTCAGATTTTGCCCGCGGATATGTAGGAGCTTGTGCCTCGAGGCCGCGGCAGAGTGCAGCGCGTCGCTCAAGTAGACGCTCAATGCTAAGTTTGTCTGCAGGCTCGTGATGTCCGTGAGAGAATCTGCTGAGAGGTTGTCTATAATCGGACACTTTTCCGAGCACGCATGTGGTAGCGCGTGTGGTGGCTGGCTTCTCAGCTCACCTTCAGCCGCGTATGGGCTCTTCCAAACGCGGATGTCGGACCCGGACCTGGGTTCGGCATCGTCGTTATCTTCCTCGACGTCGTATGATAGGACGCCAAAAAAAGACCAGGCTATGCAAGTCACGAAAATAGAGAAGCTATCCGAGATGTACAGCAAGTGACGCGTGACAGCGACATTCCCGTGGCGGTCCGAAGATCATATCGAAGTCGTTGGTCACTCATGGCCGTTATAAATGTAGGCTTCCGGAATCACTCTGTTTTTGCAGCACATCATGTCTCGCCCGTTCTACGTCGTCGGCACAACCCTGCTCGGATTCGCTCTCGTTCTGAGCTTTCTCGGATCCATTTCCTTGCCCTATCTCTCGAACTTCGACTACACTCGTGTCTCCTTCGGTGGCTCGACCCTGCAGTCCGGCAGTCGGGTTTTGCGGCAAATTCGGGTGCGAAGCTTTCAAGCCCCGCTTGTTGATCGCGATTGAATGACAGCTCGTTCACAGTGGGGCATCTGGTACGTCTCGCATCTCTGTTGTCGGGAACCAAGCAGTCCCGCTTATGAAAATCAAGGGGGCCTTGTCTGTACGATGGAAATAAGCATGAAATGTGCTTCCATACAGGTTCGTGTTCAGATTTTGTAACTGATGCACAGGGTTTTACGTTTTCGAGCACAGGCTACGCTTACTCTCTGCCTATTATCGCGCCGGGCGGACAAATCGCCATCGTGGACAAATCATTTACGCGTGGTTTGGCCGTCCATCCCGTGGGTACGTCTTCTGGCCCTACTATCAACCTGATGACAAACCTGGTGCAGCTGCTGGGACTGTTGCGATAGCATTCGCTTGTGCTCTGTCCGCGACCAGGACGGAACACGGGATATTCTATGCCGCGGCCATGTCGCTGTTGTCAGCAATACTCGTGCGAAGCTGTCTTCTTGCTCAAGAGACATAATTTGATGCTGCATCCAGCTCATCATCGCGTTCGCCATCGATATAGCCCTCTTTGTGGATGTCCATTCACAGATCGGCACGCTCCACGACATCCGACCGACCGTCAATGCAGGGACAGGTGCGCACCGGTTTCTAGGGCACATAGACCACCCTGGCCCGTCAAGCTCACATCCGATGATAGCCTTTTGGACGACTCTCACATCGTTTCTGCTCGTTATCGTTGCTGCTTTTAGTCTATTCATTGCCCGCAGACAGGAGCTCAGAAGCGACTCATATCCGATGCTCGAGTCCAACTCTGGTGGATGTCTCCCGGGCATCCGTCGTAGTTGAGTGTGATGAACAGAGTGAAAGTGCCGTTCAGGCCAGTAGCTTGCCTCGAATTCGAGATTTTCACGGCTGGTTTGTGGATGCGATGAATGATAAGTCGGACATGAATAATCATTCAGATCTCAGGCCATCATCATCTGATGCGCGCCCTGGTCCGGCCAGGGTGTTTCTAAAGGTAAATAAATATGTGTCAGCGTAGTAGGATCGAAAAAGTATCGTGCGGGCGGCGGAGGTGCTGCGATGTAGCCACTCTGGGCCGCGGCTACATGGCCTTCGAGCCGCTCAATCGTACCCAGAGCTGGAGGAGATGACGCGGAATCAAGTGAGTACCCAAGCAGTTTCAGCTCTCGTACGATCCTGGAAGAAGAAAACTCAGAAAGAAGGAAAGAATCATGAAATCAACTCACGTCGCATAATCCTCGGCTTGTTCCGAAGACACCGAGCTGCTCGCATCGGCTTCTTCCAAACAAAATTCGGCCCAAGCAAACATCGTGCTCCAGTGCACTGGAGTGAAGTGGACTTCGGGCAAATATCGTACCGCCCGCGCTATCTCTCGCGCGCCGAGACAGGTCATATCACGTGCCTGTTTCCTCAGCACGCGCAGTCGATCCCGTGTTTGATCCGAGTGTGCACTCGGCGAGTCCGTGGTTTCCCGGGCCTCAAGCTCTCGATAAAAAGGGAGGACAAGACCTGCAAAGCCAAATACCGCGCCGTACGCAGCGGAGCGTGCTGCGACGTCGATATTTGCGCTATCGAGCAAGAATGGCGCAGGCGGAGAAGAATCAGAGCTGCTTGTCAGAGCTGCATCCACTCGCTCCAACAGAAGAGATAAGATCGCGTGCAATGTGGTCAGCGAGGAGAGATATCGGATCACTGCGCTTTCGGACAGTGGGTTCAGCCGTGCATAATCTAGAGTTGATTCGATTCTTGAATAATGTCAAGGAAATCGACGTACCTCCTGCAATAGACTCTGACAATTGCCGAGAAAGTGAAACAACATGGAACATATCTGAGAGGTGTCTGAATGTCGAGTCCCGATTCGTGTCCAACTGATGGCAACGCACATGGTGTCGATGACGTCCACAGAAGAGAAAAGCTCGGATTTCTCGATGCCTTCTCAAGATTGTCGAGCATCTCATCTAAAGGCGGTGGGTCTGGGCCGGAGAGCAGTAGCTGATCACTTCGAGTTCTAGAACACGACTAGCTCAGCGGAAAAAAACGCCGATAGTCAAATATTCCTCTCACACCAAAAATGGTGTTCTGCTTCTCGCAGATATGAGCCCTTCCGCCATCTGTTCAAACTGTCGAACCAAGGAGCTGCAACACTATTGGAGGCCGAACTCACCAAATATCCCGCCCAGTGTGCCGCGTCTGTTGCCGTGAAACCGGCCGCATGCCAAATTGGTGCCAAAGCCCGGACATGCGACAAGTAAGCACCCGCCCACGGTCTCGACGCGCCACAGAAATCGCTCTGCTCCATCAGATCGAGTAAGTAGCAACTAGCCGCATTTTCGTTTGAGGGCTGGAGCATCACGCCTGTCTCCCAGGCAGCTTTGAGCGCCTCGTCTCGTAGTGCCTTGTACGCCGGAGCGCGCCGCAGACCACATCCGAGAAGATCGGCGTCCGACGAGGCCGAGAAGAAGGTGGGATCGGTGAACGAGTCGGGTTTCGGCCCCGGCCCGCTCAATATGGAAGGGTGAAAGGAAGAAAGCGACGCAAGTGCGATAATACATAGAGCTAGAACACGGGAGGGGGCAGGGAGCAAGTGAACTTGGAACGCCACGGCTCGGATGTCAGACCGGATGCCCGCAGCTGCGATGAGTGGATGGCTATATTGCGGGGTGTATTTTATAGCTGAAATCAGTTACTGCAGACGCCGTGGAGAGCGGGTGGAGGATTCTGACCCTCAAAGCAATGGGCGACAAACTCAGATGATAGTTCTGGACAATCTGCCGATCCTCCCTCGAGCGCAGGTCCACGGGATTGAGAAGATGCAAGGGAGATCTGCGGAGGCTGTCGGGCAGCTGATAATGTCAGGGCGGCTGTGGTCGCGCTTTGCGGAGGATGTTTTGGAGGTCGCCCTCGCCGAATTGGCGTAGTCATGCATCTGTTACTTGCTAGAAAAAGATTACGCCCTCGGGGATCGGATGTGACATACATGATCTTTTTCTCCACACATCTCGGACAGGGCGCTCCATTTGGCTGAGGATGGCAAAGCACGCGCCGCGCCTAGTGGAGAAGTGTTCGTTCTGGCACTCGGCGTCAAGTTCCCGAAAACCGACCTTGCAAACATCACATGCTGGCAGCTTTTTGGGTTTCTTCTCCTTCGCTGGGGTTGAGGCACCACTTCCGCTGGCGCTTGCTTCTGCGTTAGACATGGACGTGGTCGCGAGGAAACTCGGAAATGCCTTGGCCAGGATCCATCATGATCCTTATCCAATTGACAGTTGCTGATCACTTCGAGCGATCGGAACCTGATCACGTGAATGTTCAACCTTGTCCATTGAGTCTGAGGGGTGAAGTAGATCTGATCATTTGGCAGGATAAAAAGGCTCCATATTTTCCATATGAACTATAATCCCTCGAGAACTTGGCATGTAAAGTGCAGGGATGACCCTTGAAAATCACCGATCAATTATAGTCGCGGAGAAGGAACTGATACATCAGTACTGTAACTTACGTATACTTTGAAGACATGGAGATCCATCCGTTTGAGATGTTTATTTGTGCTGCCTCCCTTGAACAAGAAATCGGAGACAGGAACACAGAGCAGAGTGACCACGAGGGCCTCTCTAATCAAGTACCGATTTTCTCTTTCGGAAAATCGTAGTCATGCATTTCATTTCCTTGCTGTAAAGGCTGTGTGAGCACATCACGGGAATTCATCATCTGTCATGGATGACGCCTGCTTCTCTCCCAGCTGAGTTCCCATACGAGCACTGATACATACTTATACAGCATCCCAACTCTTAGCTAAACGTTGGACGAGGATCAAATTCCCGCCGCAAAGGAACTGGAGGTCGGGGTCGTTGCGGTGCTAGAACAATCTCAGGATGCAGAAACTGACGCCTCATATCTCGAACAGAACAGAACGGCTGTTGAATTGTTCAAAGTAACTCAGAGATACATCAAACACAAGGAGAAGCGAGAACGGAAAGGTGCAGCGATATGTGCAGGACTCGAATACGAAGCGGATTCGTATGAGAAACGGATTCAGATTTCGGCCACCGTGGACGACCGCGTGACCATGATCTCGTTCATTGCGTAATCGCCGATTCCCGAGTCTACTTCGACGTCGAAGTTGGCCGTCAGGTGCTTCTCGGGACACGAAGACATCGCCGTCGTCATCGGCACAGACCCTCGCTTGCGGCACATGGTGAGGTTTCCGCTCTCACTGGAGAGAGACATCTGGCCCGGCCCGGTCGCACGCTCTCGGATCACCGCGCGGGCGTTGAGCATGCCAACTGCAACGATTGAATGGGGACATATCGGAACATTAAGGTCGTCTCACAGAAAGTGTTGACATAGAGTTTGGTCGTGTTCACGTGGACAGCCAGCCTGCAAAAGTTCAAAGCGAAATTCAGAGCTGGGAACTGGTCGACAAACCAATACAGATGCTCCGATGTCGCGAAAAACGTAATCAAAAGCAGGATTTGGGCAGCCGTGACCAGAATGCCCCGATTGATGAAGAGATGGGTCAGCGACTTGAGCAGCGAGGAAGTTCTGGAGATCTCCGAATCGGTCGCCAATTTCTCCGACAAAGGGATGGATCTCACCCGCTCATTCCAGTCTCGGCCGATTTGAGGAACATGCACATCGCAATCGTCGCCACAATATCGGCGCTAGCCCCAAACGCCTTCGAAATGCCGGCGAGAACCGCGAAGCTTGGTTTGCGGTTCATGAAGATCTCGTGCGGGTGCGTGAACATCAAGACGACGCAGCCAATGCCACCAGCTGCCACTGGTTAGCAACTCGGTCGTCTCGGAGACGTGCTGGGCTGACCTAGTCCAACGGTCCCCATTACGATCTATGTGCGGATGAGATAAAAGTTTAGTCAAACGGATCAGGACAACGCACCACGAGGTACTTCATGAGCACTCCGGGCGTTCCTGGATTCTTGACCATATGAAGCTGGTAGACGAAATACATCTGCGACGTGAATGTGATCATGGCGGAGATGAGACATTCGATGGACAATTCCCTGAAAGCCTCATAAACAAATGATAGACCGCCAGACTAAACCGAAGACGAGACAAACTTTGTGACGGCATTCAGCGGAGTGAATGAGCCAAAGTAAGGAAGCTAACAGTTGTTGTTCGGAACGTCGGACGGAGGCTGTCGGCGGAAAACACCGACCATGTAGTAGTACACGGACTGCGAGATCAGAGCCATGGAAAGGAAGTCGAGGCCTATCATCATCCCAGCCTAGAAAAAATGAACAACTTGTAGGATTGAGCCCAGAAATATCGTACCACGAGACGGACACCGATCTTGTCTTGGTACCGGGTGAAGTACAAGTAGCCTTGCAATGCGGTGACTCCACAAAGCCTGGCAAGTCGGGTCATTTCGAATCGTGCATCACCCTATGGAATACCGACACGAGAGCAACACAGAAGCCTCGAGTGCAAGTCAGACAAAAAGCCTATGAAACATCTTGGCGGGATGACGTACCCCAGAACACAGGCCCGAAGACCTCTGCAAAGTCCGGGGTAGGCGCGTTTGAGACGGGCTGCATTCTTGAACGAGGGGGGATGCGGCGCGAAGATGAACGAAAGACGGGGGGGAGGAGAAATCGATCTCTTCCCCGTCTTGTTCTTGTCCGAGGTGTTTATATAGTATCCACCCAATGCTGTATTCGTCCTATTCTGCATTCGACCGGTTCGTTCCTGCATCTTGCTGGAACATGTCGCAAGATGCACGTCGGTCAGTTTGGGTTTGAATTCGACTTGGCAGTTTCCGAAATCGAAGTTGGCGCCTCCGAAAGGAGGCATCAGCCACGCGAAATCGGATCCCGAGCTTTGGATCATGGTCGGAGAGTCTGCACTAGCGAATGAGGAAGACGCGAGCAGGGCGTCCATTAGCGATAGTCTCCACTCCATTAGGACAACAACACTAGCTCCCTCCCTCGCTACCGACACTGCGGAAAAATCCCATGCGATTCAATGGGCCAGAAGCGCGCGGACCGTCGGACGCGACCGAACACTCGAGCGATGGCACTGGCACTGACAGAGGAACCGAAGACATCGAAGTGGAAGTGGAAAGAGAAGCAGACTGGGACGGCGACGGAGTCAGGCCCATGGACCCGGAGCTCAGCTCGAGTTCCAATACCGCAATCGATAGAAATATGTAACATTACGTTGGCTTCTATTCGAATCCTGGACAAGACTTGATCTGTTTGGGAGTAGGACAACTCGAAAACGGGATCTTCTCGATTTCGTGGTCCTGCAAATGATACTTTTTGAGTTGGAGATTACAGAGAAGCCTCGGAAAGGACCGAACATGTCGACATTGGTGACAACCGCCGATCAACTTCCAGCATTGACTCGCCCTGCTGCTCAGCAAGACACGAGCGCATGGTTGGCCGGAGTAAAATCTGGATGACTGACACCTTACTGGCCTGAGTCAAGCGGGTGTGTCCAGGATAAAACTCCCGCTTAAAGTTTGCCAAAGCGGACTTTCACAATAGGTGACTGCATCTGATGGAGATGGAATTTCTGCAAAAATCCAAGCACGTCATCTTATCTGATGCCATCACCCCATCTGGCATGTGTTTCCCACATTTTCGATTGGTGCACTCTTTCAATTTTGCTGACAGCTGATTGAAAAACGTTAGACAGTGCACGATTATTTCGATGTGATCGCGGAAAATCCCGTAGCACAGCATATTTCCTCATTCAGTACTTTTCGCTCCACCGCACTCCACGCGACATCTGTTTTTAGCTGGAAGGGACGGACAACCCTGGAATTCCACCGTTCCGTGGATTGGACCGAGCTCGAAAGATGCTGCGTTTGCAGATCCTAGTCGCAGCCGAAATGCAGGAGGCGGATAGACCGCGCGAGGACATGACAATGCTGTGCTACGGGATTTTCCGCGATCACATCGAAATAATCGTGCACTGTCTAACGTTTTTCAATCAGCTGGAAGCCTTCCGCCCCGCATTGGGTGCGCCATCAGAGCGTCATCGCCTTATCTCGGATCCACGGGTCATAGTCTCTCACCAATTGACTATAACTCATGCAGACAAGTCTATCACTCCGGTGTTGGACTGACGCGAACGGGTTATATGGACGTGCTCAACGGAGTTCCCATATGAAGGGCTCGCTGCTCCAGGTGCTCTTTGTCCGTTTCTGCTGGCGAACCTTGTGTACTCACAGCTGTCATTAGCTCGCAATCAAGCTACTGGATTTGTACCTAATCGTGACGTCGCCATAAATGCAGGTCCTCGCGCCATCTGCAATCTGGTTACCGTGATCCTTCGTCCGTACCGGCTTCGATAATCCCCCCTCTCTTCTCCCCTCGCCTCTACTTGCTTCGCCATGTCCCAGTTCCACAAGTGCCCTCCCTACCTTTCACCAGGCATTCTGGAGAGCCACTGACCCATTGGCAGGGAACCCGAATTCGACACGCTTCAACTCCACGGTGGGCAAGAACCGGACCCGACCACCAACGCACGCGCAGTGCCGATCTATGCGACCACCAGCTACGTCTTCGATAGCGCTGAGGTCAGGCCGCGTTTGTCCCATCCCTGCCCCCCACTTACTCATTCGATGGTCTCAAGCACGCAGCGGATCTCTTTGGACTGCGCGCCCATGGGAACATCTATAGCCGAATCGGAAGTGCGTACACTGACGTTTCCACGTCTTGATATTGATGTCTCCTTGCTGACATGCCCTGCTAGACCCTACAGTAGTACGTCTTCGCTCGTCCTTGTTACTCTCTATCTTCATCACTAGCTGGTAGGACGTTTTCGAGAAACGCGTCGCTGCATTGGAAGGTGGAGTGGGTGCTGTGGCAACCGCGTCAGGTCATTCCGCGCAATTCCTCGCCATCGCATGCTTAGCGCGACCGGGGCAGAACATCGTCGCAAGTTCCCGTCTGTATGGAGGGGTGCGTTATCCAATCTCCACGATCTCTCCCCCGCTCTGAGCCCTGGTTTCAGAGTTACAACCAATTCAAAGGCATGACCTCTACTCATCTTCGACCAACCTTGTCTCACTCTCGCATCAGTCACGTTTCCTCAATTCGGCATCAAAGTCAAGTTCGTTACTACCTCCGACCCGAAAGACTTTGCGGCCGCGATTGACGAGAACACGCGTGGAATCTTCGTGGAGAGCATCTCGAACCCAAAGTACACCCTTAACAACATTCCTGAGCTCGCCAAGGCACGTGTAGTCGCGGTGTTTCATTGAACGGCTTGACAAATGGTCATAGATCGCGCACGAGAATGGGATTCCTCTGCTGGTGGACAACACCTTCGGGATGGCCGGCTACCTGATTCAACCTATCAAGTATGGGGCAGACATTGTCGGTGCGCAGTTTCTGAGCAGGTTTCTCGGGTACAGTCTCATGACATGGCTGCAGTGCACAGCGCTACCAAATGGATCGGGGGACACGGGACCACCATCGGAGGGATCATTGTCGTACGTCGTCACTCTTGCTTCTTGTCTACTTCCCGAGGCTGATCAGGTATCAGGACGGAGGGAAGTTTGACTGGGCCGCTTCTGGCAAGTTCTCCGTCTTCACGGATCCCGCGGAAGGATACCACGGACTCCGATTCAGTGAGACTTTCGGATTGAATGCATTTGGCGTCAAGATCCGCACTGAGGTATGCTCGAGTTGTCCCCGCGTTCTATGGTCCTTGACGAGCAGTAGCTCCTGCGGGACGTCGGGCCTACGCTAAACCCATTTGCGGCATTTCTGTTTCTACAAGGCCTGGAGACCCTCAGTTTACGGGGGCAACGGCACAGTGAGAATGCGCTCGCTCTGGCGAAGTAGGTCGAGACCCTCAGCTTGGAATCTGTGCCCTGACTATATCCAGACACCTGGAAAAGCACTCGCGGGTCGCCTGGGTGTCGTACCTGGGACTTGAGAGCCACGAATCGTACCAGCTCGCGACTGAACTTCTCCGACGAAACGCATACGGGGGTGTGCTAAGCTTCGCTGTCAAAGGTGATGACAAGGATGCGAAGAAGGTGATCGATGGGCTGAAGCTGGCGAGCAATCTCGCTAACGTCGGTGCGTCGTTCCTGTAGTTCTTCTCCTTTGAAGCCGATGTCCTTGCCCAGGTGATGCAAAGACGCTCGTCATTCACCCAGCGTCAACGACTCATTCGCAACTCACTGCGGCCGAGCAGGCTTCCGCCGGAGTGACGCCCGATATGATCAGGGTGAGTCTGAGCGGGGAATTCGGAGTGATGTGTCTGATATCCTGCTCGCAGGTTTCCGTTGGAATTGAGGATATCTCGGACATCATCGCTGATTTTGAGGCTGCGCTTGCATCCCTGTGACCGCCCTATCATTCGTGCTGGATAGCTACGCGTGGAGGAGCTTTGTTTACTGAGAAAGAAATTGTGCGCTTGACTAAACGAACAGTGATTGGATTCGATATCAGTACATACTGTTGCACAATGACCATTGATGTACATACTAGTCCGTACCACATTGCTTAACTTCACGCACCGAAACGAGTCTTCACTTCCACATCCAGGAATTGCTCCAGTGTTCCAAGCTGGACCCCCAGTGCAACCAGATCTGGGTTCGGAATGGGGGTGCCGCCCAGGAAGCCTTCATGTTCTTCATGTGCAGCAAACTCAAAACAAAGATGAGCTGGAAACAAATCGAGTCTTGCCGAGGCACACACCATCTCGTCGATAGATTTGAGCCCACTGGGAGGTGACTGAACGTATTTCACGGGAACTCCGAGTTCTAGAAACGGTTCATGGCAGGCAGCAAGCGGTGAGCACAACGTACTTTTTTCGATCAATTCGCTCAAGTGCGAGAAGCTGGTCGAGACATTGACGATCGGGTAGGATTTCCCGACGACGTTAGTGTTTCCACTGGCGTATGCTTTTGCCAGAGCAAGCGAAACAATGCCCACGTCGCGGCCTACCCAGGTGAATGTCTCCTTCGCAGCGGGCGGGTAAGAAACGGAGAGCTCATAGCCTGTCTCCGTTTTCTTGAGCGCACCGTAGCTGGAAGAATGATATAGATGCCACGAGAAATTTCTGTGAGACGAAAGGGCTCACGTCCAGAAATTATCCAGAAATGAGCCAGTGAGAATGGACGCGTGCGCGAGCCCTGCGGTCTTGAGGTACTGCTCGACTTCAGCCTTATCTACGCGTATTTCAACATTGTTTCGGTGATGGAGGTATGATTACTCACGATCGTAGTGCGCAACTGCCGTGTATTTCCCTTTCGACGCGTCGATGATACTCGGAAGAGAGCTGCAACAGAGGGTAGTTGTTAGGAGAGTCCCCACACAGGTGATTCATTCTCACCTGAACACGAGAAACTCAACACCTGCCTTCTTCGCAGCCTCGATGACGTTGATCCCTTGTGTCTTCTCGTCCGCCGCGGCACCAAAAACTGCGGGAACTGTGACCTGCAATCAGAGCAATCAGCATCGGTGATATAAATAGGAGGTAACGTACTAGAAACACAGCCTTGCTCCCCCGCAGCGCATCGACCAACGTGTCTGCATCGGCGCACGTATCGCCCTTGACGATATCTACGCCTCGTTTCAGAAGTGCCTGCGCTGCGCTGGAGGCCGGATCGCGTGTGATTGCGCGAGCCTGGAAGTTCCCATCGGCGAGAATAGCGTTGATGACGCTCGAGCCTGTGGAAACTCAGCGAGTCTGCGAGTGGGACGCAGCTAAATAGGTACCTTGAGTGCCCGTTGCGCCGAATACAGAGAATATGGGATGGGACATGGGAGTAGAGAACAAAGTTGACGGATGAGTAACACTGATTAAGGTGAGATCGCTCCCTCCTGTGATTCGTAAGGAAAATGACGAACCGGATGACATGGATCCGAAAGAGGGCTGTGTTGGGTCTCGGACCTGGTTCGAACGTTGACTCACAGTAAGAGGGCCACGTTCGGTCGGGATCAAGGGGCTGCCGCAAATAGATGAGAGTTGGCTCACTCTTTCATTTGAAGACACGAAATCAATACTTCGGCCGTCACAGCGTCATCACGTGCATAATGTTCGATTTTCGTGTTCAGTTTCCAGTCTGACGGTGACCGAATTCGGCACGCAATCTTCCAAATGCGCTTAATCAGTCTCCAACATGCGGGTTGCTTGCGGAGCCGGTCGACTGCATGAGCTAGCTATATTCGGTTCTCATCTGTTGAAATCCCTTCTCTGCAATATCAAAGTTGTAATGATTGATGGATGAGTGAGAATAGCGACCCAATGATTGAAGATTCATTTATTTCTCCGAAACGCGATTGACTAAATGCCAAACCTGCCCCTCACCTCGGCCTCCAAAAATTCCTCGACAGTTCCTAGTTTGACGCCCAGAGCAACAAGATCGGGGTTCGGCAGGGTTGTGTCAGGAAGAAGGCCGGCAGTAAACTCCGAGTGTGCAGCAAACTCGGAGAGCATAAGCACCCCTTTTGAGCTGGTATCTTGACAAACACTCACCATCTCATCCAGGGGTGGAATTCCGGGCCGAGGTTTCTCAGAGTACTTCACAGGTACACCGAGCGCTGGTGAACGATGGATGGCTCATCAGCCTTGTCCAGTAAAAGCGAAAACCACACCGTTCACCCTTTGACATCCTCTCCGCGATAGTATTGAAGTCAGTGAACGCGTTGATGACCGGAAACAATTTGCCAACGACGCTCGAGTTTCCGCTGACATAGGCGCGGGCCACCGCGTGAGAGACGACGCCTACGTCACGGCTGACCCAGGTGAATATGTCCGCCACGTCTCCAGGCACTGGAACGCTGAGCTCGAGGCCGCCATCGACCTTGTTGAGGGAATGGTGGCTGTAACGTGGGTCTCAGGGCATGTGCCTCCCAGGTGCGAAATAACCACTTACTTCCAGAAGTTTTCCAGGAAGAAACCCGTCTGGATCATTGCATACGGAAGGCCAGCGGTCTTCAGATAGTCCTTCAGTGCCGCTTTGTCTGGGATGCAGAAATATCAGAAGAATACCTCTCGGAAGATTGAGGATTCACTGACCTTCGTAATGCGAAACTGCCTTGTACCTTCCATTCGAGGCTTCGATGACACTCGGCAAATAACTGGAAAATAAGCCATGATTTCTTGAATAAGAGCTCTGGTGGATTCTCACCTGAATACCAGGAACTCGACCCCAGCCTCCTTTGACGCTTCGATGACGTTGATCCCTTGATCCTTCTCGGATGTGCTGGCGCCATCGAAAACTGGCACGGTCACCTGGAACGCGGAGCGCAATTGAGTCTCCGATCAATCACCCCACGGCGAGATGGGGCTCGACACAACCATGTGCGCACCAAGAACACAGCCTTGCTTCCTCGCAGCGCATCGACTAACGATGCCCGATCGGATCCCATATCGCCCTTCACCACCTCCGCACCTCGTCGCTTCAGCTCCTGCGATGCCTTGGAGCTGGGATTGCGCGTGAACGCACGCGCCTGGAACGTCCCATCGGCGAGAATCGCGTTCACCACACTCGCACCTGCCCAATGCAGATGAGGCGACCAGCTTCATCGAAATAGAAATCCGGGATACCTTGTGTCCCAGTGGCACCGAAAACAGAGAATACCAATGGGGCCATGCTGAATGAATTGTTTGAATGAAGGATCTTGAGGGAACCAGTGTTGCTTTTAAAGTGTTCGGTAAAACTCAACTTCCGTCAGGCTAAAAACAGAAACTCTCGAAAACATTCACCTGACGTGATCAGACTAATTTCGGCTTCCAAATTTATGCCAGGGACGGAAGTGTTTCCTTGACATTGCAGAGTCCAGGTGATCGCACAGTACGAACTTTCGAGACCTGACGCTACCGAAATCTCAAGAAGGCAGGTCCGGCCGGACTCGGGCAGACTCGGGCTCAATTGGCCCAGCTGATCATAAGTTTCGATCGTGCTTTTGGGTTCATCTATTGAAGTCGATAGTGATGTTTCTCGAAACTTTTCCTCCGATTACTCCTGTTCAAGGTCTTGCAGTGAACTAAGATTGAAATAGAGTCATTCGTGTAATCCTGATACGAGTAACATCTCTGATCCAGTCGCCGATGCTTAGTACATCTCGGCGCGTGATCTGGCCGATTAGCCGTAAGGCTGCTCAATTCAGGTCGTTCATGATCATCCGTTAATCCGTTAATCCGTTCATGGCAGTACCCCCCTTCTCGCTTCGAGGAACCGTTCGATTGTTCTTTTCAGATTTCCCCATTTGGGATGCACGTGCCTTTGCACTGCCTCACCGCCGTCGCTTGCGGACTGGCTCCGCCGATCATCATATCTCCATTCCTCCGTGCGTTTACAGGCGCACGGACACTCCCGCCTATGTCAGTCCGATTGAGTGCAAATTAAGCCCCAAAATTGGCCTTATCTCAGGGCCAGATTCAGTGCAAATAGGCCCAAGAGCCCAAGTCCCAACCCCAGTTAGAGCAAATTGGGGGCTTTGCCGGTGGAACTTTTGGACCATATATGTATCATCGGTGAGAGGGTCAGATCAGCAAATTTTGACCTATTCTTGGATGAAATGGAGAGCTTTTGAAGCATATCAAGAGTGCTTCAAAATCAGGGCCATCATGGGCAAGAAATGGGTAAAAACACCTGAAAAGGGCTAAAATGATAGCATATCTCAGTCCGACTTAGCACAAATTAAGGGCTCCAAAGGCCAATTTCATAGTGCAAATCAGGCTGGCTCGGCGGACTGACATAACGGGGAGTGTCCGTGGGCCTGCGTTTACTGACTTCAGCAAGCTCTGTTACATCCCTAAATGGGTCACAACGAAACGGATAAGTATTTGTCAAGGCACATTGATGGCACAACAAGGACATTTGTGGGTACCAGAGGCACTATTTCACTTTATCGGCAATATCTCACTTTATCCGTTGCGGAACATCGCCGCCCGATTGATGCCTCCGGCCGCTGACAGCCCGGTTATGCGTCGGTTACCGGTAGCCGAAAAGAACAATCGAACTAGGCCTCTCTCGCTTCCCATGGCGGATGGAAGCACGGGTCTACCCCATGACCGCCCTGCACTTCTTCCTGTTTCCTCTGCCTGACTGTGACGCCAACCAATCCGCTGGCTTCATGTTCTCAAGCACGGTGAATAGGTCGGGTACGCGGCCCAAAAACCCATCCTGTGGCCCCTTCGACTCGAGCGCGATTGGAACTTCAGCATCCTTCTCAAGCTACTTCCGCAGATTGTCACCATGATCACTGCATGGTGCTGAATATTTTTGCTCGATTTAGTTGGGAACCAGCGGAGTCGCTGTCCACTGTGTTCAGGCTGCCCTAAGTTCCAAGAAGGATGTTCCCGAGACAAACGAAGGCTTGTCAGTATAGTCACCTTCTCATGTCGGGTGCAATGTAGTGCCGCCGCTCGTGGTCCCGCCTAAGTCTGCTTATATCAACACGCTGCAGAAGCACTTGGAGTCCCGAAACCCTGGCTTGCACTCGCTCATCGGTCGAATACGTAGCCCTGAGGACCTTTCCGGGAGAGGCAGAATCCCAATGCAAGACAGCGCGCTTCAAAACCAAAAGAATATCCAAATTAACACCCATTTGGATTATGTGGTGGATATTTTCAAGTGCTGGAGTGGGTAAGGTTTTCGACTGCTGGAATATTGGTATGGATTTGGCTCAGCTGAGAAAGTCTCGCACCGACTATGCAACTGCCAATCTCACAGCATATGCTCTGGCGTTTCTCCCCTATTCAGCAGCCCACGTTCTTGCTCATTGGATCCGATCGCCCTTCACATAGACCACTACATTCAAAACCTATGACTTTGCTTTATGCACAGAAACTTCGAAAGCAAGCAGAAGCCCTTGCGCTTCGAACCTGAAACGCGTCTCTATGATTGCTTTTCCGGATAGTGGATTCAAAGTGTGGCGTGGCCAGTATCGATTTTGGTTGCCGTTCACCAGATTTCGTTATGAGTGAGAACATGACCGAGAGTGTCTGTCATCATCTCCTGACAATCGAGCAGAGCCGGTAACAGCGTTGTGGATTTTCACAGTCAGGGCACCAGTGGTCCTCCACGACATTAGCCTTGGGCACACCATGCAGAAGGTAGGGGATTGATTGCGTCAATGACTATCGTGTTTCGGTGAAAGCTATCAGCAAAAGTGCATTACGATGTCAAGCCGTGAGCTGCGTAAGCGCGGATGCGACTTGACAAGATCTATGATGTCCCACAGGGGAAGTACCCAAGCCTTCGGGATGCCATGCTATGTGTGAATGCTTGAATGAAAAGAAATGGACTACCACCACCCTGCGCTCTTCCTCTTTCCTTTGTCTCCCTCCAACAATGGAGTTTGTTCATCGACGACTGTTCCTTCCCTGACGTCACCAGAAACCGCGTCGCCGAGCGCACTCTCCAGCGCCTGTCTCACAGCGCCTGCGTCCTCCTCCTCGCTCACGACTAACCCCGGGACAATGATATCCTCGCCGGAACTCACAGCTTCAGGATCGTCCCCACCCGACTCAGAATCATGCGAGTGCATATGCAGCTTCGGAAGCGGCTCTCCAAAGTCATCTATATGCAACCTCCTTTGGCGCAGCTTCCATGCAACGCAGATCCCGAGCAACGTAAATTGCATCATACCAGCAACGGCGTACGTGACCCAACCTGCGGGACATGAGCTGAGGCTGTAGACCGATCATTCATGACGTACTGGTCCAATTCGTGCCCGGTCTGGATCCATCAGCGTCGATATCACAAGGGAAGGTACCCACGCACCTCAACGCGATACTGGTGACCATCGCCACCGCACCTGGACTCTGGACGCACATCATCGGTACGCTCAGCGCACCCACTAGTCGTGCACGCCAAGTAAAAGCGATCTGTGGCAAGTACTGGATTGCGGCGAGCGCGGCCGAGGATACGCCAAGAAGCAGCGCCCAGCGCGCCAATGAGGTTGGCAGTGCATCCGAATCAGGATCAGGGAAGGACGGATCCGGATATGGCGAAGGCGGGTCGACGGGTGTTAGCGGAGATGGAGTCGAGAACAGGATGACGAGAGTGACGAGGAAGGAGAGGACACTGAGGGGAGGTTACGCGGGGATTGGGAAGCACATCGTGGTCGCACGCACAAATGCGCAACAGTGAAGTACGCCAGTAAGAGACTGTGGGCCCAAGTCTTCGTCTTCCGAGGTTCTGTCTTGTATCGAGAAGCTCCTTCGGCCGCTGACGTCGTCTCGTACTTCAGGTGGTCTGGGAAGTAGATGATGTACAGGATGAATCTGCCCACACATAAGCCACGGTAGATGAGGCCCAGCGTAGATCTCACACAAACGAAAACATCGCCCATTGCAATCCAACCTGCACGATCCCTGCTGTAGACTCCATACATGATGCGATCGACTGTAAGTAGAGCGTGTCATCAGCCCCAAGCCACGCTGTCCCCTTCTCTCAGCGGCGCGCCACGTACCACGACTGAGCAGCAGCGGATCTGCACATGCTGCACCGTGACCAGGTTGAGAAATCCCGCTGCGCTGCTCGTGCTGCCCAAAAGGAGAAACCACGGGCTAAGGCCCTCGGACGTGCCAGTGCGGATAATTCGGAGATGTTGCGGGAGATAAGATATAACCAGTCCGATGCAGAGGACGAGCGTGAGGAGCGATGTGATGAGAGAGTGTTCCTGTGGCGTTGGGATGTCGTGGTAAGGAGTTGAGAGAGTAGCAGTAGTGAAGAACGTAGTGAGTTCCAAAAAGGCTTCAGCCAAGGATATAAACGACTTACAGGTTCACATTTGTCGAGAAGATTCATGGACTTGGGCATGGCGCCGTCGTCGTCGTCCGCCAAAGGACGCGCGTGATGTGATGAACACGTGCGCGGAGCATGAAGGTGCTTACCTCAGCCGAGTGTTCGACCAGTGATTTGACTGGAGAAGCTTAGTTGGTCATCGATATACCTCGACAGAGTCATTTGACGCTTCTGACTAGTACACAGGTGAAAAAAGGTTTTATAAGGTATGTGAAGCCTATTACTCAAATTCTCAGTGTCATCTGTCAGTGAGCGTCGCGGATGGGACTATTTTCCGGTTGCCGCGCGGCTTTCAGGACTTGGAACACAAAGGTCCCTGCGCTGAGTGTTCGTCGTCATTGAATTCGAGAGGAGCATTGTGAATCCTGCAGTCCACGTTGCGGCCGTCGTTCTGCCGGCCATAATAACAGAGGCTTTCCGGATTTTCGAGGCGTTTCTGGATTATTCTTCCTTGAATAACATCTCTAATGTAACTGAACTCGAACAAGAGATAATGACATGTCATGACGTGTGCAGTATGTTTGAGACCATATATGACACTAATTCTCGCCTACCTCTTTCTGTCAAGCTGGTGCCCCTGCGTGAAGTTCTTTTTCAATGTCTTCTTATAGGAGTGAGTTCGAGGCTTTCTACCCCAGTGAGTTTGAACAGAATACAACAGAACCAACTTGCATGTTCGTTCTTATCATAAATCATATACATAGAGATTGTTCAACTCTGGCCAGATCAAGAGGTCTGGCATTGTAGCACGCTCTGTGTCTGCATATTGTATGTAAGTTTCGTGGACGATTCCATCAATCGAGCAGACATATATAAGGTTTATGAATTTTCTGGACCCTCCGCACGCCAAAAAAAGCCTTCAAAGAGGCGCTTCAAGGAAACTAAGCTTCAGTGAATGATCCTATTCGATATAAACATGTAAATTTGGGATATGAATTCCGAATTTCTGCAGAATATGTGTAAAAACACTCAGAATCCATTCAAATCGAAATGTGGTTGGTGCCACACCACCACTTATCCATATCCGGCGGCTGATCATGTGCCTTCGGACTTTGCCGGTGCACTTCCCACAGTTCAAATACCTGACTTGGCGCTCTGAAATGTCTATCAATGACACTTGGTGCTTTCATGCCTGGCTCAAAATTGAAGAATAGTAGAGATCTTATTGTGATGAGCAGAAAGACGATGCTCTATTCGTCGTCAATTGTGGAAACAGCATAGCGCAACAAGGTAGATGTTGTGCATTGAACTAAATCTATTAATTCGATCATTAACATTGAATTATTGCACAAAGGCTAGCACCTCCGGTTTCACTCCGACATATTGCTGGTCAGAGTATGTATATTTGTCCGAATGACGATGCAAAAGTCTACAAATCATAAGCTTTCCGACGAGACATCCTCCATTGCTGTAGCTGTGTGAGCCATAATAAAGAGGAGTTTACAGAGGGTATGTGGAATTCAAACAGGGTCTGGATGGCTGACGGAACGAGAGCCGCGTAATTGACCGGCGCCCGTAGCAGCAGAAGAGATACTGATCAGCCTCATTTTTTGCTCGGAAAGAGTCCGAGACTTCCATACCATCTTGAATATCATAGAATGCCGGAGGACGGACATCGTAATCTAGTGGGCATGAGCGACTTTACAATTGAGGTCATGCATTTCAATTTTGCCCTGGCCAACGCTCATCTGCTTTCGGACATAATCGGCCTCGGACCATCACTGCTCAACCGCTTACGTCATAGTTTTTCATCCTTATCTCCATGAACCACCCGTCCGTCATTTCAGACACGACACCACGGGCGAAAGCAACTCAGGAGTCAGTGGATTGTCAGCCTCAGGTCCATGAGCTGTCAGCTTCAGCGCCCAGCAACAAGCTCCCCGCCTCGGCGAAACCCAGGGGTGCTTTCGGTATCTTTCCCCAGTGGCGATACCGAGAAAGAAGATTCAAGCCAGTGTTGATTAGATGAAGATCTTCGAAGTGGGGCGGAGTTCTTTATTCCACAGATTGCGCATGAGCAAGACATCTCACCATGTTTTGCCCTCGTTGCTCTGGTCCCACCCGCTCGTCCTCGTCCTGGTCCTCAGCCTCGGACTGACACGAAGCTCGCCCCCTGTCGTGATGCGGGGTCTATTGCCAATTTTCTTATCTCTCACCACCACGCGTCAGTGGATGCGGCTTCGAAGTCCCGGGAGTTTGAATTTCCTCGGGGCGGTTCAAGGGCTGACAGAGGATTTCGATTTTTTGATACGCGCGAGATGCGCCTCGATATCCGTTATCAGCAAGCCGCCCCATCGCATCTGCATAAAAAACGCGCGCGGGATCGATGAGGGGTTGTCGCTGAGAGTCCGTATTTCCCCAACAATGCGCGGCGTAGTCCAGCTTCTGTCCCTCGCGTCTCTCGCGCCCCTTGGGGCCTTGGCCGGCCCCCACGCTCGTCTGCGACACCCGACAGTCGCCTACACGTCTCGCAAGAGCGGGCACGGGCCCTTGTTTGAAGTCCTGGCTGCTCAGCCCGTGGAATCCGAGCCCGGATTCAGCCCAACGGCAGCCGCGCCCAAGGCAAACCCGTTCCTCTCCCTCACGAACGACGAAGCCGCGAGTATCGTCGCTTTCTTGCACAACCAGACGGCACTGAACTTGACCGCGGCCACGGATGCCGGTCCTTGGGACAACGCGATCGAGGTGCTGGATTTGGTTGCACCGAATAAAACAGGTGCGTGATAGTGGTTTCTCGATGTTTGTGGCTGACGATCGTTGCAGACGCACTCGACTATCTCGACCGCTCCGGACCGCTGCCTGCCAGGTATGCGGTTGCCAAAATCATGTTTGGGGCCACGGAAGAGGTGTGTATCTTGTTGCCGGTACGAGATGGGGTCTGACGTTCGGGCAGCCATATCTGCAAGACTTCATTGTCGGACCTCTTCCGATCTCCAATACCTCCACCTACGAGAGTCTGGACTGGAGCACGACCAAGGGGACGTCCAAGATCCGGAACTACGATGCTGGTGCGTTTGCATACACGGCTCGTATGGCTTTGCATGCTGAGCCCCTGTAGACTCAAGCCTGAAATCCGAGTGGCTCTACAACGTCTCGACCCCTCTTGCTGACATTCTCCTCGACCTGTTCAACGCTACACTCGACGAGCTCGACATTTGGGGAATTGACCCGCTGTGGAAGGAGAAGCTGCCTATCACATATACCGACAAGCACGGCAAGGAGAAGGTCAAGAACGAGGAGCGGATTGTGGCCTGGAATACCTTCTGGCGCTACCCCACGGGCGAAAACGCGGTATTTGACGGCGAGACGCTGTTGCCTCAAGGCCTGTTCTTCAAGGCAGATGTCACAGGCCGTGACCCCAGCCAGTGGAGGGTGCTGGGATGGCTGTATGGAGAGTGCGTAGTAACGGAATGTGGATGCACATATTGGCGCTGACTCCCCAACCACAGCATTTTCTACTCGACAACAGCTGAATTCCGCTCCGCCTGGGAGAAGCCTGACTTTGTCAAGTACGAGATCAACCAGAGCGGAGACTGGGTTGGGTCCGATCGGGTAAGATTGGCTTTCACGGGTGTCTGCATCGAGTCTTCATGACCTATTTCAGGTGGGAACACCCTTCCCAGGGGACACTCTCCCTGCACCGATTCTCGTTCAGCCGAGTGGTGAGTCCTCTCGTCGTTCATTATGTTCATGGATGCTGAGGTTACCTACCAGCTCAACGGTTCTCCGTTGACGAATCTCAGCGCTACGTCGAGTGGATGGACTTCTCCTTCTATTTGACGTTTACGAGAGACACCGGACTCCGGCTGTACGATATCCGTTACAAGGGAGAGCGGATCATCTACGAACTTGGCTTGGAGGAAGCTATTGCTCACTAGTGCGTCGCTCTCTCTGCCGCTCTACTTTGACTCTGAATGTGCGCGTGTTAGTGCTGGCAATGACCCCGTGCAGTCCGGTACCGCTTACTTGGACACGTTCTACGGATTTGGAACGTTCGCATTCGAGCTTGTGCCTGGGTTCGATTGCCCGTCGTATGCGCATTTCTTGAACGGGACTTTCCACGCTGGAGAGGTCTCCACCACCCACCGAAACAACATCTGTCTGTTCGAGAGCGACCCGGGCTACCTCATGCAGAGGCACTCGTCGATGAACTACCTCTCGCTCACCAAGAACATCGCGTTCACCGTCCGCTCCGTGTCGACTGTGGGCAGTGAGTGGCTATTCTTTTACATGCTATAAGTGGACGCTGACCGGCGGCTTCCAGACTACGACTACAATTTCGACTACATCTTCACCCTTGACGGTGCGGTCGAGACTGTTGTGCGCGCCTCCGGATACATCCAGTCGGCATACTATGCACACAACTCCGAGTACGGGTACCGCGTCCACGACAGCCTGAGCGGATCGATGCACGATCATTCGCTGAACTGGAAGGTTGACATGGACGTCCTGGGCACGGCGAACACGTTTGTCAAGCACAAGATCGCGCCTGCAGAGGTCAAGTACAGCTGGAGCAACGAGACACGCAAGACGATGAAGCTCGAGAAGGTTAAGGTCAAGAACGAGGATCAGGCCAAGTTGGTGTGTGCTTCTACTCGCTTGGGTTATGGACTCGTCACTCATATGTCACTTCCAAGTACTGGCCCCGGAACGGAGCCGACATGTTCATCGTCGAGAACCTCGACCCCTCCAAGGCTAACAAGTACGGCGAGGCCCGCGGCTACAAGATCTCTCCGTCCCGCGGTGGATCGGGGATGCACCTGACCATCCAGGACTCGCCGAACCTGCTCAAGTCGCAGAGCTTTGCGACCCACGCATTGTATGTGACCAAGCAGAAGGACACGGAGCCGCGGTCGGCGCACGCCCATAATGACTACGACCCGGGTCACCCCATCATCGACTTTTCCGAGTTCTTGGACGGCGACAATCTCGAACAGGAGGATATCGTCGTTTGGCTGAATGTCAGTTCTTTCCCCGAATCGCAGTACTTCGCTACGGTGCTTATACACTCCTGCAGCTTGGAATGCACCACGTGCCGCACACTGGCGACATGCCGAACACGGTATTCACGACCGCGCAGTCGGCGTTCATCATCTCGCCGCACAACTATCTCCTCAACGACGCGTCCCGAACGACGCGCCAGATGGTCCGCATCGATTACAACGCCTCGGGCGTGCAGCTCGTCAAGCAGTTCGGCGCTAATCTCCCGAGTGGCATGCTCAACCTGACGAGCACGAACTGGGACTTCACCTCGTATGAGGGCGACATCAACACGAGAAAGTTCCCGTACGACCGTGAGTGTTTTTCCAGAGTTCTTTAAAGCGTGAAGCTGATAACGAGTCTTTTGTAGCCCTGCATCCGTACAACGACACGCAAAGCATTGTTTAAAGTAGAGTATCGAATGAATCACAGAAGTTATGTAACTTCAATGCAGTGTGAACATTACCGGTGATGATGCTTCATATTCAAGTCACAGTGGCTTCTCCAGCGCTCTAGCCACCGTACTGGGCATTCATGTGACCTAATTCGCGTCGAGCTGTGTATGCTGTCCCCCTTCGTGGATTGGCCGCGGTAGCTCGGCGGGTCAGAATCCCGCCCTTCGTTCGCAACCATTCCGTCGACAGAGGCGTCTCCTGGAAGTGACAACGGGCACTGTAACATGTCTGAAGCGCTCTTCTCTTTGGAGTGTACACCGGGAGTGTATCTGCTGCTCGGGGCCAAAGGGATGACCTGGGAACATGGGGCCAAGTCGCGGTCCTCTCAGGCTGTGCAACTGCGTCTTTCCGCTTTCAGGTTGCTGTGATGCCCCTCGATGATGATCTCACTGGGCTGGACCTACGCAGCGACCATTGATAAATGCAGCTCCCAGGTTGCTGCGGGAGCAACAAGACCGCAAGGCGCTTCCATGGATCCATCGGGGACCAGGACAGGCTGAGGACTATCGAGAGTTGGCTTAGCACCGGTCAGATCAGCTGTCGAACTATACGCATACGGCTATACTCTGGGGTAGCTCAATAGAACTTGCGATGTCCGCAGGCAACGATGGACAAATCACATGGAATCAGCTGGCACGCAGGCTACGATCTGTCCAAACTCGTGGCGAAATGGTCAGGATTCCCGCGCATTCCTTGTGTGAGTGCTATCGTTCACGCCCCGTACTCCAAGCGCACAGCAAATGCACCATGATAGTTCTTTAACTCAAATGTTGAGGACTGGAAGACTCAGTATTCGGGGCTCTGCGATACTCATTGATAGTGAACAACTAGAACTAGAAACTGTCGAGGGTATACAATTACATGAACATGGGGAGGACGATCTACTGACATTTCGAACGCGAATTGCCTTGACTCGAATCGCGTTCAAGTTAAGTCAATTCGGGTTCAAAGTGCGACGGGAGGAATGGTCTTCACGTGGTAGCAGGGGTATCATCGACAAAAGAGGCCAAGCCTTAGATCAGGCGTATACCTTCTCGTGAAGTTCAGGTTGTCCGGGTAGCCGCTGTGCGGTTTTTAGCACCACATTATGCAGAGAGTTTAGTACAAAGCCTTGGTGATGAATTACCTCTAATCGGAATTTGCAAAGCTGGAAACCCGATTTAGGGTCCTTCTCGAAGTACGCCTAGGATTTCCATTGTCAATGATTCGGGAAAGTATCTGGCTTGGGTGCATACATTGGTCACCGTGTATTTCCCATCGTAGCGAAAACTGAGAAGTTCAACGTTGGAGTCGAGAGAATGAGCGAGTGGTCTCACCCTCGAGCTGGAGCCCAAGCACTGCGCTTATTCGGTCCACGGATGACATGGACTGGCTGTCCGCGCTCCATCGATTTCTATGCAGAAGATGAGACCAATCCCCATCGACGCGGCCACTTGGCCATACCACGAGATATTGATTGTCGCGATGTTCGAACGACTGGTCTTGGGTCTGAGTCCCATTCTAGAGAAATAGTCAACCATCGTTTCTGTTTTCGTTTTCTTCTTCATGCATACGCTGAAAGTACCAGAGTCTCCTTTCCCAGTTCCGGTGTATATTCTTCGAATGGATGGGATTTAGACACAGTCAGTCAGAGTTTGGAGGTGAGAATTCGTGCACTGACAGGACATCGCCATCATCCTGCCCAGGATAGAATCCGGACGTAACGATAGATATAGCACCGAGCTCCTTGGTCCCGTAGATTCCCGCCATCGACCGCCGGTGAAGTTCCATCGCGTCCGATCTGCAGAGCACCACATTGAATCCTTTGGCGCAATGAAATGGAATTGAGTACATACCTGCTTTCCCATGTCTTGCCAACCGGTATTTTCTTCTGGACCCTCGAGTCGATGGCCCAGTTGGACGGGGTGGCCAGTTGGAACTCGGGCGCTGCCATGAGAGCTTTGCGTCTAATAGAGCGGGTCGATCCGAGGTTCGTTTTCAATGAGAGGTTGCCACTGACCTGGCCTCCATAGATGAGGATGGGAGATATCAAGCCTCAACTGAGTCAACTCGTATGTTATTGTTATAGCCTACGTAAGCGATCGAATCATCGATGGCGTTCGTTGATAGGTGACGTCATACACAACAAGACCTATTGTGAGGCCTTGATAAGTTGCGGTCCTGTTGTGTATGTGTAGGAGTAAAGATTAGCTGGCTCCGATGAGGGTGGCTTGACCAGAGTGTGTAAGTGAGAAGTTTGAAAGCAGAAGTTGGCCTGTCACATGCGCGTCATGATGTGACCATGTCCTCTTCCTGCAGTTCACTCGCACGAGAGGATCGAGAACAGGACTTCAATCTCAGAATACATGCTAGGGTCAACACTCAGAAGATCCAGACCAATTTATCACCCTCCAGCCTGTTTTTGTTGCTACCGAAACTCGCCAGGTCCCCTCGCTTTTCATCCCTCTGCGGGACGGCTCGACATTTGTGACGGCTTGCATCCTATGACTTCTCCGCACAGTTTCTTGCCATCACATCCGCTCAGAATACTCCGATACTCGTCGTCAGGTGCCACTCTTTTCCTCCCTGGCGCTGCTATCCCGCTCGTAGTTCATGCGTGCGTGCTCTCCGACTTGACGACACTGCATCCCGACGCGCCTGTCATTCTATCCGACATGCCCACTCCGCTTCTTGGTTTCCGCTCAAGAAATCTTCACGTTATTCCAAGCCATAAACGAGAGCTCTTCGTACCTCACGCATGGCGGATTCGTCAAGGTCGTCCACGCATCGACGACAATGCGAGCCGGTACATCAGACCGCCTCGCTCCCTGAGGGCTACATTGATCTACAGGGCTGAGCCGATGCCCTGCAGTGCCCGGGACTGGGCACGGCTTCGAAGTGATCGCAGTGTACTTGGGTAGTGGCTTGGGGAATAGACTGGGGATCAGTTCGTCGTCTTCGGTTCGGTGCTTAGTGGGACGACTGGCGTTCTTAGTATTGCTCCCTTTCGTCGGTTGGTCTGGGCTGACATCTTTCGCAGAGGGATAAAGCTTCTTGGTCACACTGCGGTCGTTATGAGATCGATACGTCTCTCGACCCGTGACGATCTTGTTCTGTTCCGTATGGGTCGAGGACACATATCGCGGACTTGTTATGACTCATGTCTTGCATCAACGATGGTGCTGCACAGATTGGATACTCACAAGAACTCGAGTCGCTGGTGTTGACTCGCATTCCATCGTTGGTATCAAGCACCGACACGAATCCGGGCTCGTCCTTCTGATTCCCCTCGCAAGTGAGTTAAAGCTCTCCACCCGTCGCGCTGGTTGAGGCTCTAGATAACTACGGCCTTGTGCAGCTCCATGTCTACGAACTGTTTATCCCTTGGATCCAGGATGCACGCTTCACAGTCGTTAGCTTGTTCGTTCGGCCTGTCTGAGGACTTTTGCACGGATCGCAATCTCCGTGGCCGTCATGCCATGATGACGGACAGCCTTGAGTGGACAACTGCTTCCTCTATCATCCAGACTCCATGCTCGTCCATGCGTCTTCGGTTGCCCGCTGGAATGGACCGAAGGCAATCCTCGCTATGGGTGGAAACATGGGGCAGACCGGCGACACAATCGGTCCCCACTCAATCCACGGAACTTACCGGCAACGCATCCAAGATTGAGATCATAATGCTTCTTTCGCAGGGCTGCACCGGTTGCGCCGGGTGGCATGACGGGCTGCAAGGCTCTATTCGGAGGAAACATTAAGCAGGTGATTATCAACGAGGCGTGGCCGCAGCTAAGACGTATAGATGAGAGCATCGATGTTGGGAACCATATGGAAGAAGAATATGCTGGTTAGTTGCTGTGGGTTTGCACTTGTGTTCCTTACGAAAGACTGACTGGCTCTTTCGTAGCACCTTCGGTACGGTGAGCGTAATGGGCCCCGCAATCGTAACTATAAGCAACCTTCGGATACTGGCCTGAACGGCCAGCTGAAGAATGCTTCAGATCACCAGCCAAGCGAATACCTCATGCGGTGTTTGCAAGTGTCAGGTCTCATTGGAATAATAAAAAATACAGTAGGATATCATATCAGTACATCATGCTGCGTGCAAAGTGGTGGCCGCCAGCGACTACGACCCCGAGCCAGACGACTTCTTCCCACCAAATCTGCCTCCACTCAACAAACTGCCTGACTCCCTCAATAGCAGACCCATCCCCATAATGACCGCCCCTGTAATCGCGAATGGCGCCGCGAGTATCATGCCCACGCCTAGGCCAATGTCCTTCAGGATCGCGCCCTTCTGCACCTCAGGAGCCTTCTCGAAGGCATCTGCACGGTGCGCCCAGTCCTCGCGCACGGCGTCCTCCGGATGGCGCTCGGCGATGTCCCGCATGGAAGCGACGATAGACCGCTCGAGCTCGGGTGTGCGCGACGTCCAGTTGTATTTGCGTATGCGGCTATCCAGCTTGCGCAGGGCTGCACGGCATTCGTCTTCTGTCATCCTCGAGACCTTCTTGGTCTCTGATTCGAATGGAGGGGAGGAGGAGGAGGGGTCTGCCTCCGACGTCTTGGGTGGGGGTCCAGTGTACGGTGGAGGCAAGGCCTTTTCGTCGATGATAGCCATGATGATGTGGTGGATAGACTCGGATTCAAGGATGGGAGGATTCGTGGGATGTTTTCGATTCTCGCTGGTATGCGCACATTTAAATAGTCAACGCAATGTAGGGCTGCGGATGCTGCGCAGAGTTCCTCGCGCCGCGGGTAGTCATCTTGGTTTGCAACGGAGAAACTCGATGACAGGTCGGTGGCAGTGCGACACCCCATCAGTGATCGATATATCGTCGTTCTCTTGCCCATCTCTTGCCCATTTGAAGTCCAGTCAGTCATATGAAAGAGACCGGATTCCCAGCACATCTGATTCTCATTTCACTCGTTTTGAGAGAATGTTGAGGGGATCTATGAGTCGTGCACCCCAGAGTCTGTCGGGATCGACATGAAGCAAGACATCTATCAATGGCCACAGCAGCTCGCTAGCTCGCTGCAATACGAGGTGTGGAAACGGAGACCTCGTCGCATTATGTCCAAACGATCTTTCGTCACCTCGAAAATGGCTCGTTGTGGATAGCTTCCAGATCGGCTGGAGCAGTCCATTCGGGCTATCCAACAACCGTCAAATAAGCTGTGCAGCAAACTTGGCAATCTTGGAACTATTCGAAGGCAGCCAGTAGTTTGGACGCCTGATAAGTAGAATGAGATATATACTGTCGTTCTCGGATAACTGGATAACTGAAACTGTAGATTTCCATCGCCCTTTTTATGTTTGAGCTCTCTGGCTTGCCGTTTTCTGAAACTTAGTGCAACTGCACTCTGTGTTTTGCCATCTCCACCAGAATAAAATCACAAAACTCGTCTTCCGATGTAAATTTTCTGATCTTTTCTAGAAACACTTAGATTAAACGCTCTACTGATGTGGAACACAATTTCAAACTGTCTGGGTTGCCTGTGAAAGAGTTTTACTGAGATGCGTCGCATCTCCGTCCACAACATTCGACAAAATAATCGCTCGGCTGAAGGCAGAGAGCGACTGCAGCGACCGTCATGATACCCGCGCCGCAGAAATGACTGAAGGATCAAGTGGAGGGGGTTCGCTCTGTGGACTGCAAGTTGCGGCTTGTGGACCTGCCTACTATTCTTATCAGCTTATGCCAGTGTGCTTTACTAACAGCGCCCCCAAACTCCTTTGCTCTGAACTGTGTATAAAAACAAATGCCAGTATTCAAGTCGTCTACCGCATCGCAAATCGATGCACGACGTCGGCCATGGGGACATGATCGCACACAATTTTGTTTGTATGAACAAGGTTGAACATCACTTCCATTTCGGTAAACATTTGCATCCGCGGTCCGCGGGAGGATTGACATCAGCTCAGATCGGATATCATAAATGTTCACTCGGAAAAACATTTGAACGGCAAGGATGGATGAGAAGTAAATAAGATCCTGACTTCATTCCGAGAATAAAACATAAGAGACCTGGAGTCGTCTTGAATCATGCGACAGTAAAGTTTCCGCTTGTTCCAACAAACGGCGAGATCGTGCCTGTGAAGGCAGCCTTCGAGTCCCCGAAGTACCTGAATCGGTACGTCCCAGCTGCACCCACGGTCAGATCAACACTATATCTGGGGGAAATCGGGACTGACCTGGGGTTCCGCTTTCGATGGTCCATGAAATGTTCACGGTGCTGGTGCCAGTCAAAGTGTTGACACGGGCCCATTGGTAGATGGTGGATGGATGAGAGTCAGACCGGACAGGTTTCCAGGCGCCGCTCGAGAACTGATCAACATAAAGGAACGTTTGCTCGAGACGCAGGTTGTTCTATGGGAGCTTCAGCAGTTGCATAGGAGAAGATACTTCAAGCGACACACCCTTGGGTTAGCGCCGACGAAGAGCGCGTGAGCGGTATCACCTGCGTGATAGGGGGTGCTGAGAACGTCCGTCTGTACGTCACCGAAATGCTTTCCGATCGGTGTGCCATCAAAGACGACACCGGTCTGGAGCGAGAGCGCCTTTGACTGAAGCTCGGGCGGAGCGGCATCGGACACGGGAGCGGCGCTGGGCGCTTTGTCGGCAAGCCACGGAACGAGCGAGGTGAACTTGTCAATGTACGCGGGCAGAGTGTCTGGATTGGATGAGATCAGTAGTTCCGTACAAAAAGAGGAGACAGAAGGACGTACTGCGACCGAAGATGGTAGAGGCTCCCTCGTAGCGCTGCACGTTGTACTCCTCCGGGGTAGCGATGTAATGCGCGTACGTATTCGCCGGGCCAGAGATGATCACATATGCATCTTCCCCGAGAATACCGGACGAGATGAGCTGGGAGCGAATGGCAGCACTAGCAGAACATCATTCAGAACCTGATTCGATCCAGCTGCAATCAAACGCTACAAACCGAAGGCGACGGCCGGACATGGTGGTCAACTCGCCAGGAATAATCGCCATGACGACGTTCCCGACCTTGAGCATCTGGATGTCCACCGTGCTGGGGGACCAGGCATACGGGAACGTGGCGTACCCAGTGTTCAGCAGGATCGGCTTGGGGAACTGACACGCGACCTGGGCTGCGCTCGGGATGGGCGTTACCGCGGATTTGACAATCTCCCACAGCGGGTTCTGGGATGTCGAGTTATCACCCTGGATGAAGTCGAACGCTCCAGGACCATCACTGGCAAACGCGTGACTATCAGCGCGAATGGAAGAGAAGAAACAAAACTGACGTGGTTCCGCCGGCGAACGAGAAACCTGTGATCTGTTAGCACATGGTAAAAGTCATGAGGAAGGAAGAGCGGCGCACCCATGGCAGCGGGGCAAGTCTGAGCAACTGTTCCATTCGGGAGGGTAAACGTGTGGTTTGCCCTGACAAGTTTAGTGGGTGGGATAGCCAGAGAGGTTAGGGTTATAACTCACATATCCAGATACACATGCACACTGCGGACACTGCCACTCACGGCTGAGAGGCCACTTCCTCCACCGCTAATGATAGTCTTCGCCGCGTCTGCCTGCACTTGTGCAATCATCGAGTTCGAGTGGAACCCGTAAGAATCGAGTCTGAACCCGGGTCCGCGTCCATGGCAATCTTCCACCGTTCCGCCGCAGGTCGACGTGTTGGCCTGGCACGCCATTCCGTCGTAAGGCTTTCCGGGGGACTCGCAGAACGCGCCGAGGGTGTTGGGGGAGGTGTCTCCGACGTTTGCCTGCGCAAAGCCGGCAACGAATGTCTGGTTTCCGGGCATTGCGCTCGGCTCGACGGATGCTGGATTGTCTGGTCAGCATCTGCATGTCGGAGGGATGAGAGCTGCATACACTCGTACAGGTATGCCGCCATTCCTTTGTTGTCTGAGCTCACGAGCGTATTGTTCTAGGAAGGTATAAGTAAGGAGCGGGCGATGGAGAACACTCGAGTTTGTACACAACACGCACCTCGTACAAGCTTGTCCCGTGGACGGGGAACCAGCTGATGAATCCCCTGCTGCCGAAGTTGAGCAAGCTCATGAACTTGTCCTGGTCCCCGCCCTGCGCCTCGTACATCGCGCGCTCGTCGGCCGGGTTCTCCAGATACGCCGTCGGGCTGCGATTGATGTTGCCGCCCACCACTGTCGTGTTGCCCAGCGTCAGGGATCCCGGTGCGAGAGAGTCATGTGCGCGCTTGATCGCCAAAACGGTACCCGTGACAATGGCATCGTACGACTGCTTTACGAAACCGAGGGCAGTGAGCTGCGGGAGGAGGTTCTCGAGGTATCCGCCGACGCCAGAGTGCTGGTGGGTGCTCGAGATAGCGACGTTCTGCTCAGTGTACAGACCGCCGTAGAGCGTCTGCAGCTCTGCCAAGATAGCCCTCCGAATACCCGTGTCCCCCATTCCGATGTCTGCGTTGACGAACACGATCCGGGACGCAGCGGTGTCAGATGCCGACTCTCCGACGATCCAGGCCCGGGCGCGTTGACGCTGGTGGAGACCCGTGTCGGTCTGAGCGAGAGACGCGTATCCCATCATGTTGGTCTCGACGACGGGGCCAGTGATGTCTGCGACACCCAGTCCCAGGAGATAGGAGGTCTGGGCGGAGACATGCGACGCAGCTGTGCACAGTGCGAGGAGTGCAGCGAACGGCGCGGTGACCTTCATTGTTGAGAAGGGCAGGGGAGCTCGAGCTCAATCACAGGCTGATCTCCCTCCCATAAATAGTGCGATCCTCCATCAGTCGCCCATTTTGGATGAGATGCCAGGCTCGTTTGCATCTGATTTCGGCACGCATATGACTGAACATCCCATGACCCAGTGTGTGAGTTCTAAAAATGGCCCCTTCTGCATTGCTCAGCATGTGTTCTCACCAATGCTTCGCAAGGCCTGCTCTTGAGCGCTGAAGGCAACGCTGACTGCGCCGACCGCTATCTCCAGGGGCGAGATGATGGCTTACGACGCGAGATAGAGCAGCACACGACCGAAAAAGCTTCCGTGAGATCCTAATGATGTGATGGGTGGCCGACATTCCCATCATATGTGTGGCGAGATAAGGTATGTAATGTCCATGGAGCGAGTGGATCCCAACCGCAGACGTACAAAATGTTCTTGCCCAGAGCCCAGACGCTTCAAACAGCTTCGAAGCGCAGGACACATGGACGACACGCGAGCCTGTTCCCCACGCTACGCCATTCGTACGTTTACGTCATATCGTATGGAGGCCGGGAATTATATGCTGATAAGCGGAGGACATATCACTGATACGCGAAAGTTTGCCGACATGGCATCAATGTCATGATGCGCTCTATGTCATGATGCGCTCTGTCTGGACCCCGAACGCTCGTTAACATGTATGAAAAAGGCCAAGTACATGCACTGTAGAGTAGCGATAGAGCGTAACTACTTACATGAGACTAGACAGTCCAAAAAACTTGCAGTAACCGGAGCATACATGCTGCTCAGGAAACTTCTCGAAGAACCTGCCTGAATTGCCACCACCAAACAGACCACGTTCGAGAGTCCTGATGATCCAGTCAGATATCAAGAGCACGCAGATTGACACAGCAGTGGACTGCGCACGGTGAAGTCATAACCTGCGGATCCGTCAAGAGATTTCCGGAGCCTTGGATAGAGTTAGTATGAAACAGTGAGCCAGATCGAATGAACCGGCCTTGAAGATCAGAAAGAAAGACCAAACGCCCGGTGTGTTCGTATTGGACATGTTGTGTAAAACAGAGGAACGATGCCAACAGCTTGAGATCTTCTGGAAGCGACGGAACGGGCACTGCACTATTGTTATTGATGTACTTCACAAACTTGCCTGAAATTCAGTGAGCAATATACTCGAGTCGTTGCAGAGAACAAACCCGTTCCAATTAATTCTTCAATGAGATATGATCGTCGGAGTGATGTCATCATTTTGCTCGACTTGCCATCTGCCGCCGCATTGTGAACCAGAGCAACGCCGGCCTCGACGAAGCGGACTTCAAAGATAGGGAGGTCGCCTGGTGGCGCGACATGCTTTGATATGTAGTTACGCACGAAAGAATAAACGAAACTGAGAAGGGTAGTGCCCCAGAATAGGAGATTTGCCTCCGATACATGGTGCGCATATTCATCGATGGGGTTGAAGCGGATCAAGACGGTATTCTTGTTGTTCTTGAACATGCGTTTCGCGGCAACGGCTTGATTTGGAAGCGCTCCGAGGGGTGTGGTCGGCAAAGTGGACAGCGTCAGAAACGCAGAATGAGCAGATTTGAACGAACCGATCCCCAGAGGCTTCTCCGAAGGCTGGAGCGACAGAGTACCGGCTTCCGCCTTCGCAATATCGCAGACAAATTTTTGTCCGCCATTTGCGAGGAGATTATTGAGATCGGAGGTCCCAGTGATACGGAAGAATTGGATTATCTCCGTTGTGTGCAAGGCTGCATAGAGATTAGATCTGAATACTTAAGTTTCATAGTAAGACGCACCTCTCGCAATGTTGGGAAAGGAGCCGCCTATACTGAGTGCCTTTCGAAGACGTTGCTGGTCAACCGGATGATAATCGTCGATTGGACTAGCAGCACGCTTTTTCGAAGTCGCTATCTTGCTACTGGATTCCTATTCCATGTATGTATCGAGTCAGCGACAAAACATGAGAAGGGTAAACGAACACACCTGAGACGAAATTTCTCTCGTGCCAGAGCTTGGAAGCGGCGACTCTGGCAGCGCTTGATCTGGCTGAGTAAAGTCCTGCAAGCTTGGCGCCGATCGAGAGGGTCGAACGGAGCTGAACGAACTGGCAGTGGCAGTCTGCTGGATAAATAATCAAACAGATACAAGAATCAAGATAGAAGCGCTCACCTTGCTCTTTGTTTTTGAGCGTGTCAAACACCCGTTACTCGGTTCCTTAGTAGTCTCCGCGGCCGACAGGACTGTCAATTTGAGGGCCGAAGGCTCAGGGGCACGCTGTACCATGTGCGAGCGTAGCGCAGATGAGACGGTATCGGCATTATCCTTTCAGAAAGTCAGTCGTGCCAAATACCGGAGAGTACTAGTATACGCACCTGAATAGAGAGTGTGTCCAGCTCCCGGGCATCACGGTAATTTTCATATCTGAGCCATTCTTTGGCGTCGATGACAAGTGCAAATTGAAAGGGCTTTCTCGGTCGCTGAAACACGAGTTGGCCCTTGTCGGCACGAGCCTTTGATGTCTTGAGGCAACGCTCATAGAGCACGCTGGATCCTGGGAGCTCCGCGTGGACATTGATCCACGTTTCAGTATCGCGTACTAAAAAATTAGACTCATCAAATACAAATTGAGAGTCAGTTTCCTGAGCGATGGCTTGACGAAGCTTGGGCGCCACGTTATCAAACACGGCTGTGATAATTTCGCTTGCGGTAATTGTTGCAGGGACATTCTTGCCCTCGTGAATCGTCTGGAAGCACAAATTCGTGACAAAAAATGATACACGTCACCGTAACATACCCCAAAGACTTGCCCAGTAGGTCGACCACGAGTCTCATAGCGGACACCAATGTTCAGGGTGATCCACTGCGGCGACATCCCAGTATACGCTGATTTGGTAAAAGCCCCGCGTGCCGCGGCATACTGAGAGTGAGCAGCAGAATAGCCTTGGCTTGAATATTGCCCCGGATTAATTGGTGCACTGGACGATCCGGAACTTGATATCGGTTGGTTTGGAAGCGAAACACGAGGACCTTAAGAATTCAGATATTAAATTTGAGCAGATCATGATGTACGTGCCTGTGGATCGCTGTGGGATCTCAAGGGGCGGTCCCATTAGACCCGATGGAATGGCCGCAATCCGGCCTCCACGAGATGCGTCTGCGAATGCTCAGTCAGAAGCAGGGTATAGAACAAAAATAACATACCTCCAACGCGTCCTTGGATGTTCCTCTGCCGGATAGATTCTTTCTCGCCTTCCAGATCGCCCCGGAACGTTGCTGCACAGATTGTGATTGATAAATTGCATCAGTTTTAGCATCTAAACGTACCTCGGACCGAGCTCGAGGCTTTCCTTGCGTAATGCGCATGGCAAGCTGCACACACAAGCCTGCCACCGGAGACAGCAGAAAGGTTCTCCACCCGGAAGCGAGGCTGACCGGGCAAGATCAGCAAGCCCTTTGTGAGATCAGAACGGTCGCGAGTGTAGCATCGGGCTCCAGTCTGGCACACAACGGGCTCCTGATCAGAACTATCATCGGTGAAGTTGGCAAAGAGGGTTGATCCAGACATGATCAGAGCACCAGTAGGCGACGATTAAGTCCCATTTTGTGAGACGCTTTTAAGGCCTTTGAGCGTCAGCAATTAGTAGTGGGTCGACAATCTCGGCTGTGTTGCCAGAGTGCTCCCCCAGGCTCGGTAAGACTGCCTCGGTCTCAGTAAATTTCACGGTGTGTCATGGATCCTCAGTTCTTAATCAACGTGTTTGGTGGAATGGATGTAGCGCCTTAAGCATGTGCCCGGCCGCACTAGGGCTCCGCCAATTACTGGGCTGTTAAACCCTTGAATTTTCCGCGGTGGTATGCAACGAGCACAGCAAGCGCTCAACATGTGCGATTTCAGTGTTGATGCTGATGTTGAATTTATTACTGCCGCCCTGCGTGTTCTCAAGCGAGGCCCTCGTTGAGAAACAACGACTCACCAAAGTACATGCCTGGGAAGTTGCACTACCGGACAAGGAGAATAATTATATCAATTGGGATCCGATCCGAAATGATATCTAGGTTTGTAAAAAGTCCTTCGGTTATCAACATTAACATTATCAACATGAGTTGAAAATAACTCCGATCAGCAACGTTTTTGTTTACCCTGACTTTCTAAGTACATGCATATGCCTTCCACTCCGTACTACCGCCGTACCCAGCTCGTTGATCGTGTTCTCAGATCGCCACTATAAAGTGAGTCCTGGCTTATTCGCACTCCAACAGAAGCTCCTCCTCGGTTCTTTTGTGCCACCAGCGGTCTCATAACTCTCTGAATGCCCAATCAGTACAAGCCCGTTCGTACGTGTTACACTTCCAACTGTTTCACCTTGCCCTTGCTCTGGAACGTTCACAGCTAATGCTGAAGACCTCCGTCCTTTCATCGAGAAGTACTGGAAGCAGAACAAGAAGGATGTCGAGATCGTCGAGCTGCTCAAGAAGTATCACATCGATCTCAACAAATACGGCCTCGAGTGCGTGTATATTTGTGTCTTCATTGTGCAGGCTACTAACCGCTCTCAATTAGAGTTCAAACATTTAGAAAAATTCGCGAGAAGCTTGGTTTCATACGCACGCGGCGTCAAGGCCACACCGTGGACACAATTGGGGTATTTATTGTCAAACTCCGTCCGATCTATCCCAAGGCTGGCGGACGGGAGATGGTTAGCTTGCTATTACACGAGGAGAATGTGCGCGTGTCCCGGTGTGTGATCCCTCCAATTGTGTTCTCATACGCTCACATAGGTATGTTTCTAGCGAGACTGTAATGCGCTATTTTCACACTCATGAGCCCGATCTTGTTCGTGAGCGCCGACGTGGACACTTCAAGCGCAAGCAGTTCTGGGCAGCGGGTGCCAACGATATATGGGCTGTAGATCAGCACGACAAATGGAAGTATAAATTCGGTTTAGCGCTACACACTGGGATTGACCCATTTCTCGGCATGATTCATTGGTTGAAGATTTGGTGGAACAACAGCAATCCCCGCCTTATATTCAGCTATTATCTGGAAACCGTGGAACGGCTTGGGGGTATGTGCAGTATTGATCTCTTCGGACTTATATTCACGACGTTTTTATCGCAGTCATCCCACTTGTGACCCAGAGCGATCCTGGGTCAGAGAACGTGGGGATTGCGAATGGACACACACAGCTGCGTCACTATCAGGACCCCTCACTTATCGGCACCTCTCAGCACCGTTGGATGCGAAAGAAGAAGAACATCATGCCGGAAATCACATGGAGTCAGATGCGGCGTCGATTCACTCCTGGCTTTGAAGACATCCTCGACGTTGGTGTAAACGAGGGCTGGTACAATCCGGGAGTTCTACTCGAAGCGTGTGTATCTTCCTTACTTTCAAAGCGATCTTCGACTTCTGAATCACAGCGCAGCTTAGTCTTCCGTTGGGTATTCATCCCGTGGCTTCAGGGCGAGCTCGAGCTGTATCGGCATCGCGTGAACAATACCGCAAAGCGCTGTGATCGTAACAAGATCCTTCCTCACGGTGTTCCGACTAGCATGTTTGAGTTCCCAGAGGATTACGCCATCCTCGATTTCAAGGTACGAGTCCAATTTCATCAAGTACAAGCCACTAACTACTAGTCCCTTACAGATCAAGGTCGATCCTATCGGTATTGAAAAAGTCCGACAGATGTACGCACCACCTGATCATGACGTCTTTCTCCTTGTTCCCCCTGACTTCGAGATCGCGATCTTGGATATCTATGCAAAGCTTAATAGCCCTATTGTGGACCGGGACTCATGTTGGGATGTATATCTCCAGCTCCTGAATTGCCTCAAGGAGTTGGATCAGCTCAACGATATCGATCAGAGTGCCGATGCAAGGTGGGGGCATGTGCTGACCCAGCCGGTCGATGAAAACATTCCCCTTCTCCCAAACTTGCAGGAACTGCGGGGCGGTGAGGGGGTCGTCGGAGAGGGTGCTTATTATATGGGTGGAGTCAACAATGGGGATGGTCTCGGTATGTTCCATTACTTGGGAACCTTACTGTTCACTGACTCGTCTCCTTTTGGAGGTCCTGAACATCACGCATGTCTGAACGCAATGATCAACGATATCGAGCCCGAAGTGGATCCCATGCCCAACTCCCAGTTACCGGATGACGCTCACGCATTGTACGCATGGTTCTCGGACGAAGAAGACTCTCAGGATTTCAATGATCATTGGTAGTACATACATGCTGACGAGCAGTGATGCGCCCTAGCCCTGAAATCAATCGATCACGTGCACGAAAAGATCCAATGGATTTGTCAGCGAGCTCGTCAAGGTTGTTGCACGTGATCATTTGATCAATCTATCACGTGCACTGAAAGATCTCAATGGATTTGTCAGCGAGCTCATCAAGGTTGTTGCACGTGATCATTCTGATCATCACTAACGAGCGTTCGGGGTCCAGACAGAGCGCATCATGACATAGAGCGCATCATGACATTGATGCCATGTCGGCAAACTTTCGCGTATCAGTGATATGTCCTCCGCTTATCAGCATATAATTCCCGGCCTCCATAATATCGCGCATCTTGCACACGGGGGTGCTTAAAATCCGAGCCACATCCGCCGTATGAATGATCTATCGCCATGCCCATGGTGACCATTCATACTGACTGACTGACATTCACGAAGCCTACGGAGCAAGTCGCCCGTGGACGGTTGGGTGTACATTGTCCGGCTCGCAGTTTATGTACATATTGGGTGGCGGCGTGTCTTCCAATACACTGAGAGTGTGCGCTGATCTTGCTCACGATGGGATTCAGTTTGAGAGACTCGCCATCACTTTCAGAAATGGAATTTCTACTACGGACGACTCGCAATATATTTGTGGATAACCTGCGGCACTCCTGCGAGTTTACGACAGCCAGACCTGATGTGTTTTCTGGTGTCTTGACGGTGGATCGGATGCAGCGGAGCTCGTGTACCGGAGGCTTCGAGATAGGCTCTCTCAATGCCCGAACGCCATACTCTCTCGTGTCCGGAACACATCTCGCCATCGAATCTGATTCTATCAAAGAGATTGATGGGTGATGGTTTACCTAGTGCATCTCTTTCTTCCTCTTCCATCCATGACCACTTCTAAATCCTCCGAATCACTTAAAAAGTTCAGAAAGCCTGCATTCATGCCATTGCTTTACAATTCTCAAAAAGATGCGCTTGGCATACGCAGCGAGAACAATTGTTCGATGCAGTATGAGAGAAGAAGAGACCGTGGATGAACTGAGTGAGATAGCACAGCATCAATCACGGATAATGGCAAATTATCTGCACGATATGTATGGATTGTATGGTATGCAAAATCTTTTCGTGTATGACTCGGAAGGGGATTACGAGAATCTCTGATGGTAAGCCACGAGAAGTTCGTTGATCGCGAAGGAAAGCAATTATGAGCGCTTGTAAAAAGTGAGGGTGGGAGCATGTATGGATGCCGGAGTCTCAATCGGAACCGCATAGATGATGGATCTTTGTTCTCCAAATGCCTGAAAGTGGACCGAAAGAAAGCGGGAACCCAGAAGCGCTACCAAGGACAACTTGCCGAGGATTACTATTGGAGGCGATTGGGCTGTATGGTTGTGATGGGTTATCTTCAATGCAGGTGATATAATTTGCGCTATCACCACGAGACAAACATGCGACGTATAGAAGTTAGATGGTGGAACGGAGCATGGAAAGCCGGTGGGGTTGACAGCATTATGTTATGAATCCCGAGGTTACCTCTACCTGTTACTGCCTCATGGCTTCTGCGTTCCTGTAAAGTGCAAGGTAGACACGGTGCGACGTCGTGCCATCCAGTCACATCGAGCGCCCAACCTGTAGGCTTTCCGCCTGATCGAGTGTTGAGCGCCCATTAGAGTCCGTGCGATATCCTAGAGCACGCTGGACCTGGTCTACACAGCATCGCTGGGGCCCGGACTGCGGAGAGCAGATCTGACACGTCACTTCGTCGGATCCGCCAACTGGTAGGGAGAAGAGAATCACTTTTGACGGACGATGAGTGGATCTTATAGTCAAACATATATATACTGTCCACAGCGACAGATCCATATTGGTGGAAATCTAGATATACCGCATGAGAGTCGACGATCTAAAATCTCCAAGTCTCTGCACAGCAGGACTAATGGAAGAGGTGTATCTTTCTCACGCACAGCTCGATCCTATTTCTGGGTAGTACTGCCAGTGGGGCCTGGGTAGACAGAGTACCAAACGACGGCGCAGTTTTGCTACTCGATGTCATCGGCCTGTACTAGGATGGCCGACTTGGACACAGCAGGGAAAGACGGATTGCGGTGAATAAAGATGAGCTGAGAGGCTACAGTGGAGGAGGGATGCTCAATTCGGATCAAGGAGAGGGCGGATCCAAAGGGATGATGATGGTATCACTGATAGTCATGCGTTTCCGTTAAACGTCCAGTGTGCTTCACTTATGACCACTGATGAACCCTGTTTGATGTTCTCCCTATCGCCCCATCAACCACACCAGGCATGTATTTATGGCTCCTTACACTGGAATGTCAAGCCGGTAGATCTCTCTCATTTCATCAAACTTTGTGCGTGGCTATTTGATCAACTGCCTCGCGGGGATCTTGTACTTGGTCTAGTCACATCGGATAAGAGCCCCACTTCCAGCAAACCATATCCGCTACACACTAGATTGCTTCATTGTGTAGGTCTATCCAATTTGTAGAAGGTCACAGTCTATGGCATCTCAACCAGACAAACCATAATTCTACACGTCGTCAATCGTGCGAGCTGCCTGACGAGAGCCCAGAATTTGTCACGATCATGCTGTTCAATGCGTTGTAAAGAAGGTAGGTCTAAATCTGTCGAGACCGCACTCATATGAAAAGGCTGTATAGCTTCCCGCAGCTGCCAGAAGAGGAGCTCATAGCTGTAGAGCCCGTTCTCTTTAAAGACGGGATACTCGAAGCGTCGTTGTCAGCCGGTCCAAGTACCGCGCACTCATGGACACTTTCGAACGCTCTCACGACATCTGCGAGGATGAATCATCACTGCACACGCTATGTGCAGCTCCTCCAGGAAAAATGCGGTCCGTCACGTCGCACACGACGAATCGGTACCACGACTCGAAAAGAATGTCAGTCATTTTGAAACTCATATCTCGCTCATGGCTGATCGCCGCTATGCACCAGGATCGAGGCGTACATGAGGGACATTTCGCCCGCGATGTTCTCTCTTTCGGATGAAGATCACGAGCAGTCCGTGCATGCAGGTCCTTCGACTCTTGATGTCTCATAAAATCCTCCAGATCCGTCCCCCCTTTTCCGCGGCGACACTGGACGCCGCACGTCCATCCCGAGGGAAAACTGTACTTTGTCCGCGAGTACCAGGACTCGCATACCATCCGCGTCGTGACTGAAACCCACCTACTCGCTCCCTCCCCCGATTTGGCGGGCATATGCGACTCGTGGATCGAGTACATCCAAACACGACTCGAGCAGATCGGGGTCCGCATCACGCCGCACTTGGAGCTGTTTATTCAGCTCGAGGGCGTCCACATGTCGGACTGTGCCCACTATCTCGTTGATCATCTGAACAAAGTCCAGTTCTGGTTCGAGCCGGTGAACACTGAAGTCTTGGGCTTGCCTCCTGTCGTCTCCGACTCCCAGCTCAGTGTGTGATGATATCCATGCAAACACCGTTTGAAGTTGATTGTTATTCACTAGAGCTCGCGTTGTGCGAACTGTACTGGTCACATGTCGAGCATTTCCCCATGCACATCGCCCCGCAGCCAATAAGCGTCTTGGAAAATCTGATCAGTGTGATGAATCACGGATTATGCGGTATGTCTTGCTCTGTGTTCCCAAACTTTCGAGGCCATCCATTGACGAGCAAAATAGATCACATGACTTCAAGAGTTTCGACGTTCCCGTACAATGCAGAAGAATGCGGCGCGCTCATCAATATGCTACAAAGCTGTAGAGGTGGGCAGATCAGAGCCTAAAGGTGTCCTGATCTGATTCCCACTCCGTCAGGAAACCTTTCGGAAGGATACACAACCTGGACCTTGGGTGTGCAAAGTCCCATTCTCACCGAACAATTGATTTGATCCATCTTTCAGCTAGATTGTGGACTGTTATATGTTTGTTGTCCTCTCCAGTCCACCCACATCGTGCATTCAACTTGTTTATTAGACCGAAACAGAATTCTCAACTTCCACGGCGAGGACTGTGCCCGGCTTTCACGTGATCAATATGTGCTTTATCCACGCACGAGAGCTGGATGGAGCGAAAACGTGCTGAAGGTTTTGACTTTCGGTATCTGGAATGCCTTTGTCGCGCGATTAGACGATGTGTTTGTCGATCACGTGGTTCATGTTCACCTTTGGAAGGGGTTGATTGTGGATTGTCTGGCGGAATGGGAGAGCGCATCGCATGCGGCAAGTACCACCTTTCGAGAGTGTATTTGTTTCGTAACTCTTTTGACAGTCCTTAGCAGCGCTGTTGTCAGTGATCTGCACAACTCCATTTTGACCGGTCTAACTCGATCTCAGGTTGCACGCGCCATTCTTACTGATGCCACTGAGTCTACCACCTGGTGCTGCCCTCACTATATCTGTATTGCTACAAAGCTCAAGCCTCTTGTGCTCCATCGTCCTCAAACTCCAATATCAGTCGATGGAGAGGTACACTGCTGACGAAGCGGTACGTCTGGCCCGGCATTGCTCCACACTCGACAATTTACATCGGTTTTTCAATTAATAGCTCCGATATCTCGAAAGGGCCCACTCGGAGACACTGCAGTTCCGGATCCTGGCAGCGGCGTTCGCACTTCCAAGGATGCTATTTCTCTACGGGTGTTTGATTCTGGTGTTCAACTGGTCGGTGGTCGCGGCTCAATGCTTGGGTCTCGTGGCGGGTGTCTCTGCGTTGGGACTCAGTATCGCCGTTCCAATGGTCCTGTGGCTTGCCATTCTGAAGCCACGGACGCATGTCTCGCTCGGTTGGCTGAAGTGTTCGAGGAGGCGGAGGAGCGTCCAGGCGCCCATTTGAGTGCGCAACAACGTCTTTCGTGTGCACAAGTGGAAGGTAATATCCCATCTACTTCTCAGTGTCTAAATCTCAGGCCCAATATCATGTATGACCTTACACATTTTTATGTCATTTGGGATGTATCAACCCGCGTTCCGCACTCCAAAACCACCCGGTCCCCGGATTTCGGTACAGCCCTGGATGCATCGGGTGCTGTTCCGTAAATCCGGCGGGAACCACGACGGGCTGCACGTGGAGCGTGATGTACGGCCCGAGGTTTGTCCCGTATGCTGCGCTGAACGGCGATGGCTCTGGCGACGACTGGGTCTGCGCTGCGATGGGGCCACTGAGGGTTGATACAGCTGCAAGAACTCAAGACTGACCCTGAAATCTCCGCCAGCTCTCATAGTTTTCGCGGTGCACGAGATAGTGACGCAGGTTGCGGGAGGAGATAGGGTCTTGGTTGAATCGCGGGTCTTGGTTTACTGAGAAAAGGTCAGAGGTTGGTGGCAAAAAAATGGACTGAGCACATACTATGCATGATCCGAGACCTGTTTTTGACCAGACGCATCGTCGCAGGGGATGCGACCCAGATCCAAGAATATGGATGGCACCATTCAATTTCAGGCGCACTATCTATTCTGACCCATTTTCTGCAGTCGCGAGGCTACAGAAGGCACATAAGAGAAGAAAAAAACGACTGAATGCAAGGGATACGGACCGCAGCATCGCACAACCTTGCGACCTTGACAAACTCCGTGTCGTAGTCGACTTCGATCACGAGACACGGTTTTGGATCCGCCGTCGGTCGCGTCCCAGAAGCCCAGCGCGCATGCCATTCCTCTGGTGAGAGTATCGTCTTGTCCATTTCAATCGACAGGCAGTCGCAGCGCAAGATGAGTCCGGGACAAATCTCGTGGATGCTCTGGATACCAGGAAACATGTTCTAGTCGCCGAAAATGGAAGTTGGTACCACTCGGACCAGTCGTGGAACGTTTTATAGCAGAGTGTGCCATCCCAGACGCCCAGACGTAGCACAATCTCGTAAGCCAGAAATGAGTCAGTCGGAGTCATGCAGCTTTTGATGTCCTGCCTGATACCCAAATCCACTGAACCTTCTTACTTCATTAGGTTTCGCTCCCGAGTTTTTCACTGATAGCGTCATCATAGTTTCAGACCAATCTCGGACCCGGAGCAAGAGACAGGAGACTGGACGAATGACGGTACGGTGGGAATGGGAGAGTTACAACGGTAGGTGGCTGGGCAGAGTTCTGACTCGAAGAGAGCCGGATCAAATCGGCACCCGAGGCGTTATTCTTTTAGCTCGTGAGCTTCCAGTCTTGAAAAAAGCACTGAAGATCGCAGGTTCGAGAGAAATAACTGGATCCCGGGCCCTGCAAGTGCAAGGAAGACCGAGGCAGACAATTGTCGATATGTATCTATATGCTGGATTTGCTTCCGAACCATGTGACACGATGTCCGAGTGGTTAAGGAGATCGCCTGCTAAGCGGTTGGGCTTTGCCCGCGTGTGTTCGAATCGCACTCGTGTCGCTTTTTAGGGAAACTTACTCACAAATCTATGCCATTGCAACGATGCAATGGGCATTGTTTCCTCCAATGACAACGTCGTTCAACTTCCGTCTTCGTTTTGTGGTGGTTCCAACTTCAAAGCAGGCAACGTGCTTTTTCATCTATCGTTGCTTGGCCGAGAACAAGATCGGAATCGCGGGACACCCAGTCAGTCCTCAACGCGCATGTGCTTTCCGCTGTGCACCCAAAGGATTGGAGCTCCCAACAATCCACGCTTACGCCATCATTCAGGTTTCTCTCCTGCTGAAACTGGATCTGCACCTTCGCCGGTAGACGATCAGGATTCCCAGCACTGATATGCCCCATACAAGAATCCCACTGTCATCACGCGCATCCCGGCAGATGCTCCCATGTTGCACAAATCAATATATTTCGCCCTTCCACGGCACGATCTCCTTGTATACACCGAATACACGATCGTGACTGGCATCTCCCCAGCGACTCTTGCGCTTGCCATCTATCAGCCGCCCCGTCTCCTGCTCCCAGAAGCCGAACATCACGCGCGCGGTGTTGACGTCTTCGACAAACAGCGCCCGTCCCGATGTGGATGGCTGTGTGCGACGGCCCGACAGACGGGCGGCAACGGACGCCAGAGGATCCGTCAGATGGAGGTGAGTCAGTTCTACGAGTGTGGGAAGCCTTGGTCCGGGGTACACGACCGTTTCGGCAAGAGCTTCGTCATCACTTCCGGACGAGACTGGCGGAGACCGCAGCATCGCAACGACGAAAGTCAACCCCAGTGCGAGACCCGAATGAAGATAGAGTAGCACGATGTATGCGAGCGTTGGAATGAATGGATAGCAGGCGTAAAGCTGCTGCGTGAGAGGAACAGAGACCGTATACGATGTCGCGTGAAGCCAGATGTCGGTCAAACTGATGGGCAATGAGAGACGAGAAGCGGAGCACAGGGATCCCTTACCTCAGTAGGTGACCTATAGAAAGAATACCACCGACGACCAACGCACCCTGGGCAAAGAACCCCGGCGCCCTAACGCGAGTGCGCCGATGTTGCAGATAGCTTGCAACTTCGAGAACAGAGCGGGGAGATGGCGAGGCGAACAGTTTCAGAAGCAGCCCGTATCTAACAACAACTCGGTATGGAATCAGAGACAATCGGCTGTGGTACGTACTGCAGGGGAGTCATGAGATGCGACTCATCCGGGTCATTTGTATCACGCTGCTGCTGAGATTTGACGCTGGCCGCGGCGAGCCAGTAAGCCGCGAGCCCGATGAGCAGTGGACACCCCACGAACGACACGACATTCGACTGGAATGATGTCAGAGATCGACAGATCGGAGAGGAAACCCTCTCTCACCATGATCGACGTCCACAGTAACAACCTCAACGACGCTCGAGACCCATCCTCTTTCAAATAGAATACGTTTTCCTCGCCGTGCGTTCCTCGCAGCATCAAATACAGTAACGTTCCCGTCGCAGACGATGCAGACAGCAGCGTGTAGAGGGCCCCAGGAAGGACAATCCTCCATCCAAGCGAAACGAGCGGCGGCTCCCGTCGCCTTCGCTTCGTGCTCATCCGTCTCATCGTCGATGGCTCGCTACTCGCAGTCTCGTCGCCCCGCTCCGCCCAGTCGTACAAGTCGTGTTTGCGTAGTGGAGATAACGCGGCACACTCGGGCAGCGACACCTCGGAGCGGGTGGCGGTCCATTCGCACGCATGAGTGATGGACGGCTCGCTTCGAGCGGGGAAGGGAGTCACTTTCGACAATGACTCGTCCAGAGCGAGTGGGCGCGCGTAGACGATGCGGATGGTGGGGCGTTTGGCCGGCATACTTCAGTCAGTAGCCGTACGGGTACGACAAGGGGCAATCTGGAGGATATCAGCACATCCTCAGCACATCCACACATAAATAGGACTGACTCCACCCGAGTCGGGCACTTATCCCCAGTCATCCCGTCGCAGGGCAGGCAGGCAAGCTTTCTGTCAGGGAGGGGCTTCTTCGATGGAAGATGAACAGTGATCTCAGGCCGAACTTTGTTGGGCTGTGCGCGACGGAACTTGCAGACCTGGTGAGAAATGTGGAGGCACTGCCTCGCACCGGTTGGTGCCGTGCGTATAGCGTCATGCGCACGAGAAGGCGGCGTTGAGCGGCGGATGGGTGACGACTTGTATGTTCGGCGCAGTCTGTGAGATATGCAGTGCACTACTGGCGGTGAGATGAGTAGAGGAGACGAGAATGATTTATTGCCGGCCGAAACATTTGACAGCTCCTCTCATCACGCAGATCCTGATTGATACTTGCCGCCAAACTTGAGGCTTGTTCCAACGTTTCGATGCAACGCTCATGAACGCATGTTCCGCGACTTGTATACATGTAGGTGTCCTCTATTCAGTTGTTTCGGTCGGTGGTCGCGGTTTCATGCTGGAAGCTGGATCCGGTCAGATTGCTGATTGATTCTGAATCACATCGTCCAGAATCGGATCCTCGTCCTCCAGTGCTTCGCGCTCAGCCGTGTCCCCCTAACACATGATACCCGTCCTTCCTCCTGAGATCGAGCGGGAGGTATTCGAGACGGCAGCAATCAGGCTTCCTTCTGTCGCACCTGCGCTGTTGCGAGTGGCTAAGCGTGTCCACATCTGGTAGGCAGCCTGCGAGAGTCGACACGCACAAGTCCCGCTGATTTCCATTCAGGATAAAGCCCGTTCTTTTCCGCCTTCTCTCTCTCGATCGTCATGGTACCTATCATGATGACAAAGCGCTCGAGGTTCTCTCTGTCGTGCGGACGGCGATGCAAACCGATGAAGGTCGGGCCCTCGTCTGCCCCTCCGTACGGCACCTCTGCCTAGGCCTTCCCACGACTGACATGTCTGCATACGAAGCATACGTCTTAGTTGCACAGCTTCCCAACTTGGAGAATCTCCTTGCTACTGCGTCATTTATAACTCCGGCGCTGCTCGAAGCCCTATCTCAATCTGGTGCCCGGTTGCGACGCCTAGCGGGTCCTATAAGCCGGATATTTGATCCGCAGGGTTCAACAGTATCACCTCTATCTCTCCCCTGCGTGTCGTGCCTAACGCATCTCGACATCTTCGATTCCGTAGGTGAATTCACCTTCGTACAAGAGCTATCCACCCTCGCCAGCCTCACTCACCTCGGCATCTCGGGGTCTGTAGCACCCTTGGTTGGCGAAATCCTCTCAACTTGTCCCTCCCTACATGTTCTGCTGATCCAATACTCCTCCCTCCGGAATCCACTAGATCCGATAGAGCGATTCACGGACGACGATCGTGTCATCGCTACACACTTCGTGAATTATTGGGCAGAATGGAAGCTCGCCGCTCGCACCTGCCGGGATGTGTGGGACGCAGCCGAGGAGTTCATCACTGCGAAAAGAGTGGGGACCATTTCTAGTATGTTCAGTTTCGTTCGGAAACTCTTCACTGCATTGAATACCCGGCACATTGCAGGTGACGTTTTTATCATGAACACTATTTCTACACAAACTTTATTCGGGAATTTCTAAGTACAGCTAGAAATCTGAGATGATGGGCAAGCCTAAGTCGAATTCACGATCTTCCATGCCTATGGCCGGTGGCAGCAGATGATTGAATTGGAAATGCTCCAGATCGATAGCGCCATAAAATTGATCGGTGACGGAAATAGTGTCGTTCTTGCTTGAAAACAGAGCTGCATTGAACGGGATCTCATTTTCCTTGTTGCGTCCCAGTCCCGCGCCGAATCCAAAGAGCCGCCGGGTCTTGCGCTCCTTGATCGGTATTGCACACGTCCAGCCATGACGCAGTGGAGACGGCCCAGGTCTCCTATACGGCTGTGAGCAAGGCCGACAGCGATGTTTTGCTGCGTGTCGCCTGGGAGCAGAGATGTGTTCGAGATGCGGCGCCAGCAGTGAGTGCGGATACAAGGAGACAGTCCGAGCGTCCGAAGGTATAGGGGGCTTGATTCTCACAGAAGTAACGCGAAGATCGAGCGGTGGATGCGGATGTGCAATGAGACGCGACCAGGCAAAGGCAGACGCGAGTTTTGATTCAGAATCCGAGCAATTTGGAAGAATAGGACAGCTGGATTCCAAGTCCCCCGAATTTCCCTGGCGGTGAGTGTAAAGCGACTCGGACGAAGCGAGCATGTCATGCTAAGCCAACACGCACCTCAGAACTGCGCCTTCGGATCGTCACAACGACTCGCCACCCAGCCTCCGCTGCCCTCGCTAGCCCCAACACGAGAAGAATCACACCGAATGAAACGCCCAGTCCTTGAACAACTTTCTGCAGTTGCGTGGATGATGTTTCGAGAGCTTCGACTGGACGGCCTGGGAGTGGCGGGACGGCCATTGGTAGCCCGATCGAGATAAAAAAGAGATTGAAAGGAGTGGACTTGAAATGAGCGTGTGCGTAGATAAGTAATGTGGAGTAGTTGGTGACAGACGAGAGGTACTTTAGGGAAGCTGCAGTGAGAGAGGAGATGGATTCACGTGATGAGCGAAGGTCCTTCCACATGACTGTTTCAATCGGATTGTGTCCCATTTTGACTCTTAGCAGCTCGTTGGTCTTCCATGGGATAATGGCTTCCAAACTCGTGTCTCGCAGTCTTGCTTCTCTCTCCAATGTACAGCATTGTGGAGACACCCGAACGGTCGGCCCATGGCAAGGTGGCCGAGCGGTCTAAGGCGCTAGTTTCAGGTTTTCACGATGCTGCGCAGAGTTATTCAATAATTTGGTGGAGAATCTACTAGTCAGAAATGGCGCGAGTTCGAATCTCGCCCTGGTCATTTTGACCCGGACCACTCCAGCTTGACTCGGACTGCTGGTGCAGAGTACTAATCGGCCACCCCTACGAGCACCAGAGATGAGCGAATGCCAGATGACCGCGAATTCAGTCGATAGCAGAAGGCCGTTCAGGGTAATGAGTATAGGCGCAAAGTTCGGGGATGTTGACAATGCGGAACGCTGAAACCCGGCCGCGGGTTGACAGATTCCGCGGAAGAATCGAGCGGTATCCGATGGAGATCAGAGAAGAGCCACGCTGTGAGACGAGCCATACATGCCCTGAGCAACAAGTTGCTTCAGCATGACAAATAAATTTCACACTGTAAAAGAGCAATACAAGTGAAAAGACACCCCCGGTGGGACCGTCGGGCTCGCTCACTTCGTCAACGCCAATGTCTAGACAGTGTGGCGCGGACAACTTCAATGCGTAACGTATTGTCACGTGCCACTTCCCCGCTTGATACACCACCAGGACACGAATAACCACTGCGACGAATGGGAGTGACATAACATATCTCGACTACTTAAAATTGACCTACTACGTACTGTAACAGCAGGAATGGGAAAGGAACGATCAGTAAAGATGGTTTTTGAGTGATTCCATGGGGTATAAAGAAAGAACGATGACAGTATCAACAAACTACTCCTCTTCCTCTTCTTCCATGACATTGTGCAGCGGTGCACCATGCACATATCGACCCGGACTCGCGCGACCGGCATCTTCCAGGTCGGGAGTGGTCGCCTCGAGTAGAGGCGGCGAAGCTTTCTGGGGCGGTGGTGCAGCGACTTCCGGCTTTGGGGAGACCGGAAGACCGGGTGAGGCCTCCTTCGCTGGTGCACGAACGGGTAGCCGGGATGGCGGCGCTGGACCGGATGGCTTCGGTGGCAACGCTCGCTGCTCCCGTTCGCGGAACATATCGATGAGCGCGGAGGTCTTGCTCGGCTGCGGAGCGGCGATTGTGACCGGTGTCGGTACATCCTCAACTTCCTCCATGGCAGGACTGAGCACCGCGGAATCGGTCTTCGAATGGGTTGAAGCGATCCGCTCAGCCCGACGCAGGTTCTCGGAATCATCGAATGGTGGAATATCCACCGGTGAGATCGGCGTAACAGGACTAGGCTTCGTCGGTAGAGGACGAATCGCATCCAGATTGCGGGGAATATCATGCACGTCCTCGCTGCTATCGTTACCACTGAGCAGACTGCGAGGATCGTCGTCGACTTCATCCTCGTCCTCGTCCTCGTTGCCCGTCGCGACAGACGGCGGACGTCGATCTGGGTGCAGATCAAAGTAGCTTGCACCTTGGCGATGATTCTGACGAGCTGCCTCAAGCCGGGCTGCAAGGTCAGGATGAGTCGAAGCCAGCGGTGTCTGTTGCTCATCGTCGTCTTCGTCATATGGAATCGGAACGTCCTCGTCCTCGTCATCCTCCTCGACTTGTCTCGGCACGCGTTCGATCTCTGACACGTCTGAATCCGGACGTAAGCTTATGGGTGGCGACATCTCTCGGCCCATCGTCTCAGCAGCGAGAGCCTGCGCCACCTCCATGCTAGCCAGCTCCTGGTCCCATCCGCGTTTCTTCACCCGCAGCTCGGCGTCTTGGCCATCCATCCTTCGATCCTGCATGCTGCCGACAAGGATGTCGACCCATTCATCGCCCCGCTTCTTGTTGTCGCCGCCAGCCTCTGCCAGCCTCGTCTCAAACTCGACTGCAGCATATTCTGCTGGAATCATCCCCGGTCTGACTAACCCACCAGGACTAGGCCCGGGGATAATCCCGCCTGGTATCCGAAAACGCGACCCGGACTGCCGTCTCTGGCTCTTGCTCAACGCATCACCCCCGCTCTCTGTACTCGAGTTATCTTCCCGCAGCGGCGTAGTAGGCAACGACTCGGATCTCGGCGGAACCGTCATAGTGGTCGTCACCGTCTCCCTCTTCGGAACACCGCTGCCGGCCAGAGTCATCAGCTTTGTCTGCCCACCCTGCGCACGAAGCATGCTATCGAAGTCCCCCAGATCCCGCGTGCTGCCTGTCGCCGTCGGCGTGGCACCAAGGACATATGGCCGTCCATTCAGGGTCGATGCCTGTTTCCACGTCTTGCCTCCTCCTCTCGGCGCAGCAGGCGAAAACAAGCTAGGAAGTCGGCGACGGGTCCCGGGCGGTGCGATGCCCGCTAGCGCAAGCCGGTACTCTCGGGGTACAAACTCTTCGAACAGCACGACTGTGCAGCCGGGATCTTGAGCACCGCCAGATCGTGATTTGAATTCGATCTGTGGTCCCTTCGTGAGATGCTCACAAGCGAGGACATAAGCGACGCACCAGAGCCCATTGACACTCCCTGGCCAGATCAGCCTGGGGGCCCGCAACACCGGAACTACGCTCCATCCAGCCACCGCCCCACAACAAATCACAGAAGATGTCCATGAACGCCTCCTCGATCACTTCTTCAGCCCCGATCACGGGGGCTGTATCCCAGCCGAAAGCAGGCAATGCCTTGTGGGCTTTACGCAGCTTCTTGGTCAGTTCCGCGTTGTTGGTTGATGCGGCATTGGGTGTCGCTGGTGATGTAAGATTCAGCGAGAGGGGAGTCGAGAACTGGAGCGTAGCAGAAAGTGGTGCATCCGATCGCGAGAATCCGGCACTTGAGAAGTCGTTCCAGGACAGAGTCTCTCGTTTTGCTGCCCGTTCCTAGTGGAAGATTGAATGTCAGTGAAAGCATAATTAACACATCACGTACGGCTCGGGCATTCTCCGTCAAATCAAACTTCAATCGACCGTCGATCCCCGGCTCTTTCCTGCTTGGCGTCGCAACCAAACCAGCGCCGGTCCCATGTGAGAATCCTAGACTCTCAAACTCGCCCCATTTGAGATCCGTCAGAGATCGGAAAGCACCGCCATCAGTGTCCGATGCCAGCGACGTATTCGAAGGTGTGTAAGCTGATGAGGAATACGGTGAAGATCCGATAGAGGATGAGAGTGACGGCACATCGGATGTCATCGATGTCATCGATGCTGTTTGCGGATGAACGCCTACTGCCAGATCGAGTCGTCGCCGATAAGTGTCAGAGTAACGAGGGGTGCCTTGAGCGCCGGCAAGGATGTTCCTCCACGCTTTCGACGAAGCCCAGTCATTTGGTCCGCCTGAGGATGGTTTCGAATTATGCGAGATGCCGACACGATAGTAACTCACTGCCACTGCTTGCACTGCTGCTGGCCCAAGAACTAGCACCCCTCACCAGATCCGCCGAATACGAGCGCACATTTCGTCGGACATGTACAATTCTCACAGTTCGTGCTCCACGTCTTGGGTTGGGGCGCGACTTGCCGTTCGTTGTAGCAGCTAGCGAAGGGACGACTGAGACTGTGTAGAAGAACGCATGAGGAACTTACCGTCATCCACGATGCCTTGTGGGTACATGCCAACCCATTCTCTCAACCTCGTCGGCCCATTGAGAGCGCCTTGATGATCAGTGACTTCTTCCCTAATTGCAGCCAAGAGCATGTGTTCAGCTGCTCTTGCACCACGAAGATACTCTCCATAGGTCGAGGGGAACGACGCAAAGTCCTCTGTGGTCGGGAATAATAGAGCTTCGGGATCGTTCTTCGAGTCTCCGCTCTTAGAATCCTTCCTCGGGGATGACACACCAGAAGGAACGAGTCCCACTTGCGGGACACAAAGTCCAAACAACAATGGGGAAAGGATAGTGGCCAAAGAAGGTGGCGTGTGGCCTGATTGAGCGGAATGTGCAACAAGTCGGATGCAGATAGCGAAAAGGGGCTGCAAGATGGGTTGCAGCTGGGCAGGTAGCGATGCGAGCAGAGTCGAGAATGCCGTCGGGGGATACGAGTTCACTGTGGCGTGCATTAGCGTCGGTATTTACGGGCCAGCCGATCAGGGCGGTGGAGATCAGGCACAAGGAAAGAGATGTGAGAGAAGAGCGCGAAACGTACCAGCTTCTTCACTCTTCCACCGCTCGTACCATGCCCAACTAAGCAACCCTCTCAGTTCTCGTCCATCCTCGACCCTCACCACCCTCGAAAGACCCCACCGAAGAGCCATGCCCAGCTCATGCGGTCCCGCAAAACGCGCCTCGTCCTGCCAGTCATCCTCCGCAGCTCGCGATGGAGCTGAAGATCCACAAAAAAGGAATCATCAGAACCGAAGAGATCTGAGGACGACCCATACACACCATCACCACACGTCTTCAAAAAGGCGCCCACCAGCCTTGCCACAGCTGACCGACGCACATCTAGCGCCAGCGCACTGAAAACGAATGGCGTAGTCACACCTGACTTGTCCAGGGCCGCGCACAGCGTGGCCGATAGCCTCGCTACGTCCGCCAAGCTGAGGACGGCATCCCTTCCCGGAGACAGGAACCCATACGCCGCGCGCGGCGCGCTTCCCCCAAGAAGACCTGGAGTGGCGCCGGCGGCAGCGTTGGGGGCGGCGGTATTGGGCCACGGGGTGTGTAGGTCGGTCGGTACCGACGTGGGAAGGAAGCCGACCGCGCCGGACCCTGGCTCGCCCGTGTTCGCATGATAAGCACCAAAGTCATCCACTGGGGACAGCGGACTGGAGGAGGACGGGACGGTCTGGTTGTAATTCGTCTGCGCCTTGATTTTGGATGGCGTGGACGCTGTGCGGGCACGAGAAAAGAGCGACGGCATTGGGGTCTGGTGTGGGAAGATGGGTGAGTGGGGTGATATAGAGAGCAAGGTACGGCAATGAGTTACCTTTTCCACCCTGTCAAACAAGTTCTGTGTCGCTCAGCTCTCTCCCTGGGGACTTGCACCAGTCGAGCCTGCTCGCGGTCGTTGGTCGGTGGCAGATGTATGTCGATGGCGGAAAGAATGCTTACGTAATCCCACATGATTTGCATTGACGTGTGATGGACCCTCGGACCGTGGCCCCCCGCGATCTAAATCCCGAAACACCCGCAACGGAGGTGTAAGCCATAACTCAATCTGTGTTGCCAACGTCGGAGCCATTTACCAAAATGAACTGGATACTCGAGTGTCCCAGTTCTTTGCCTCGGTTATTTGCCTTCAGGCCTCAATATCTTCTTAAAGGGCCTTGTATAGGGACCAGGAACTTACCTGTCGGATGTATATGCTTCCCGTTCCACGGCAATTGAGCCTCCCGGCCAGTGTCGATGGTCCCTATGGTTCCAGTCATACCATGCGTCAATGGAGCTTCAGGGCTTGTGACGCTGATCTCCCCAACGTAAACGGCCGGAGGCACATTCATCCAGGGGTCAAATCGCCATTACGAGTGCGAAAAATGCAAAATGGCAGCCCTTCTTCTGGACTACTATAAACTGCAAGGCGGTCAATCTTCTCTCATCAACTCTCCGCTGATGCTGGCGCGGAGAACAATCCGGGCGTTCCAGGCTCACTAATTCCAACGTCAAAATGTTTCGATGTTACTATGGTAGCTGAGTTGCTGCTATTGGCTTTGTTGCCTAACTCGGACAAGGCAGTTCGAATGCACTGAGTGCAACCTCTGTTTCCGATGACGACATCCTCTTCCCCGAATCTGTAAAGATCTCCGAGTCTGAGCGCACAACATTGAACGTTTCGTCTTCTCATTGGGAGGTACGAAGCACTGAAATGTTGACCCTGGATGTATCGGAATACGACCTACCTTGACCGAAAATGAAACAGAGAAATGATCCGTCTGAATGAAATCAAGACTTGAAGACCAAGCCGTCTAGCTTCCTCACTACTCTGGCAAGTTCTTGCTCTCTGACGTCATTTTAATTGTCCCAATGCACACACCAATCTCGTATCCTCGTCATGCAATCCACTCCAGCATTCGGTGAACAACCCCAAAACGGAAAAGTCTTATAAGATCCAACAGGACGCATTGAACCCCAAGTGTGCCTCACTATCCTCATCCGTTCCCTTGGACCCACCAGGTGAGACGTAGCGAATCTGGTGTCAGGAAAGCTTCTCGCCTAAAAGTCCGTCGCTGTCCAGCAAGCTTCTCGCTCGAAAGTCCGTGGGGTCCAACAAGCTTTCCAGAGCGGTACCGATATGTCCTTCGATAGCTAAAAGGATCCCCAGCCCCACTAGCTCTCCAAACATTCAGGTCTCGCGGAAGGGCATACCGGGCACGGTACAAGTCGCATACGACTCGTTGCAGTATGGATGATCATTAATGCTAGTAAATTAGCTATGCGGCGAGTATGAAATTTAACCATAGAAAGTACGGCCGAATTCGGTTCTTCGACTCGATATCTTTCTGCTTTGTCTCGGATGGCGATAAGGAAATTCACTCCAATTTTTTACCGACGTCTAAGGGACTCAAGTAATCATGAATCGAGGGGGAACGCAGGTCATCTGCGACAAACGAGCACAATCCGTCGACAATAGCAGCAGCACAGCCTCGGATTCCTGGTTTCTATGGAGGCCGGGAATTATATGCTGATAAGCGGAGGACATATCACTGATACGCGAAAGTTTGCCGACATGGCATCAATGTCATGATGCGCTCTATGTCATGATGCGCTCTGTCTGGACCCCGAACGCTCGTTAGTGATGATCAGAATGATCACGTGCAACAACCTTGATGAGCTCGCTGACAAATCCATTGAGATCTTTCAGTGCACGTGATAGATTGATCAAATGATCACGTGCAACAACCTTGACGAGCTCGCTGACAAATCCATTGGATCTTTTCGTGCACGTGATCGATTGATTTCAGGGCTAGGGCGCATCACTGCTCGTCAGCATGTATGTACTACCAATGATCATTGAAATCCTGAGAGTCTTCTTCGTCCGAGAACCATGCGTACAATGCGTGAGCGTCATCCGGTAACTGGGAGTTGGGCATGGGATCCACTTCGGGCTCGATATCGTTGATCATTGCGTTCAGACATGCGTGATGTTCAGGACCTCCAAAAGGAGACGAGTCAGTGAACAGTAAGGTTCCCAAGTAATGGAACATACCGAGACCATCCCCATTGTTGACTCCACCCATATAATAAGCACCCTCTCCGACGACCCCCTCACCGCCCCGCAGTTCCTGCAAGTTTGGGAGAAGGGGAATGTTTTCATCGACCGGCTGGGTCAGCACATGCCCCCACCTTGCATCGGCACTCTGATCGATATCGTTGAGCTGATCCAACTCCTTGAGGCAATTCAGGAGCTGGAGATATACATCCCAACATGAGTCCCGGTCCACAATAGGGCTATTAAGCTTTGCATAGATATCCAAGATCGCGATCTCGAAGTCAGGGGGAACAAGGAGAAAGACGTCATGATCAGGTGGTGCGTACATCTGTCGGACTTTTTCAATACCGATAGGATCGACCTTGATCTGTAAGGGACTAGTAGTTAGTGGCTTGTACTTGATGAAATTGGACTCGTACCTTGAAATCGAGGATGGCGTAATCCTCTGGGAACTCAAACATGCTAGTCGGAACACCGTGAGGAAGGATCTTGTTACGATCACAGCGCTTTGCGGTATTGTTCACGCGATGCCGATACAGCTCGAGCTCGCCCTGAAGCCACGGGATGAATACCCAACGGAAGACTAAGCTGCGCTGTGATTCAGAAGTCGAAGATCGCTTTGAAAGTAAGGAAGATACACACGCTTCGAGTAGAACTCCCGGATTGTACCAGCCCTCGTTTACACCAACGTCGAGGATGTCTTCAAAGCCAGGAGTGAATCGACGCCGCATCTGACTCCATGTGATTTCCGGCATGATGTTCTTCTTCTTTCGCATCCAACGGTGCTGAGAGGTGCCGATAAGTGAGGGGTCCTGATAGTGACGCAGCTGTGTGTGTCCATTCGCAATCCCCACGTTCTCTGACCCAGGATCGCTCTGGGTCACAAGTGGGATGACTGCGATAAAAACGTCGTGAATATAAGTCCGAAGAGATCAATACTGCACATACCCCCAAGCCGTTCCACGGTTTCCAGATAATAGCTGAATATAAGGCGGGGATTGCTGTTGTTCCACCAAATCTTCAACCAATGAATCATGCCGAGAAATGGGTCAATCCCAGTGTGTAGCGCTAAACCGAATTTATACTTCCATTTGTCGTGCTGATCTACAGCCCATATATCGTTGGCACCCGCTGCCCAGAACTGCTTGCGCTTGAAGTGTCCACGTCGGCGCTCACGAACAAGATCGGGCTCATGAGTGTGAAAATAGCGCATTACAGTCTCGCTAGAAACATACCTATGTGAGCGTATGAGAACACAATTGGAGGGATCACACACCGGGACACGCGCACATTCTCCTCGTGTAATAGCAAGCTAACCATCTCCCGTCCGCCAGCCTTGGGATAGATCGGACGGAGTTTGACAATAAATACCCCAATTGTGTCCACGGTGTGGCCTTGACGCCGCGTGCGTATGAAACCAAGCTTCTCGCGAATTTTTCTAAATGTTTGAACTCTAATTGAGAGCGGTTAGTAGCCTGCACAATGAAGACACAAATATACACGCACTCGAGGCCGTATTTGTTGAGATCGATGTGATACTTCTTGAGCAGCTCGACGATCTCGACATCCTTCTTGTTCTGCTTCCAGTACTTCTCGATGAAAGGACGGAGGTCTTCAGCATTAGCTGTGAACGTTCCAGAGCAAGGGCAAGGTGAAACAGTTGGAAGTGTAACACGTACGAACGGGCTTGTACTGATTGGGCATTCAGAGAGTTATGAGACCGCTGGTGGCACAAAAGAACCGAGGAGGAGCTTCTGTTGGAGTGCGAATAAGCCAGGACTCACTTTATAGTGGCGATCTGAGAACACGATCAACGAGCTGGGTACGGCGGTAGTACGGAGTGGAAGGCATATGCATGTACTTAGAAAGTCAGGGTAAACAAAAACGTTGCTGATCGGAGTTATTTTCAACTCATGTTGATAATGTTAATGTTGATAACCGAAGGACTTTTTACAAACCTAGATATCATTTCGGATCGGATCCCAATTGATATAATTATTCTCCTTGTCCGGTAGTGCAACTTCCCAGGCATGTACTTTGGTGAGTCGTTGTTTCTCAACGAGGGCCTCGCTTGAGAACACGCAGGGCGGCAGTAATAAATTCAACATCAGCATCAACACTGAAATCGCACATGTTGAGCGCTTGCTGTGCTCGTTGCATACCACCGCGGAAAATTCAAGGGTTTAACAGCCCAGTAATTGGCGGAGCCCTAGTGCGGCCGGGCACATGCTTAAGGCGCTACATCCATTCCACCAAACACGTTGATTAAGAACTGAGGATCCATGACACACCGTGAAATTTACTGAGACCGAGGCAGTCTTACCGAGCCTGGGGGAGCACTCTGGCAACACAGCCGAGATTGTCGACCCACTACTAATTGCTGACGCTCAAAGGCCTTAAAAGCGTCTCACAAAATGGGACTTAATCGTCGCCTACTGGTGCTCTGATCATGTCTGGATCAACCCTCTTTGCCAACTTCACCGATGATAGTTCTGATCAGGAGCCCGTTGTGTGCCAGACTGGAGCCCGATGCTACACTCGCGACCGTTCTGATCTCACAAAGGGCTTGCTGATCTTGCCCGGTCAGCCTCGCTTCCGGGTGGAGAACCTTTCTGCTGTCTCCGGTGGCAGGCTTGTGTGTGCAGCTTGCCATGCGCATTACGCAAGGAAAGCCTCGAGCTCGGTCCGAGGTACGTTTAGATGCTAAAACTGATGCAATTTATCAATCACAATCTGTGCAGCAACGTTCCGGGGCGATCTGGAAGGCGAGAAAGAATCTATCCGGCAGAGGAACATCCAAGGACGCGTTGGAGGTATGTTATTTTTGTTCTATACCCTGCTTCTGACTGAGCATTCGCAGACGCATCTCGTGGAGGCCGGATTGCGGCCATTCCATCGGGTCTAATGGGACCGCCCCTTGAGATCCCACAGCGATCCACAGGCACGTACATCATGATCTGCTCAAATTTAATATCTGAATTCTTAAGGTCCTCGTGTTTCGCTTCCAAACCAACCGATATCAAGTTCCGGATCGTCCAGTGCACCAATTAATCCGGGGCAATATTCAAGCCAAGGCTATTCTGCTGCTCACTCTCAGTATGCCGCGGCACGCGGGGCTTTTACCAAATCAGCGTATACTGGGATGTCGCCGCAGTGGATCACCCTGAACATTGGTGTCCGCTATGAGACTCGTGGTCGACCTACTGGGCAAGTCTTTGGGGTATGTTACGGTGACGTGTATCATTTTTTGTCACGAATTTGTGCTTCCAGACGATTCACGAGGGCAAGAATGTCCCTGCAACAATTACCGCAAGCGAAATTATCACAGCCGTGTTTGATAACGTGGCGCCCAAGCTTCGTCAAGCCATCGCTCAGGAAACTGACTCTCAATTTGTATTTGATGAGTCTAATTTTTTAGTACGCGATACTGAAACGTGGATCAATGTCCACGCGGAGCTCCCAGGATCCAGCGTGCTCTATGAGCGTTGCCTCAAGACATCAAAGGCTCGTGCCGACAAGGGCCAACTCGTGTTTCAGCGACCGAGAAAGCCCTTTCAATTTGCACTTGTCATCGACGCCAAAGAATGGCTCAGATATGAAAATTACCGTGATGCCCGGGAGCTGGACACACTCTCTATTCAGGTGCGTATACTAGTACTCTCCGGTATTTGGCACGACTGACTTTCTGAAAGGATAATGCCGATACCGTCTCATCTGCGCTACGCTCGCACATGGTACAGCGTGCCCCTGAGCCTTCGGCCCTCAAATTGACAGTCCTGTCGGCCGCGGAGACTACTAAGGAACCGAGTAACGGGTGTTTGACACGCTCAAAAACAAAGAGCAAGGTGAGCGCTTCTATCTTGATTCTTGTATCTGTTTGATTATTTATCCAGCAGACTGCCACTGCCAGTTCGTTCAGCTCCGTTCGACCCTCTCGATCGGCGCCAAGCTTGCAGGACTTTACTCAGCCAGATCAAGCGCTGCCAGAGTCGCCGCTTCCAAGCTCTGGCACGAGAGAAATTTCGTCTCAGGTGTGTTCGTTTACCCTTCTCATGTTTTGTCGCTGACTCGATACATACATGGAATAGGAATCCAGTAGCAAGATAGCGACTTCGAAAAAGCGTGCTGCTAGTCCAATCGACGATTATCATCCGGTTGACCAGCAACGTCTTCGAAAGGCACTCAGTATAGGCGGCTCCTTTCCCAACATTGCGAGAGGTGCGTCTTACTATGAAACTTAAGTATTCAGATCTAATCTCTATGCAGCCTTGCACACAACGGAGATAATCCAATTCTTCCGTATCACTGGGACCTCCGATCTCAATAATCTCCTCGCAAATGGCGGACAAAAATTTGTCTGCGATATTGCGAAGGCGGAAGCCGGTACTCTGTCGCTCCAGCCTTCGGAGAAGCCTCTGGGGATCGGTTCGTTCAAATCTGCTCATTCTGCGTTTCTGACGCTGTCCACTTTGCCGACCACACCCCTCGGAGCGCTTCCAAATCAAGCCGTTGCCGCGAAACGCATGTTCAAGAACAACAAGAATACCGTCTTGATCCGCTTCAACCCCATCGATGAATATGCGCACCATGTATCGGAGGCAAATCTCCTATTCTGGGGCACTACCCTTCTCAGTTTCGTTTATTCTTTCGTGCGTAACTACATATCAAAGCATGTCGCGCCACCAGGCGACCTCCCTATCTTTGAAGTCCGCTTCGTCGAGGCCGGCGTTGCTCTGGTTCACAATGCGGCGGCAGATGGCAAGTCGAGCAAAATGATGACATCACTCCGACGATCATATCTCATTGAAGAATTAATTGGAACGGGTTTGTTCTCTGCAACGACTCGAGTATATTGCTCACTGAATTTCAGGCAAGTTTGTGAAGTACATCAATAACAATAGTGCAGTGCCCGTTCCGTCGCTTCCAGAAGATCTCAAGCTGTTGGCATCGTTCCTCTGTTTTACACAACATGTCCAATACGAACACACCGGGCGTTTGGTCTTTCTTTCTGATCTTCAAGGCCGGTTCATTCGATCTGGCTCACTGTTTCATACTAACTCTATCCAAGGCTCCGGAAATCTCTTGACGGATCCGCAGGTTATGACTTCACCGTGCGCAGTCCACTGCTGTGTCAATCTGCGTGCTCTTGATATCTGACTGGATCATCAGGACTCTCGAACGTGGTCTGTTTGGTGGTGGCAATTCAGGCAGGTTCTTCGAGAAGTTTCCTGAGCAGCATGTATGCTCCGGTTACTGCAAGTTTTTTGGACTGTCTAGTCTCATGTAAGTAGTTACGCTCTATCGCTACTCTACAGTGCATGTACTTGGCCTTTTTCATACATGTTAACGAGCGTTCGGGGTCCAGACAGAGCGCATCATGACATAGAGCGCATCATGACATTGATGCCATGTCGGCAAACTTTCGCGTATCAGTGATATGTCCTCCGCTTATCAGCATATAATTCCCGGCCTCCATAGGTTTCGGGACTCACGATCACAAAACAGGATAGTCTCAGTCTGAAACTGTTGACTATTGACAATTTGGGGCTCGTCTTTTTTGGATGTCGTGCTGTAACATGGTTGTTGGATTGCTTCAAGGTCCTACCTCCACCATATCGGCATCAGACCCGGTGCGAAATTTAAATTCACACTGTCTCCCGAGTCTCCATCCGTCTCGACAGCATGACAAGCTTCCCTTTCACAACAATATCAGTTCATACAGCCCATAGCAGCGTAAATACTCAACACCTTCGGTGCCGGGTGTATGGGTTGTCGCGCTATTCTTCTAAAAATAATCTAACAGCTGAATGTCGAATCGCGTCAAGATCCTATTCACTGCGCTTTACATCACCTCAACATCTAAGCCTCCCTTCGAATGAAACGGTTCAAGCCTGATGCCAAGGCCAGATTTTCCCGCACCGGATATTGACGTCCTGGAATGTGATGTGAAGCCGGGCCCAATCGCATCATCTTCCCTTCCACCATCATGCCCCGAAAGTTCATCAGTCTCTTATATCCCCGATCGACCCGCTCAGACCCACTCCTGTTGATGATGCGAGACGGGCAGTCCACTGAATGGCGGACTCGCGCTGTTGGCTGCTGTTGGTGGGAGCACTGATGGTGCCGTTGGGAGGGCCTGGCTTGGCGGTCGACATGAGCATTCTGTAAGTACAGCTTACCGCAGAGCCAATAAAGCTTCGATCCCATTCCATCACCGCGTCAATCACGGAGGCGCCCGCCGGTGCGTGAAAGGGACCGGTGGCGCAAAATCGAGCAAGCCGAATGTGGGATACCGACGTGAGAAAAGCAAGTTGAGTTTCTAGTCAACAAGTCTACGTGGCTAGCGTGACGTAGGGTTTGCTGCATATGACACGTTTCGTTTTCAAAGGAGGAAAGAGAGACAAAGGTGAAGGAATTAATGCCGCATTGAGCCGATAAGAGGGTCGCATCGATACGTTCAACGAGCTCTTTGTTCGTGTCTTTTCGGTCGGATGAAATTGCTAAAAAGCATCAATCATACGGGGATAATAGAATGATTAGATGGAGAGACTTACTTGATTAGTCTCAACTGTCCAGACACGCATGAAGATGAGCAATATGACACCCACTGAGCGGAATCGGTTTACTATGCAACCGACTGCGCTTCCGGACTACCAGCAGAAGTCGAGAAAAATACATCTCGTCCCCATTTGGTGTCAAGCAATGTGGGTGTCTCCATCTCTGAGGTCATTTCCGAAAGAGGTGAGATGGGCTAAGAAGCGCTCACGTCGGAGAGGATCTCATGAACTTGGATCAAGTAGCTTTCGTCTTCTCCAAGAAACACCGGGCGTAGTCCGTGAGTAGCTTGGTATGGCGAAAAGTACCATGACGACCATGAAAGGGCAATGTGTTCGAGTGTTGATGCACAATATTCTCTAGGAGAGCAGGTAATTGAACAAGGGAACACAGCATTGATGCACGAAGACGCAGAATATACAGTGAGAAGTGGGCCGCAGGAGGAAAGTGTCATGAGTAGTAAGTACGGCGGGACAAAGGAAGACAAAGACCGAAAGAAGTCAAGGAACCAGTAACGAAAAGCAGCCCTTGGAGGGCATGATACCTATCATCCGCCTCCGTGAATACCTCGATTCGGATGCTTGCGTGAGAGGTCGCTAAGAAAGGGAGACCTTTGGGCAGCACTCACCGAAGTCCGTTGTCCATGTCTCGTACTTGGAACGATCCTGCTCGCTCAAAACTCCTGAACTCAATCGCATCTCGTTCAGGAGTCGGTTCTCTGTCGATAGGGATTCCTGATCGATCGTGCTTTTAGCTTCCTGAACGCTGCGTTTCAGCTGTTCATGCGATGAGAACCTGCTCACTCATTAGAGTGACTAGTGGAGTAGAAAGGTAATCTCGACTGACGCTTCCGTCAGCGCTGGCGAGACCCCTGACCCCTCCGAGCTATGCACACTTTCCAATGGCAGTCGCTCATGAAAGCATTCTTTTGCGACTTGATCCGGACGTGGAATATACAGACGATGATGAAATCTCGAGACACAGATGAGATGACAACGTTGTATGGCAAGACGGTCATCTGCGCACCGCTTGCGGATGGGTCCTTCCAGATTCCATGGCAGCGTTGTCAAACCCACGACGTAAAGTCCGACATTCCTAGCTGAAAAGCTATCCATCTGGACGAGCAGCTCGGTACGCAATTGAAGCAAGCTCTCGTGGCTCCGGTTCCCCCCCTCTGCAAGCCCAGACCAGATCTGATCCACATCGTTGAGGAGGAGAACGGCCGGCTTGCGCTCCCGTGCATGGAGAAACATCTTTTGGATGGCACTGGCAAAGTCTCAGAGCCACCCTTCTCCGCAAGGATCACGGAACACACACTCGGGTGAAGCCAAATCCGCGGGGCCAGCACAGACGAGGGGTACTCCTGCCTTATCGGCAGCAGCCAGGGCGAGCGCAGACTTCCCAGCACCCGAGGGGCCATAAAGCAGCACGCTGGAGCATCGCCTCCGGCTGTTGGCGAAGAGCGCGGGGAACTTGAGCGGCAGGATGATCGCTTCGAGCAGCACTGTTTTAGCGGCATCGACACCGCGGATGCTGTCCCATGCGTGGTTGACGGAGAGAGCTTCCCTACGGTCATCGGCAACCGCTGATAGTGTGGTGTGGCGTGGCGGAGGACTGCACCTGCGACTTTGATCGTGGTCAGCATCGGCCGAAAAGTCGACCCACCCTTCGGGCTCCATTCCCTCAATCACCGTCTCAACATGGCTCGTTTCGGGAGACCGAGACGACAATGCTGTATTCATCGGTGGGGTGGTGGTCATGACGAAATGCCGCGGAACGAAAGATTGCGGTCGTGTACTACGTACGCACTGCGGCGCTTCGGAATTGGGTCGTGCCACGAGGTTAGATGATGGACTTTCTGATCATTGTCGTGCGACAAGGGCATGTGCACCGCAACACAAACGCACTTGGCGGCCTGCTTGGACCTGCTTGTATGATGCAATCAGATGATGACATTCTTTCGAACTCGGGCCAGGGCGTAGCAAGAAAAGTTTGGATGCGATGATAAGAACTGCCACCGAAGATTCCTCGAGACATTCATTGCGCGAAAACTGCTGTAGCATACATAATTCCCAATCTCACCTCAATTCCACCGACGTTTGCTTGTGATGCGTTTGTCATGTTGCTCAACTCGGCTGATTTTTGCCCAATCTCACAAGTCTTTACGGCATAAAATCCACTGATACATACTGTAGTTTGCACTACCGCAGCCCGAACAGCCATTCGAGAACACAGAGGTAAAGGTCCTACTGGATCAGGTCTTCGACCAGCCAACGTCTCTGGGGATCGAAATCTACTTGTAAAGCAAGTTGCAACTACATATTTGAGGTTTGGATTGTCGGTGGCTGCTTTCTACATCAGTCTGGTCAATGCGCTGCTTATCGGTGATCATGAAGTCTTTGAACTGGCTAGCACGGGTGGCAACCCACAAACCCCAAATATTGATCCGAGGTCCGCCCTTCTCCGCATCTGCCGTTACCAAACAAAGCTCGGCCTCATTTCCATCAGCCCATTTTGCTCTCTTTTCTGACGTTTCCCGCTCCGACCCATCTAGCGTGGGTCTCGATTCTGCTTTCGCGCTCAGCCCCTCTTTCGGGACCGTCAAGCACACATGCTTGCCTAGGGCATGTGATGACTGGCTGCATGGCTCCCCAACGACTTCTCGTCTCGGAAGGTGTGAAGATCAGCGCTCACGTGCAATAAGCCGATGATAGAGAGAAGTTCCGCACCGCACTACCAATAAGATTGGTCGCAACGGGTGTGCCATGGGCGATCATGGCAAGGAAGCGCGGAAGGGCAACGCGTGAGGGTAAACGTTTTACGAATGGGCGGTCTGCGCACGTTTCACGCTCGTTTATCTGCTTCTCGTGCTTCTCGAGACGAGGACTCTTAAACCGCAGAATATCGAGTCGATTTGAGCTGAGGTTCCTCGTGCCACGCCCTTCGATACACGAATATGCTGGCTGCTCTCGTTAAGCTATCTCTGCTCGCTGTGCTGCCCGCCGCCCATGCTGCTGCAACCAACGACTGGAGTGTGGCGTGCAAGGGTAACTGCTCGTACGACCTTCCCGAGGGTGGTGCGAGTATCCACCTGGTAAGTCCACGGTCTGTGTGTGCGCCATTTCGCTTCTTCTGATTCCGTGGGCAGTCTGGAGGGAGCAACGCTGTGTCGGACTTGACCACTGCCGGTGGATGGACGATTCTCAGCTGCGACTCTGCCGTGAACAACCAGACCATCCGTGCCGTTTGCCACTCCAGCGCATGCCAGCATGTTTTCGAAGGTCACGGTGCCGTTGATACGGTTGTGCGGTTGCCCGAATCGGTATGTACCCTGTTCGTGCTTTTAGATGTGAGATTGGGCCTGACTGGTCGCGCAGTGTGGAACGGCGCCCTTCGCTCGTATCGTCAGCGCCGCAGTCGATCCGGACCAGAGCATCCCCGCGGGTTCCAAGGTTCCCGCAGCCCAGTCTGGATCTATGACGAACACAGTCTTCTTGATTGGCATGGACGTCGATTTCGCTGCCGTGAACCCCCAGATGTGAGTGCGGGATCTGCTTCTCAATGTAGACCTAACGAAGTATCAGCACTGGGCCGGTTGCTTTCCACATGTCGACCAACTCTACCGATGGGCCGGTCACGAAACGTGATGTCAAGAAAATCCGGAACAGTAAGGAGTTCAGCCCGACGGTCTGGTTCTCTGCATGACATAACACGCAGACATTACCTTCTACAACGCAACTCCGTCTGTGACTCTGTGAGTTTTTGGGCATTATACCCGAGCGACCGGCTAAACGGCATTAGTCCCCCCGTGGTTGTCGACCAGACATTCCCGATTGCTTCGGCGTCGATCTCGTGCGACGGATTCACAGCCTCTGTTTCCACCGACTTCAGCCTCAACGTGAATGCGTCTGTGACTTTGGGACTGACCATCGCTGGCACAGTCATCCCGGCGAACATCAGCGAATTCGCCGTCTTCGCCGGGCTTGATGGAAAGATTCTGGGTACGTTGGGTATCCAGGCTGAGGCCACGGTTAGTGTTCAGTGTTAATATCACATGAAAATCTCTGACTTTCGAACTCAGGGAGCGTTTTCCTCCGGAAAGACCAGCCTCTATACTGCTTCCATCCCCGGATACAGCGTGCCCGGCATCTTCACAGTCGGCGTGAGTGTCATCTAAAGAATATCAATATTACTTCTGACCCATCCTCCATAGCCTACTTTCACTATCTACGGACAAGCCGATGTCCAGCTTGATGCTCAACTCAACGCTGAGCTCGACCTGTCATACGACGTCAGCGGAGCCCGTGTCTACGTTCCTTCAAAAGAGACCCCGCCTGGTGTGGCACCGGCCCAGAGCAGTACGTGTTCAATCTCTTAGCAACTCGTAAATTCTTATCATGCAGACTTCAAACTCTCGCTGATTCCGGACTTGACGGCGAATGCGAACATCACCGCGAGCCTGATCCCCGAGCTCGCCGTCGGGCTGGACGCTTTCTCCGGCATTGCCAAGGCCGAGGTCTTCCTCAACTTGGAAGCTGATGCGGGTCTCACCCTCACCAACTTCGATGCCTCCGCGGGTGCTCACGTGACTGGCACTGGCAGTGCTGCTGCGTCTGGACAAGTCAACGGATGTGTCGACATTGGCGCAGGTTTCTCCGCCAACATCGGTGCCGATGGATCCTTGTTCCGTGCGTATGCCTTGTTATTCAAATGCATGTCTCTGATGGCCGAGCACAGAATTTATTTCGGGCAACGTCACCTACCCTCTCTACAAAAACAACTGGGACCTTTACAACACGTGCTTCTCCGCCAATGGCAGCACACCCCGTCGTCGCGCTATCGAGGCTGCCCCGGTCAAGACCTTAGCGCGTCGTGCTTCGCTGTCCTGCCCCGGCGGGTCTTCCTCCACCAGCGTCAACTCCCTCCAGCAGATCATCAGCCAGCTGCTCCAGGCCATCCAGGGAAATGCTTCTACGAGCAAGTGAGCTTTTGATACCATTCAGTGTCGGCTTCATGTCCCGCGCTCGAAATAGAAAATGAGTTTTGATTACGGAGTGCTGTTTATTGTCGAATAGACTTGATCAATTATTTTCGGTCCTTGCTGCGCTGAGACGCCACAGCACCCAGTGGACGACTGATTGGCAAAGGGAATTCAAACGTGAGTTTCGGCCCGGCACTCTTTCCTGCACTGGGCAAGGCTGGGTATATCTGACTGTTTCCGCGGAAACAAGTTGACGCCTCCACCTCAGGATCAGGAAGCTCACAGAATTGCCACGCGATGATTTTCGATTAATGCATCCTTACTCTGCATTTTCTGTAGCTCTCTGGAATGCATGCTTGCCCTGATGCATCCATGTCGCTTCTCCACTGCGGAATCAAGTGCTACCCACCGAGTGTTTTTGGTTATGATTCTCGAATTAGATGAGCCAAAAAATCTCGATGGAAATATACAGCTCTATCTTTTTGACATCACAGCACGAACAGCCACCTCTCATGATCAGGCGTGCGGATCCCGGCTCGCCTGGCTTTGATTCGAATCGTCGTCAAATTCACCACCCAATGTCACGGAAGCTTTTGTCGTGCTTCCTGCAGTAGAATCCGTTGCAAGTCTGACCACTGTTGAATCTCGTTGCCGCGGCCACGATGACTTTTTTTTTCTGTTTGAGTTGGTTCGCCGGGGAAAATCTCAGTGTGTGAAGGGTCAGAGTCGACTTGCAGTTGAGGGGAGTGCATTATAAGTCCCCAATATACCTTCATAAATTGTCTGAAATCTGGCCTCCTCAGCAGACGAGGAATAGACAGACCGATGGCCTTATTTTGGTGATACCTCGATGAGAATCAATGGAACAGAAAATACGCGAAGCTCTTCATGACCGCAAGCAAATAGAAAAAATGAACATGTAAGCGGGTCTCCATAGGGATGAATAAACAAACTCAGATTGGAAAGTAACGAGTGTTATGCCACTAAAAAATGCTTCTTATGCAAGATCAGGTCTGCGCTTTCATGGCGATGTTCAGATAGGACAACCCGATACAGAGCTTTGGTGACTACACGCACTCGGATCCAGAGATGGTGCGGCTCTCGCGGAGCTGAGCTTGGGATTCTTGATTAATTGTAGCCGGCCCGGGTGAAAAAAAATTGCAGTTGCAGCGGCGTTCTTTCACGGCCCCCGCCTGTCTTGCTCCGCGGATTGCAGTCAACAGAATCTACAGTCAGGGTCATACGTGCTCTCGATTGCCCGCGGAGCGGCTAATAGAGCAATTGCCGTGTGCAAGCCTCGGTGACCACTATCGGCCCCATCATTGTTCACAGCCAAAGATAAAAAAAACGATCTCAGATCTTTCCACGTGGCAAGATCCAAGAACGAGCTTGGGGTGCTCGACCAGATAACAAGTTCTGCTAATTTCCAGTTGGTCTCCCCTGCCATGTGCCGCTTCTCATTCGGAAGTTCCTATGCACTATAACTCGACTTGTTCTATCTTCACATCTTGCTATTTTTGAACAGGCCATGATATAAAACAGACAGTCTCACGGAATCCGGCTGAAAATCACCCTTCTCGAAGTAGTTCTGGGCCCAGAGCATGCTGGAAGTCGAACACAAGTCGACTGCCATTCAGAATCTACCAGCGATGAGTGTTGTTGCTTGATTCTCGGGCTTGAGGAAGATACGGATGCATGCCGTGGTATGTCATGCAATACGCGTGTCCCTCTGCGCCGGCCGGTGCACGCGTCATGAATGGAGCATCCCGCACGCAATTCCTGCACGATGAGCAACGTAGCTGATGGAGATGGCATCCCCGTCTGGCCCTGCCCACGCCGGTACCGGGACCTTCACCCGGGATGCTACGATTACTTCGGCACCCATGGATCAGAGAATAGATAGGTCCGCGAGTCAAATATGTGGAAAGCTTGAGCCCGGCAACGCCCATCATTGACCCATCAATCGAATTTGATCTTGAGGGCGTGGTCACTGGTGAGGGCGATGCTCCGAGACCGAGCTCCCAAGTCCATGAGCGAGCGGATCAATTCGCCACAAAAGTATGTGCTCGAAATCTGCCGGTCGGCATCGGTCCCCTTGCTGAATGGGGAAATTTATTCGCAAGGTGAGCGCAGAACCCAATAGGTGCACTTCACAACTGAATTCGATCTCGTCACCAGAGCCGGGCTGTTTCGGAGTGCAATCAGGTAGCCGGCGGCATGGGTGACCTGGCCTACAAGCAGTGAGTGCAGTCGAGGAGGTGATCTGAACGGATGATTGGTGGAATTCAGAGCGGCGATAGATTGTTCGCAAGGGCTACGAACGCGCCCAGTTGCATGCCATTTCCCGCTTGCACTAGCCGGGAAATTTTAGATGTGACGAACGGAAACATCTGCGTCGCCAGTCACGGTAGATGCGCAAAAGTATCGAATGCGACTGCGCTCAGATAAACATCTCAAATGTGGTGATGCGATGCTCCACAGGCCGGTAATTAGAATAACAAAACATGCGGAAAGCCAGCAGTTACCGGTGTGCAACTGCCAATGGCAGACCAGGTTGAGATCCTTGGTGCTTCCTCGGCGAGAAAATTCCGGTTCGAAGGGGTTCAACTCATCACCCGCCGACTAGTTCTGCACTCTGGACTTGTGCTAGTTGTTCTTCTGCGTGTTTTTTCTCGGGCGTATTAATCCCGCGGCGAGTTGTTGGCCGCAAACGGTAATCGATGGGTGATTAGCGCTAGAAAGCTCGGACGAGGCGATGTATGAGTCTGCAAATTTTACGAGTATGCGACACCGCGCACCTTCTTGTTTGGTGTCGATTCCCTCGTCGTGCGTGTCAAAAAGAGGGCCTATAAAAGACAGCGATTCGGAGAGACTAGAGATCATTCTACTCGCACCAGGACTTTCGACTGACGAATATGCTGGGCTCTCCTGCTGGACTTTCCCTACTCGCTGTGCTTCTCGCCGGCAACGTCGCTGCGGCCAACGACTGGGATGTCGCGTGCAACGGTACCTGCACGTGCGACCTTCCCGACGGGGGTGCAAGCATTTACCTGGTGGGTCTGCTATGATCTGTGTGACTGTGTCGCTTCGTCTTGATGACTTCCATCGGCAGTCGGGGGCGAGCAACGCCGTATCTGACCTGACCACCGCCGGTGGATGGACGACCCTCAGCTGCAAGTCAACTACCAACACCCAAACCATCCGCACCGTCTGCCAGTCTGAAGCCTGCGAGCACATCTTTGAAGGTCAAGGCGCGGTCGATACGGTTGTGCGGCTGCCTGAGACGGTGTGTGCTGCATCTCTTCCTGGTTAGATGTTGATGTTGGCTGACTGCGACTTCAGTGTGGAACGGCGCCCTTCGCTCGCATCGTCAATGCGACTGTGGACCCGGACCAGAGCATCCCTGCAGGCGCCAACGTTTCGTCGAGCCAGGCCGGATCCACGATCGGCACTGTCTATTTGATTGGCATAGACGTCGATTTCGCTGCCGTGAATCCCCAGGTGTAAGTCCAGCGCGTCCTGTACATGCATGGCATGAACGGCTATACAGAACTGGACCCGTGTCTTTCCAAATGTCGACCAACTCCTCCGACGGTCCGGTGACGAGAAGGGCTATTACCCTCACCCCCGGTTCGACTGTCACTCTGTGAGTTGTTGTCGCAGGAGATAAGCCCAGAAAAACAAACAGCCACAGACCGGCCATTATCGTCGACGAGACATTCCCGCTTTCTTCGGAGTCGATTGCGTGCGATGGATTCAACGCCTCTGTGTCGACTCAGTTTGGCATCCACGTGAACGCGTCGGTGACGTTGGGACTCAACATCGGTGGGACAGTCATCCCCTCCAACGTTAGCCAGTTCTCGGTCTCTGCGGGACTCGACGGCAGTATCATCGGCACGCTGGGTGTCCAAACTACGGCTTCGGTGACTCCCATCCTTCCCTGCGATACCTCACTCTGACCTGTGAGACCAGGGGACATTTTCGACCGGAAAGATCGCCCTCTTCACTGTTCCGATCGCCGGATACGACATCCCGGGTATCTTCTCTCTTGGCGTGAGTGATCTATGCTGGCAAGTAAGCCATCCGGTCTGAACATTTCCGCAGCCGTCTTTTACCATCTACGGACAAGCGGACTTGCAGCTCGGTTCCGAGCTCGACGTTGAGCTCGACCTGGCGTACAACATTAGCGGAGCACACACCTCCGTCCCCACCCAGAAAATTGCCCCCGGTGTCACGCCGGCTAATAGCAGTAAGTGTATTGATCTTCCTTGAAGTGGCGAGGCTCAGTCATCCCAGACTTCAAACTCTCGGTCGTGCCAGGCCTGGAGGCCAACGCGACCGTCACCGCTAGCCTGATCCCAGAGCTGGATATTGGTTTTGATGTCTTTTCTGGCCTTGCTTCAGCCGGGGTCTACCTCAATCTCGAAGCCGATGCCATTATTGGCCTGTCAAACTTCGATGCCTCCTCGGGCTCTCAGGTGACGGGCAACAACACATCTGGCCAGGTCAGCGGCTGCATCGATATTGACTCGGGCTTCTCCGTCAATGTCGGCGCCGACGGATCTCTCTTCAGTGCGTGGTCCCGTCTCCCGGCGGTTAGAAAATCGCTGATGGATATCAGACTTCATTTCCGGAGGCGTCAACTACGCCCTCTACAACCAGACCTGGGACCTGTACGACCAGTGCTTCTCCAGCGCTGCCAGCTCAGTCCGTCGCCGGGATGCGATCATCGAGGCCGCCCCGACAAAGAGCTTGGAGCGCCGTGACTCCTTGTTTTGTCCCGAAAACCTCCTCGCCCTGGAACGCATCATCAGCCAGGTGCTCAAAGCGGTCGGTGGTGGAAAGTCCGGGTGATCGACAAGTGAGTTTTCGATGTGGGTTAGTCGGTACTAGTGAGCAGTACATAAGTCAAGTGGAACAGAATACGAATAGAGACGTGGCAGTGAACATGCAAGATCATTCCGGAAGTTGTCCGTCTCACGTGCCCATTTTTCTCAGTCCTCCACTACGACGGAGCTTTTGCTTTCTACTTTTCGTTTCATCCGCTCAGATTGTCTTGTTGCTTCACTTTCAGCTCTTATTCCGTGAATGAATCAGGGCGGATTGATTCGCAAGCCTACATTCCCTTCCTGTCTTGAATACCTCCTTCACGAAGACATCTACATTCACGTCTCTTTCTTCCTTCCACCGTTGCGATACATCTCTCCACGGTTTCCGTCTTCGTCACCGTCGCGGCCTGCCTCGTCTGCGAGGCCAGTGCGATCCGGCATCTGCATCGGACTCTCTTGGGTCTGGGCTCTCATCGCAGAGACCTCAACGCTCTGACCCATTTTGAAAAGCAACTCGTGGCGGCGGGATGGTTTCCCAGTTGGAGTATTGTTGATGTAGCGGAGCTCTCGTGGGGCAAGTATACCCACAAGGTCATGCGTTCGCGTCCGTCGCCCTTCCTATGACAATCTTTCTTCCCTCCTATCCTGACGCGTAACACAGCGAAACTACCTCGCAGCCGGATAACATCTCCGTTGATGCTGGGTCGCTGAAGCGTTTGGTAGCCTCCGCTCGTGCGCATGTAAGCGAGAGTTCCACTGTATCAAGCTTCACTCCTTTGACAAGGACCCCCTCAGAACGTCTCTCCTCTCCTTGCTATCGGTGGCTGGGCATCCTCGCGCTACTTTTCCTCCGCCGTATAGTCAACGCACAACCGCGCTGCATTCGCAGACGCGATCCTGGGCCTGGTCAAGACGCACGATCTGGATGGGATCGATTTCGAGTGCGTGTGGCCGGGGTTCTCCTCTCATATTATACTAACTACTTTCGTTTTGCATCTGGGAATAGTCTGGCTCAGAAGGCATCGGGAGCAACTTCGTGTCGCCGTCCGACTCCGACAGCTTTCTTCTCCTCCTGCAAGAGCTGCGTGCCAAGTCCGACAGCCTGCAGCTTACCGCCGCGGTTGGAATGACGCCATTCTCCGGGTCCGATGGCGCGCCGATGAGGGATGTGTTAGAGTTCGCGAAGGTGCTAGATCGAATCGGTATGTGGTGCATTGGGGGGTCAGAGACGCTCCCGCCCTGGGTGCTTGCGGCAGAACTGATGGTGTACGATGTGTGGGGATCGACAACGCATGTGGGGCCAAACGCACCGATAACAGCCTGTGCTCCTAGCGCTTCGTAGTATGGTTCTGTCACATCGGCTGTGCAGGAATGGACTGGTGCGCAGTTCCCCGCCGACAAGGTGCGTGTCTTTGAGTCATCCATGACATTCAGGCACCATGCTGAGTCTCGGCTGAGTAGATAGTCCTCGGCCTCGCAGCTTACGGCCACAGCTTCAGAGTCACGCCGTCGAATGCGCTCGTGCACAGCCATCTCGACACCTCTGCCGCTGTCTCTGGAACCACGCCTCCGGGGCCCAACGACACAGACACGAACCCGACCGCTGTCAGTGGAACCTACACCTTTGCGGAGCTCGTCTAGACGGGGTTTCTTGACGATGAGGGGCACGCGCTGGTGAACTAAGCGATCGACGCGTGCAGTCGGACGGTGAGTTTCGTTTTGTACCGTCTTCACCGTTGTTCGAAGTGCTTAGCCCGAGGCCAGCCGTTTGCGTAGACGAGAAGAAAAAGATTATGGTCTCCTACGATGATGCAAGCTCTTTCGGTCCGTGCTCCAATGATTTCATCTCAGTACGGTATTCAAGATCCTCCAGCGGCTAAAGGACAGTACATTCTCGATTCCCATATTGCCGGATTCTCGGTCTGGGATGTCACAGGCGATCATCAGAATATCCTGATTGATTCTGTGCATAGCGCAACGGGGTTGGGAGACTGGAATTTGCTGTCGGTCATAGAGATCAACCGACTGCAATAGAGCATACACGCAAAGTTTTCTCAAATTCTTGCAAATCAGAGTTCGAATTCACGTCAGTTCTGCAGACAGATGTGGCGCTCATCTGCCTCGCGCTCCACAGCTCGTTGTTGCCGGACGTACAGCATTCAATTAACCCGAAAACTAGCCCGTAAGCTTGTTCCGTTGAGAAGTTAGTGTGTATTTGAGATAAATGGATGGATGCTCATTCTTCGTGAGCACTGAAGCTTACCCCGGAAGTAGATCAAATTTAACCATCAAACTTCCGTTTACCATCGAGATTGCCAAGAGGTCTTTTTAGCGTTGCGGAGGTGATTCTAGTGACTTAGATTGACTTGAAAATGTGTGAGATTCGCCTTGATATACCTGGAGACTTTCCCTGCTCCAGAATAAGTACGGATTCACAATAGATTGTATGCAGGTGGTCACGTGAGCCCAGTGAGCGCTTGATAACTTATAAGACACCAGCCTTGAAACGATTCAACCGCTGCGACAAGCATCCCGATCCTCCCTTCGGCTGGGGTAGTCTTCCTTCTCCCGAATCACAGCTCCGACATCCTCCAATAGAATGGACCCGAACTGCATTTCTTTAAATCAGGACAGCTTTCCTGTGCTTCAAGTTTCAAGAGTGTCAGACTTCCCGTGACCTGGCACGTGACATCAAATTTATTGCCACCAACTCACAGCAGCACCGATCTATGACCAGGCTAAGTTTCCGGTCCTACGAGCCGTCAAATCCATTTTTTGAAATACTGAAATCCTTTGTGTCTCTCTCAAAAAGGAGGGAGGCCCCCTTTTTTGCGCTTTGGGCGGTGGCGGCTGCATCAACGTCGCGGATCCACTCCACACGAACATAGACACGAGCTCTGCTCGGAATCACATCACGCACGGCGAGATCTCAAGCGTATTTGGCAGTAATGGGGCTCATATTTCACATCTATGGGCGTCTGATCAAGGTCAGGGAGTGGAGGGACTCCCGCTGTGGCAGTCTTCCAGTTGATGGGCGGCTCTTTTTTATCTCATGGAGGAAGGCTGTTATTGATTAGGGAACACACTATAAACGTCAGGCTTGTGCCTCCCTGGCCACACACTCTGTCGTCGACTCTACAAATGAACGCTCACACATCTGCACCGACCTCTGGACCTCTGCGTCCTGTCCTTCCGAAGGATAACACGCGCTACGACCAATACACCACTCTGTGAGCTCACTTTCGCTGTATCTGTCCTTCTGCTCATCCCCTCCTCCAGTCCTCAGCTTGGGCTCAATGGTGGGGGACTGATCCCCGTCGGTGGGCTCCGACATGCTGCCCCGCCCGCTCGCGGGAGCTGGGTGGCCTTCATTAACCCAGAAGGCAAGGCGTACTTCCTCCACGTCGAGAGCGCTCAGATCGCGGTCGTGACGGAGGCGGACCTGAACGACAGGACCATGCTCGAGCGCGCCTCGCTCTGGGTCGCCCATCTCCGCGGCCTCGCGGACAGCCTGGTGGCTGACCCTCATTCGGCGGAGGCATTTATCAGCATCAGCGGGGATGAGAGTGCTCATTCGTGTGAGTATTACATAGTGGACCATGCCGCACGCCAGGTCTTCTGGCTCGAGGAGGTGAGCAGCGACGACGTGGGCTTGCACGGAGCCGTGTCAGATCATCATCTCCGTGAGTCATCGCGAGCAGTTGACGAGCGCCGCATGAGCTGTTGTCAGACGTGCTGCTGGAGGAGCAGTATTGGACGCACCTGTGCTATTTCCCGATGCATCGTCCGCCCGTCACGGATGACGTGTTCTACACGCTCATGACCACGCTGTCGTATGGAATCGTCGACGCGATGACTTCAAGCACTTCCACGGTCTTTATGAGTGGGAATGCCCCCGAGTTGAACACATACCTCTCCGTCCTGGAGCGCTTCAAGTCGAGGGACTTGCGTGATGGGAATACGACTTGGATCGTTGGTACGGCATTCCCGATACCGTGACCCAAAATGTTTGCTGAGAATGCATAGCCCGAATCTGGCAAGCCATCTGTGCGTCCATGTTTCGATCGAGCGAGATCACAGCGAAACTGACTGACGTCTATTTATCCCAGACCATCAACGCATCTTGATACACTACGGAGAAGTGCTTGCCCGTATCGACCACGAGCAGACTGTCCACGAGGTTGCAGTCCCATCTAATGAGACTCTAGCCATCATTCTGGCTACACTCACTTTCGGCTTCTCTCGACGCCACCAACGACAGTTGGACGACGCGTTCACGGATGAAGTCATCTTCTATAGTCGCTGGCAAGCTCTCGTCAAGAGCCTGAACGCAGAGTGGGCCTCCTCCATTCACGGAAGCCTGATAAGTATCCTGTGAGTCGTCCCGCGCCCCGAGAGTCGCAGCGGGCCTGAATCACCTCACAGCCTGCATTTCCCGCTGGTGGCTATCACGGTGCCCATCATGCCCGATGTTACGCTCCCAGCTTCGATCGCCCTTTCCGTCTCGGGACTCCTCTCTGGCTGTGTCCTGAGTCAAATCGGGTCAGAATTGGAAGAATTCAACTCCAGTGCTGCTGTGCGTTCCCGCTTGAGAATGAAATCAAACAGAATGATCTTGACCATCTGCAGTGTTCTTACCTCACAAACTTCAAATCCAGGACCTTCCAGCTCCAGCCACTGGCATTCGTGTACGCCCTCCCGCGTGCATTCCAGATCTGGGGCACCCTCGCGCTCGGCGTCAACTGGGTTGCGGTGGCCATCGTCCATCTCGGACAGATCCCGGCCCTGGTCCTCGTCGCACTGCTGTGCCTGGTGATGCTCTTGTCCGCTGGTCTTTTGCGGGTGCTCGAGGCACAGATCGAACAGATTACGGATAGGGTCGGGAGTATGTGGGCCAGACGGGTACACAGTGGAGAGTATCAGTTGATGGTGTAGGCGTGGTGGTGCTTCCCGTACGACTCTTACGATAAACATGATTGTTCTTTTGTCTTCTGTTACGGCTGAATTCCATTCTTTCTGTCTGTCTGCCCTCAAGCCAGGGTCGTTCTCATTTTTCAACTCGGATCAACTCGGATCAATTCGGGACTATCAGTTTGGGGACCGCTTGAGACAAGACTGGCTACCTCCACGGCAGACCAGATTCAAGCCATCCCCTTCCTTTTCGCCAGTGCAGCCAAGAAGGTCATTGGGAGAATGCCATTCTTGCGTGGTCCACCGGCATTCATCCGCGCGACCTGCCGATCGCTCATCAAATTCGCGTGCACCTCCCCGTCCTTCATCCGCACCTGCCACACGTTGATCCCGCCCGTCCGATCCCCATGCTCGGTGGCGCACAGGTCGATCAGCGCGTGGAGCACCCGCGCGCACCAGTCGAGCTTGTCCTGCGGAATCGGGAACACGGGGAGGTTCCGCGTCTCGCGCACGACGCCGGCGCGGTCTGGGAACCCGACGAAGATGCGCGGGCAGTCGATGAGGCCCGATTGGATGTCCCATTTCGCGAGGTTTCTCAGCTGTGGGGACTCGAATTTGCGCGTTTTGAGCTCGACGTAGTGCGATGGACTCGGTTCGGCGGGGGAGTATTGGGCTGCGAGAATACCGTTCAGTCTCTGGGTGTTGTGAGGAATTTGTGTCCATCAGATAGAACGCACCGTCGACACAGTCAACTTCGCCGACGAGTACGATATCGAGCGTGCCTAGTCGACGTTTTATACCGACCGCCCAGAGGGTGTGCATATCCACATCGTCGGCCGTTGTAGCCGCAGTGGAAGGCCTCGAAGACAGAGTTTCAAACTTACGCCTAAACGTGGCTCTAAATCATCCTGCAACCAGCTTGCGCGAAATGACTGACCCTGTGTAGTTCCACGCGAGGTTATCGCTACAAGACATGATGAGTAGCGTCTCTGGCTGAAAGGAGGTGGTTTCTTACTCGAACCGGGTTTTGGTGCTGTCCTCCTCGAGGTACAGAGTCCCCTCATAGTAAGAGACAGCGAGGCAAAGGTCCGCGCGGATCATTATCCTACACAGCATCCTTCAATCACAGCAAAAGTAGCGCCACTCATGTCACACGTACTTCGTGAGAATGCCGCGCCAGGTGATGACATCGGCCTCGAGCATCTCGGCGCTCCGTTGGGCGCCTGCACACATTGCGACAACGGCATCCAGCCTGCGCGCCTTGTACGCCTTATCCCCGAGAGGCCGTCGCAAGAATGCCCTCAGGCCGTCGCGGACGTTCTTTTGCAGCGCCGGGGATGGATTGGCGTCGTTTCCGGTGAAGTAGCGCATAGACTCGGTGCTGTCAATCTTCAACTGCTCGTTGACCAGGGACATGCAGGTCAGCTGGGTCGCGGGGGCCAAAGCTGCGGGGAGAGTGCATGTACCCGAAGGTGGATCCAAGGAGGAGAGGACGCGCATGGTGGAAGGGTGGAAGTGGAACAATGCAAAGCTCTGACCTGAGGAAATTTAAAAGGCCCAGCGGGACGTTGTCATTCATCACCAAGTATGTACGTTGCATTAGATTATTTATGGCAGGCATATGTATGATACACTCAAAGCCCAGAACCTGCACGGCGCTTAAACGCTCACTGCATGCACTTCGAGATCGCGTTGCTCAGGATTCCAGCATACGTCGACGCTCGGCCATCAACGCCCCCCAATCTTCTAGTCCACAATTGACTGGTAGTTGATCCCACAGCTGGTCCAGGAGCGCTGCATGCCTGTGGCGCATCTCGTCAATGCACACGTCGCGTACCTCGTTTCTGAACGCGGCACAGTCGTTTGTGCGCCACACGAAGAACGGATGGCAATCCCACAGGTAGTCCCGTTGGCTCGGATCCGCAGCGGGTAACAGCTCCTTCGCCCGTGCACGAGCGTTTCGTCGGGCATTTGTCGACGGGCTCGGCAATGATCGACAGGATGGCAACAGTCGCTCGCGAGTGCAGATGCGCGAGCGAGAGCAGTGTGTTTTTCCGCTATAAAGCCTTTTCATACGCGTCTGAAAACACTTGCTATTGCACTGAAACTTGATTGGGATCGCTAATCAGAGTCCACACCGCCACCTGTCAATAAAGACATGCCAATGCCCTCACGAGACTACTCTCACCAATCCTGCCTTCTTCCTCCTCTTGGCGCTCGGGCAGTGAAGACTTGACTCAAAAGTGTCCTGAAAATCTACCGGTCCGCAGGTCCGCCCCATGGTGAGGCTTTCCAAGCTATTTTGCTCCTCATGCGATGACCCGTAGTCCAGTAGAACTCGGATTCTAAGCTTGTTTATTTTCTTCGAACAGCCTGATTGTGCGAGAGGACCATCCCGTAGCTCTATTCTATCTATTCGAAGGTGAACTTGACTCTTACAATCTCCTCTGACACATCCCACAACTTGGCAGCATTAGCCTGGCATACACGCATCAGTGAGTCGTTTTCAAAAACACAGCTGCCAAAACAGAACGTACCGGATCCGCAGAGTGTTCTTCGATTTTGTCGTTTGCGACCACTGAGTCGTCCAAGTATGCGCCAGGGCTTGCGTCGAGAAGAGGGTCCAACGCAGCAGCCACGGTCGTAGCCGCGCCCTCGGGGATCGTCTTCCACTGCATATCCTGCGTATTCGGTTGGCCGTCCGGCCCGAGGATCCCTTGGCTCTTCATAGCCTCGACCGACTCCTCCTTGTTGAGAATGTTAGTCAAGATCGCTAGTAGGGAGAGGATCAGCGGGTTGGACAGAGACCGACGTTTTGGGCATGCCAAACGGGCATTCCCCCGCGCAAACGGGCATTTGATGGGCATTTGACAGGTTTGGCTTGAAATTGATGCAATCAGGCATGCATGCCCGTTTGCGGGCATGCCAAGCCAACATTTTGGCATGCCTCAGGCCATAAATAATTTGTATTTACTTGTTGTAGGCTTCCCTATGGGCTGTATTTAAGCATGTCAGGCCTACCAATGCACTTAGCAATGATGTCTCAAGAGATCTGCTGCGCGCTACATTACTGATGCTGCTTCGACGCTGGCTTTCAGCAAATAGGACCGCGTGGGAGTGTTGTAGCTTGATTCAGACACGAAATTATGCGGGCTTTTCACGTCGTGATTGTTCTACGGGGCTCTGCGGAGACGGGATGGCCCTCCCCGCTGAGCTTTCTTATATGCAGTCGATGATAACTGACTCTCAGGAGAAAGGCAGCGTCTCAAAGTCAAGGAAAGGTCTCAGATTCATGGCTTAGGACTACGCCTTTACCCCTAAACCTCCATTTTTCAATGCATACGGGGCTACATTGTGTACTGGTTAGCCTCGAAGTCCAAATTGATCCCATCCGACAAACGGGCATGCGTCCGCATCTTGATTGCTTAAATTCCGAGCTTATATCTTGCCGCGCCGCCGTGATCTAAGTTTCTAGGACACCTTATCTAGAGATTATGACTGCCTTACTAGCCAACAAGCTCATGAAGTGCGCAGAATCGAGTGCATGCCCGCTCGCTTGATGGCATGCCTGATTGCTTGATGCAATCAACATTTTCTGTCTGCAGTGCGGATATGATCCAGTCGAGATGGGGTGATGTCGATTATGTGCAGGCTGTCCTGTTTGGCATTCGGAAGAGCTGAGCAGATCTCTCGCCTATGGAGCTGAGATAAAAGTGCCCAGGTGGTCGCATTCCCTCTACAGTGCTGGCGTGTTCTATTATTGTACGTCAGGTTCTCCTAAATTGGACGCCGGGTATCCCATCTATATGATGCCTCCAGCTCCGCGCGGCGACGCAATGGACAAGGAGTCAATTGGAGAACAAAAACCGAGGCCAAGACCGAAGCCCATAGCTCGGAATGCAGCAGCATGCGTGCAGGACAACGAGAGCGACTCGGGCACTGGTGCAGAGCAAGCACAGCCAGCAAAAAGGGCGAAGAGAACGCGTGAAGGGAAGGCAGCACAGACAACGGTGGCGCAGAAAAAAGGAAGGCGGGGCATGGTAATAGAAAGAATCAGGTCGTTGTATTATTCAATGACACGTAGAATAGCTCAACTTAGTCTATTGATCTTAAGCTGAGGCCACCCGACGGCGACGACGAAGGTTGATTAAGTAGTGTGGGAAGCCTTGCATCACCACCAGTTCCGATCCGGACTCGACCGATTGCAGAGCGACCAACCCGGCGACAGCGCGATGTCCGCAGCGTCCGTCCGACACCAAACAATGTCCCAAGGTTCAAAAAGTTGGGCACAAGCCATGCCCATGCCCATGCCCGCCATCAAATGCCCGCCAAGCGAAATTCAAACTCCGCTTGGCGGGACATGCCCGTTTGCCATGCCCGTGTAATAAGTCTGGGTTGGACATGCGTCAGCGGGTGCCTCACTCCCAGGATGCAGACTGTACCCATTGATCTTTCCCTTGGACCTCCTCGAGAGCTCCGCCGCGGTCAAAACGTTGGCGGACTTGGACTGAGAGTACGCAATGAACGCCTGGTAAGTCTCCGGGTCGGGCTTCTTGAGCGTCTCAAAGTCAAGACCCTTGCACAGGGTGTGCCCGATGCTCGCCACGAATACGACGCGCGGTGTGAACTTGTCTGTCCAGGTCGCGAGAATCTTCGGCGCGATGAGCGCGGTGAATAGGAACGGGCCCAGGTGGTCCGTGGCCATTTGATTCTCGAGTCCGTCAACGGTCAGTTTGAACGGGCCAATCGGGGCCGCGGCGTTGTTGATCAGGACGTGGATCGGCTCTTTGTAGGAGTTGACCTCAGCTGCAGCGGTGCGCACGGCGGCGAAGGAGGAGAGATCGAGGATGAGGGTGCGAGTATTGGCGTGCGGGACCTCCTTCTTGATTGCAGCCTCCGCGAGCTTCAATCTGCGACGTGGATTGAATCAAGTCTGCCTCAAAAACTTCGGTGGATCGCACCGCTCATCACTGTACCCAGTGATCACGACCAGGTTCGCATATTTCGCGATCACTCGCGCAGTCTCAAATCCGATCCCGTTGATGGAGGTTCCAGTAACAATAACTGCGTCAGCATCAGTGCTGAGCCAATTCATCCAAAGTACGCCTCTACCAACCATTCTTGCCTTTGATCTCATCTGCGAAAGCCGTCGCAACGTCTTCCGCGGTGGTGTTAAAGTTGAAAGTAGGGTAGGACATTTCTGCGGGTGTCTTTGGGGCGGTCGTGTTGTGCCTAGGCGGGTCGCTCCCTTTCTATTTCAAACTTCGCTTGTGCTTCTGTTGCACTTGGTTCTGTGCTCGCGCTTCCGGACTGAGTAACGGCCTCGGCCGACGGCGGCTCATGATGCAACGCGTGCTTAGCAATCCCGCCCGAGAAGTTCTCTCATTAATAAGTCCGGTATCCAAAGTCGTCCATCTACCTCTGGTCCGGAACAAAGGCTTGCCAGTTCATAAGCGAGCGGAGTCATTGAGTATATATGGCTGTGGTAGGAATGCGGGCGTCATGTGTGCATTATGACGGGGGAGCTTGGCGGCCGATTTTGCCCGGTTTGTTGTGTGCAGAATCGGCAATGAAGCTTTAGAGAAGATTAGGTTATTCAATTCTGATTTGTATCGGCATGGAGCGTACCGGAAGAGACCCGAAACTCCTCATCAGGCTCTTGATCATATGCCAGGTCATCGCACCGGGTTCATCTATGATTAATCAGTAGTCGCCGAAGCCGGAAGTGACACAAAATTCACAAACAGAACATTAAGATCCCAAACTGATCTCGTGCCCCTGCATAACGTTCACAGCAAGTATCGGGTTTGGGTTCAATTGATTATCAGTAAGCGAGCCTTGACCAAGCTGTATATTCGAGTGGCACTGGGAGGCCGTTAAGAGGACATTCAAAGATTATCTCGTGGTTTCGGTTCGCGACTATCTCAAGAATGAGCATGGCAAGAAAAAGATGTCATCAGGAGATACAAGATGATCATACTTCAAGCAATGCGAGCATCCATTCGGCTTGGGCAAGCTTTTCTTTTTCATTGTCCCATAAATCACCCAGATGATCTTTGGGATGAGACAGACTTTGGCTACCAGGGCATTCAAAAATTGTGCCAGATTTATCTGAACAGGATAAAATCGTAGGAGATGCTTCCGGTGAGTCCATAGCAAGATACAAGTATAGAAGAGGAATTCCTCCTGGTACTATGGAATGCTTATCAAAAGTGGTGTAGCCCCTCATCGTCACTCATAGCAGCTCTATTAACATGTACACACAGCCTCTGTGGAATCAGCAGTATGCATATCTTCCCATTCATTCAAAGCACGCGACATCGGATGAGTAAACCAGATCTGAACTTCCAATATGGCTGTCTCTATGGTGGGCACACGCAAGATGCACATTGAGTCATGATGCAGGAAACATGAGGTGAATTTGGAACAAGCGATCCGGAGAAGTGATTCAGACTCGACACCTCAGTTACCACCGCCATCACGCGGTTCTCCCCCCGCGGGGTACCTACTGGGTACCCTCAGACGTCTTGCTGAGGGTACCCAGTAGGTACCCCCTGGCGGGGGGTGGGGGGCCATTTAGTCGATTTAGTAGCGGGGGCATATGCGGGGGTCAGGAGGAGGGGGGGTGTATGTAGCATGTGACTTGTCCATAAGAGCGGGTAGCTGGGCGGGAAAAAAAAATCCAATCACATGACGCGCTGCATGGGCGGGATGGCGGGATAAAAAAATCACGTGATGCGCTGCACAAAATATTACCAAAATGCTGGCAGGGGTTGGCGGCGTCATTGGCGGGGTCACTACCACCCCCCCGCACACCATGGCGGGCAGTGGGCGCATTATCACGTGACTTTTTGGGCGCCTTTTTTGCAGCATTTGGCATGATTTGGGAGATGCTGCTTGATACATTGCATGCTGTGGCAGACAATGGGCGCAAAATCACGTGATTTTCCGCCAAAAAAATGGAAGACTCCCCAAATCATCCCAGTATAATTTCCATAGGTAAATAGGCTAGTTAAACATGAACTTGAGCTTAGAAAAACCAAAATGCACCCTGCACAATGGGATTGGTGACACACTTGATCCCATCATTTGGCAGGGCCTGCCGCAGGGGCTGCCGCGGGGGGTGCCGCGGGGGGTGCCGCGGGGGGTGCCGCAGGGGGTGCCGCGGGGGTGATGCGGGGGCTGCCCCAGGGGGTGCTGCGGGGGGGTGCTGCAGGGGCTGCCCCAGGGTTGGTCTGTTATGATCCATTTTTGTTCATTGAAGATCTTGTAGAGGTGAGCAGGGCAACAGGCCAACTGGGAATTTATAGGAAGACATTGAAATTGATGCAGGGGTCAGATGCGGGGCCCACTGCAAGGTCTACTGCAGGGGCAGGGGTGCATTATATCAAATTTTGATGTATCTATTCTGGCCATGGCCATAGAATGTCACATAATTATCCTTCAATTTGGCAGGGGTTTCTTGGTATGGTCTGCGGCTAAAGGCATTCGATTCGCTTGTGCTTTAGCAGAGGCTGGGATATTGAAAACATGCAATAGCACCTGTATAATCTGTCTATATAGGGTCAAATACAAGTTATGACTTGGTACATGTGTTGACCGGCAGGGTAGGTTGGCTGCACTGGGTCCACTGTCATCTCATTGATTTTTTGGTGCGCTCATTCTACATACATGGCTATTAGTAAATTGTTCACACTGTTAGCACAGTGTAATCTTACCCTGTGGCACATTGTACCACATGTCAAATACACATTGAATGTCTCACTTCCTGACTGGGACTCATTGAAAATCAGAAGTTCTGTGATGCTTTGCAAATGATTTTCTCAAGCTGCAACATGAACAGATGGAACATAGCGGATTTGACATGCCCTCAATTCATTCCTGGGTTGTATATAAGAGGATGAACTAACTCACTAATAAGTTGTCTCACAATAGCCAGAGATTGAGCATGAATTCAGATTTCATATACAAAATTCTTTCCACTTAGAGCTTGGACACTTGCAAGACAAACTGCAGAAACATACATGATTGCTTTTGCTACTGGGACTGCATATATTCTTGCCATAACTCACTGCCTGCAACTCTACCTGCACCCCCACTGGCACCCCTGCAGGCACCCCCCGCCAAACTGGCACCCCCCACTGCACCCCCGCATGCACCCCCGCCAGGCTGACACCCCCCGCCACACCCCCCGCTGCACTGGTGCCTTGCCCCTGCCATCTTCTCATATGTAAGATTACATAATCTGACAGCTCGGAACACGTCAAGTCACCAGCCAATCAGAACCTGTATAAACGTCGTACCTAAGTGTTTCCTGCTCTTCTGACACTGTTTCTACTGTTATGCAGCTGAAAACCATCGGAATAAGGTCTCCCTATGCTGTTCTTGTTGAATATGTAGGTATTTCATATCGTTTGTCCATCCAAAATTCGAAACATGAAAACAGTTCACAGTTGCTCAAGGTTCCTACATAGATAATGGTTCAACATAGTCCACTTTGGGTATTGCAAAAAATATATTTTCTACAGATGAACAACTCAATACAGCTGAATGATATACCCCTTGGCAGTGTCTGAAACAAATTCTGAGAGCCCTGGACCCTGGAACCATTCAAAAACTTGAAATGGGTCCGAAAAATAGGGTCTTGATAAACATGAGATAGGGGCCAGTTTGAAGAGATGTGAGCCACTGGTCATGTTCAATATGGTATTTGACAATGTTTCGGTGCCCTACCCCTCACCAAATGGCTCTTTCCCACCAAAAAGTGCACATACACACTCAAGCTTATAAAATCAATTGTCGGCCAGAAACAAGAGCAGGCAAGTTGTGTCACTGGAATTGGGCAAAGGTAACCTGGGAGTCACTTGGGTTGCAGTACAGAAGCTTTGGAAAGTGATCCTGTAGTTGATCCACATTGGGTAGGCTGGCAGAGGCTTGGGCACCCCCCGCGGCACCCCCCGCGGCAGCCCCCACCATCAACCCTGCCCCAGCCCCTGCAAGAATTGGATGGACAAAAGTGCTGCTTAATCCATTGTTAGTGTTCACAGTATTATCACATCCATTAAAGTGTCTAAATGGTGTGTAGACAAGGAATATGAAATCCATCAATCAACAATCCTAACACCTGTTTCAGATATCCTGAAAATGGAGAGGAAGATTTGGGAGCAGACAGACTATCTGAAGCAAACAGACAGGGACAAGGAGCAGTAGCTATTCCTGGTAATCAATTTGGCGGCACATGGAAAACTCCCTTGGGGGATTTGCCAAACAAATCAAGTTGCGCATTTTTCAAACGTTAAATTCAACCTAATAGCTTTAGCAGACCATGCCCAAATGTACCAAGTCATAACTTGTATTTGACCCTATATAGACAGATTATACAGGTGCTATTGCATGTTTTCAATATCCCAGCCTCTGCTAAAGCACAAGCGAATCGAATGCCTTTAGCCGCAGACCATACCAAGAAACCCCTGCCAAATTGAAGGATAATTATGTGACATTCTATGGCCATGGCCAGAATAGATACATCAAAATTTGATATAATGCACCCCTGCCCCTGCAGTAGACCTTGCAGTGGGCCCCGCATCTGACCCCTGCATCAATTTCAATGTCTTCCTATAAATTCCCAGTTGGCCTGTTGCCCTACTCACCTCTACAAGATCTTCAATGAACAAAAATGGATCATAACAGACCAACCCTGGGGCAGCCCCTGCAGCACCCCCCGTGGCACCCCCTGCGGCACCCCCCGCGGCAGCCCCTGCAGCAGGCCCTGCCAAATGATGGGATCAAGTGTGTCACCAATCCCATTGTGCAGGGTGCATTTCGGTTTTTCTAAGCCCAAGTTCATGTTTAACTAGCCTATTTACCTATGGAAATTATACTGGGATGATTTGGGGAGTCTTCCATTTTTTTGGCGGAAAATCACGTGATTTTGCGCCCATTGTCTGCCACAGCATGCAATGTATCAAGCAGCATCTCCCAAATCATGCCAAATGCTGCAAAAAAGGCGCCCAAAAAGTCACGTGATAATGCGCCCACTGCCCGCCATGGTGTGCGGGGGGGTGGTAGTGACCCCGCCAATGACGCCGCCAACCCCTGCCAGCATTTTGGTAATATTTTGTGCAGCGCATCACGTGATTTTTTTATCCCGCCATCCCGCCCATGCAGCGCGTCATGTGATTGGATTTTTTTTTCCCGCCCAGCTACCCGCTCTTATGGACAAGTCACATGCTACATACACCCCCCCTCCTCCCAACCCCCGCATATGCCCCCGCTACTAAATCGACTAAATGGCCCCCCCACCCCCCGCCAGGGGGTACCTACTGGGTACCCTCAGCAAGACGTCTGAGGGTACCCAGTAGGTACCCCGCGGGGGGAGAACCGCGTGATGGCGGTGGTAACTGAGGTGAGACTCGAAGCGCTCCGGCTATGCATCCCCGCAAAGCAATCCACATTGCTCCGCGCAAACTCTTTAAACTATTCATCCATCGATCCGGCCCGTTGACCGTGGCTCTATGACAAACGATTAGGACCGGTTTCTCAGTCCGAAAGCCTATATAACCCGCACAGAACACTGTCGGATGTCACTCACTCACTCCACTTCTTTTCACTACATACCGGAGAGCAAGTATACCAATGGATTCATCCCCAGCAGAGCTGCAAATCGATATCGTGATCACATCCTCAGTGCGTAGCGTCTCTCAAGCGTATCTAATCGATTCCGCTCTGTGTAAGTGTTTAACGACCATCTAACTTTTGTTCTTTTGACCAGTTTTCCACCAAGCCAGGAATGGGCGACAGAATGGAGGCGCTGCTCGGGAAAATTCTAGCACACGTGAAGCAGAACGAGCCAGGGACGCTCGAGTGTTCGATTGCGCGTAACGGGAGCACGGAGAGCTTCGTCACGTGGGAACGGTACGGCCATTTTTTCTTGGTTTCCCGCCTCCGTGCTGCTGATGTATCCCTTTTCACGTGTCTAGATTCAAGGACGCCGATGCGTTGAAAGTTCATTCGCAAAGCCCGTTCTTGGCTGAGCTCATGAATAGCGGGTTGCTGGAGAAGGTAAGCAAGCCCGCGTGGTCGCGGGATCGTTGCGGGGCTGATCTTCTTCGCAGCCGCCCGCGGTGTTGTTCTATAAATACATTCGGCCGACGTTGTAATTCCAGTTCCATTGCAATGTAATGATTTTGTTTCACACTGCACCGTGTTTGTAATCAGTAGTAGTCGTGTCGCTAAATCCTCGTGTGTAAATCGGCTGAAGAGCTACATAGGAAACCCTCCGCTTATTGAGTCAGTCCGGAATAGTGGGAACCCCACTTAAATCGCGTCTTACAGATTGAGCCTCAGGCAGGCATCCAGATCTCGCCGTCCAAAGGACTCCCGCAGATCTGGTCCAGCGGGACTTCAGAAGTTGCGGGGCCCAGCGCTGCAGGAAGAGTGTCTTTACTCGAAGGTAGATCTGAGGATGAGAGGATGCGCGCAATAGAAGAGGAACAATGCCAAGCTGCGAACAAAGCAAATTTAGCATTCCTCATCCAGTACGTTGGAGTACATTATTATGGCAGTCATACTTATGATACAATCAGAACCCAGAACCTGCAAGGCGCTTAAACGCTCGCTTCATGCACTTCCAGACGGCGTTGCTCAGGAATCCAGCATACGCTTCCGCTCGGCCAGCAACGCATCCCAATCTTCGAGTCCACAATTGGCGGGTAATTGATCCCACAGCTGGTCCAGGAACGCTGCATGCCTGTGGCGCATCTCGTCAACACACACGTCACAGACTTCATTTCTAAACGCAGCCCAGTCGTGGGCGCGCCACACAAAGAACGGATGGCAATCCCACAGGGAGTCCCGTTGGGTGGGATCCGCAGCGGGCAGCAGCTCCTTGTGCATCCGCGCCAGCCGAGCGCCCGAGCACGAGCGTTTCGTCGGGCATTCGTCGACGGGCACAGCGATGATCGACAGGATGGCAATGGTCGCCCGAGAGTGGATGTGCGCGAGCGAGAGAAGCGTGTGCTGAACGTCCTGCGAGAGCTCATGCCAGTCCGCGCAGCTCTTTATCCGCGCGTGCGAGTACGTGCCCGCGCTGTAGTACGCCCACGGGAGGAGCCATTTGACACCAGTGCACTCGAATACAGCAATCGCGCGCAGATCCATCTCGAGGACACCATCGATGTACCCGATGCTGTTGACCAGCGGTGTATCGGGGTCATACTGACCCCGCCTCGTGCAGAAGGCTGTCTCGAGATGCAGCACAGCCCGCCGGAGCAGGTAGCCCACATCGTACTTGTGCGCAAGCCGTAGAATGCCGAGGACAGCATCATAGCCGACTGGCGCGGGCGGCGGCATGAAGAAGCTATGAGAGTCGACTACAGAGCGTGGGATGCTTCGTGCTGCGCCACGCACCTCGAGTCGAAGATCGCCCGCAGAAACACCTCGACCTCATCCTTGCGATCATGCAGCACGACGACCTGCGTACCCTCCAACGTTTCCGTCTCATCGACCGGCGGCTGCGGGATGCCAAACATCGACTCGAAGACCGTCGATCGGGCAGCGAGGATCGCGCGACTGACGCGGAAGACGGTGTCCTCCGCTTGCAGAACGACCATGCCTTGCGAGAACCAAAGATCGGATACCCTGTTCACCGGGGCGCGTTCTTGGTGGTCGGGGACCATGGTCGGAAGCGAGGATTGCATGCCTGTGGCGATGTCGCCATCACCTCGCGTGGATCAGACCGTCCCCTGCATGCGAGAATTAATTATGTAAGGAATGATCGGCGTGCGTGCTGTTACTGTGACGGCGCGACTCTCCTCTTTGCAAGCGACGCTTCTTTCATTGAGAACCGCTAAGCACGCGCAACGCAATTCGTCCATGCAAATCGGCGCGTACTCAGCATCCATCCATGTTGATGGAGAGCCGCTCCCGGAGTACGGACTGGAGACTTCAGCGGATGGAAAGGAGGTCTCATGCTGGATCCCTTCAGAAGCAGGCAAGGTGGGTCGATCCTCCCGCGTACTGACCACTGGACCTGATGGTTCTGCCAGGCGTTCACTCCCAACTTCAGGGACTCGGCTCCGTCCCTCAAATACACCACTCTGGCGAAGCTAAACGTCGACGACGTCCGTTGCCCTGGCACCTACCTTGGGAACTTGAGACCTGGCCACAGCGGCCGGTTAAGTCACCAGCCAGGTCACGTTCTCTCCGAGAGCAAAATCGAAACAATCGCAACTGGTCCCTACAGCCGGCGTCAGATTGTTTTTGGAAGCCGCGTTCTGACCGGTGCGTCTCGCACGCAGTTACTTCGTCCGCCAGACTAACACTCACTGCAGATGACGATGCATACCTCGACCAATCCATTTCACCTCACGCTGGAACCATTCAAATTGCCTTCTCCCACTGCGTAAAACACGCAAACACAGACATTGCGAGTGCCTTCCATGTACCAAAGGCTAACGCCATCCACGAGCGTTCCAAGAAAGCGGCAGCGCATGTCGTCGAGTGCGTCCGACGAGTGCATTACTCCTTAACCTCCCTCAACCGCTGTCAGATTTGGTCCTGAGATCGGCAACGATGGCCACACATTGAACAGGACTAGCTCTTGCGATCATGTCCGCACCCTAGCCAGAATGGTCTTCAAATACCGGCCAATAGGTGAGATCTTGCGTCACATCAATCCCAATTTCTCTTTAATCTTTCGCGAGAACTGTTGAGGGCGCAAGGCATCGCACCGCAGCTCAAACCCAGGACCGCCCCCGTCCACAATCCGACCGTTCTCGATCTGACCATGGACGAGGATGCGGATGACGGAGAGGAGATCCAGAGACTCGAGGTATGCTTGCCTCTAGGGTTTGACCATAGATCCCGATTTCGTGCATTTCAGGCACGACTTCGCTCGTTGAGAGAGAAGAATCCGAACAAACGTAAAATCAAGGACGAACCCGATGTCGGTGGCTCGGTCAAGCGCAAGAAAATCAAAAACGAAAGTTCCTCTTTCAGGCTGGGAGAAGTCATTGATTTGACATGATAACGATTGGTCTCAAACACCATCTAAGATACTTGTTATGCTACTCACAGGGGTAAAATACTATCACATAATTCATTGAATCAAACGTGGGTTCAACGCGTCCGTCGAGAGCAGTCACAGCTCGAGCGCACAGAAACACCAGTTGATTATGCCAGCAAGTTTGTGTCCCCGGAAGGATTGCTGGAACTCTTAGTGCAAGCCGCCAAAGGTGGCCGATCCTTGACAAGATTGAGCAGACGAATTTATGCTCCCTTGAATCTGAGCTAAACTCAAAGCTGCGGAGAGAAATGTCGCTTCCAGTGGATGAAGATATACAATATTGGTGCATTGGATGCTTGTAATCGACGACAGACGAATTATAGAGATACAGTTTAGGAATGCCCGATTTTCAAAGATGATCCCATGAGATTCATTCCCTCCCTCCTGCCGAAGTTGCGGACGACGCGCTTAGTAGTGACCGCCCGAGAGCTGCAGATAGCGTCAGACACGAGCTCAAAGCAGCTGTAGCTGCACGCACCTTGGCCTTGTCGAGGGCGAGGGAGTGGCCCTTGCCAGCAGAAGTGACGTCGAGGCCGGAGAAGTCCCAGGTCCCAGTGCAGGCACCGCAGTCGATGACGAGACCGTACGCGTTCTTGGTGCCGGAGACAGTTGTCGGGGAGCCGGAGAAGCTGACGCCGGAGATGGGTCCACCAGATCCGGGCTTGCCGTTGTTGGCGGGGTAGCTCTGAGTGATCAGGACGCCGTAGGAGGTGATCCCAGAGAGCTTGTTGCTGCCAGTACATTAACACAAGCAGAGGCCGAGTACCTGCAAAACGCACCCGTTGTAGACGACATTAGAGACCTTGGCACCTTTGGCAGAAGCCTGAACCTTGATGCGGATACCATACAAGCTGTTGGTGACAGTGTTGCGGAGCGCCTTGAAGTTGGTCACGCTCTTTCCGGAAGCGATGGAGCCGATGGAGATCCCGTGGCCGCCGGAACAGTTGTTGTCCTGGAAGACGACGTTGTTCCCGGAGTTCAGTGCAAGACAGTCGTCCTGGTTCTTCACCGTGCAGGACGAGATCGTGACGTCGCTCGCGCTCACGTCGAACGCGTCGGTGTTGTGTCCACCCTTGGAGTCACCGAGAGCTAAGCAGCAGATTAATAACATGAACCGGAAAAAAGCAATGGCGCTCACAATTGTCAACGGTGACATGAGAGATGGTCGCAGCACCGCCGGAGGTGCCGACGGAGATCGCCTGAGCCGGCGAGTTGAGGACGGTGAACTGCTGGAAGGTGCCGTAGCCCTTGACCCTAAAGCGCCAGTTGAATATACGCCCCGCTGCAGAAAATCAAGCACATACTTGACGAAGGGGTGGGGCTTGAAGGATCCGCCGTTGGTTCCCTTCCCGTCCCAGTACGAGGCCCCGTTGCCGTTGATCTTGTGGTTTCCTCCGTTGAAGTTGATCGCGGGGGTGTTGAACGTGAAGAGAGGACCCTGAGCTGCCGAACCAGTCAGCACAGTAAAAACCGCGGCATCAGCCAAAGTCACATACTCGAAGTCTTTGCGAACACGACGTCACCAGCCAAGGTAACGGTTGCACCCTTTGCGGCCTGGAATCACGCGTCAGTTGAAGATGAGCTGGGAGAAAGAATAAATTGATGCGTACAGCGATGGTGATCGTGTTTCCAGCGGGCACAGTGAAGCCCTGGATAACACCTCAGTTAGCACCGCCAACCCCCCATATAGACCCCGCGGGGGACCTCCTGGGTACCCTTAGACGTAGCTCTATGGGTACCCAGGAGGTCCCCCCCCGCGGGGGTACAGGGGGCAGCTGGCCATTTTGGGGCAGGGGGATGGGCGGGGGTCAGGACGGGGGTCAGGACAGGGGTGCCCATACATACCATGTGACTTGTCCATAAGAGCGGGCAGCTGGGCGGGAAAAAAAAATCAATCACATGATGCACCAAATGGGCGGGATGGCGGGAAAATCACGTGATGAGCTGCAGGAAAAATTTCAAAATGGCGGGGGTTGGCAGGGGTGTTGGCGGGGGCGCTACCGCCCCTCCCGCACACTGCAGCGGGCAGTGGGCGCATTATCACGTGACTTTTTGGGGGCCCCTTTTTGCACCATTTGGCATGATTTTGGAGGTGCTGCTTGATAGATTGCATGTTGTGGCAGACAGTGGGCGCAAAATCACGTGATTTTCCGCCAAAAAAAAAAATGGAAGCCTCTCTAAATCATCCCAGTATAATTTCCATAGGTAAATACACTAATTGACCATGCATTTGAGCTTAGAAAACCCCAAATGCACCCTGCACAATAGGATTGTTGATGCGCTTGATCCCATCATCTGGCGGGGTCTGCCGCGGGGTCAGTCTGGCATATTCTATATTTGACCTCCTTTAGCCGTAGCAGTAGTGCTGCTGACCACCAGGGCAAGAATACAAACATTTATGAAATATCTTATCAAGGTAGACAAAGCCAATAGGGAAGGTGAAGATGTGTAACTGGATATTGCAATTGATGCAGGGCCCAGTGCGGGGTCTGGTGCGGGGTCTGGTGCGGGGTCTGATGCGGGGTCTGGTGGGGGAGCAGGGGCAGGGGTGGATTACACAAAATTTTGATGTATCTACTCTGGCTAGGGTTGTAGAATATCACGTAACTTTTCTCTATTTTGGCAGGGAATGGGGGATAAAGATACACAACATTGCCCGCATGTTTTGGCTGGGTCTCCAGGTCAAGTCATGTGATTTACCAATGTTTCGGTGGGGGGTAGGAGATTAATGGATGATGTTACCTATATAATCCATGGCATGTGAAGTCAAGCAGAACATGTGATTTTCTCATTTTTTGGCTGGCAGGATGGGTGGCATAGTAGATTGGCAGACCAGGGTCCACACTCCACTCATTGATTGTTTGCTTTACCCATTTAATATATATGTGTAGCACAGTGGTATCCATTTTTGGAGCTTGTAATAGAACATATTAGGTACACATCTCATCCCCCCCTTCCTGGCTGAATGCACTTGAGGTCTGAAACTTGTGTGTTCCCTTGCAAGCGATCTGCTTGGGTTTCAGCATGAATTCATTAAATAGAGTGGATTTGAGGTGAACTATATTCATTACTCGGTGTGATGTGAGAGGATGTATTTACTGGCAAGTTGTCCCACAATAGTCAGAGCTTGGTTATCAGTGCAAATTTGACATGTAAACTCTTAACAACTTGTGTCTTGGCTTGTATCTTTTGGAAGACCAACTGCAAACACATGGCTGATTGTTTTTACCAATGAGTCTCTACCCACCCCAGCCATGACCACCTGCCTGCACCCCCGCCTTCACCCCCGCCCCCCCGCCAGCACCCCCGCAACTACCCTGCCACTGATTGACCCCCGCCATCACCCCCGCCACACCGGTGCCTCAGCCCCTGCCATCTCCGAATATGTAATATTATGTAAAGTGACAGCCCGGAACACATCAAGTCAGTAGCCAATCAGGACCTGTATAAACGTCGTACCTAACTATGTTTTGCTCTTCTGAGACTGTTTTTACATATATGCTGCTAAAAACCATCGGAATTATGTCTCCTTATGCTGTTCTTGTTGAATATAATGCCACTTCATGTCCTCTGTCAGCCCGAAATTCGAAACATGGAAACAGCTCATAGTGACTCAATGTTCCTATATAGAGAACACTTCAACATGGTTCACTTTGCATATTGCGCAAAATATATTTTCTGCAAGGGCCCAACTTCACACAACCGAAGGATACACCCTTTGGCAATGCCTGAACAAAATCTGGGGAGTGCTGGACCCTGTAACGATTCAAAAATACGAAATAAATCCAAAGTATAGTGTGATTTATATCGTGGGATACAGGCCAGTTTAAAGAGATGTGAGCCTCTGGTCATCTTGAATATTGTTTCTAACAATGTTTCGGTCCCCTACCTCCTTCCAGACAACCTCTGTTCTCACTGGAACGTGCAAAACCCACCCAAGCTTGTAAAATCAATTGTCGCCCAGAAACAAGAGCAGTCGAGTTCCTTTGTTGGAATTGGGTAGAGGTAACCATGAAGTTGCTTGGGCTGCAGTATAAAAGCATGGGAATGTGTTTCTATGTGTGTTCATCTGGTCGCTCCACATTTGATTGGCCAGCAGGGGCTGGCGCACCCCCGCAGTCAACCCCGCCCAATCCCCTGCAAGAATTGTATTCACAAGGTTTCTGCGCAATTCTTTGTCAGGGTTCTGTGTATTAGCACACTCATTACAGTGTCTCAATGTGATGTTCACAGGTTATATTCAATCCAGCAAATGATGCTTGTAACAGCTGTATCAAATATGCTATGAAAGAGAGTGAAACATTGGAGATGCAGTCATCCTTAAAAAGCGGGAGGACCACTTCAGCTGTTCGGAAGGGGAGCAGTAGCCATGACTATTCCTGCTGATCAATGTAGCTGTGACTGGACAACCCCCTTGGGGATTTGCTGAACACATGTAGTTGCGCATTTTTTAATATGTTAGCATCTTTTGAAGCCACAAACTCCACCAAAATGTACTGGCAAAACCATGCTTTAATCTCCTACCCCCCACCGAAACATTGGTAAATCACATGACTTGACCTGGAGACCCAGCCAAAACATGCGGGCAATGTTGTGTATCTTTATCCCCCATTCCCTGCCAAAATAGAGAAAAGTTACGTGATATTCTACAACCCTAGCCAGAGTAGATACATCAAAATTTTGTGTAATCCACCCCTGCCCCTGCTCCCCCACCAGACCCCGCATCAGACCCCGCACCAGACCCCGCACCAGACCCCGCACTGGGCCCTGCATCAATTGCAATATCCAGTTACACATCTTCACCTTCCCTATTGGCTTTGTCTACCTTGATAAGATATTTCATAAATGTTTGTATTCTTGCCCTGGTGGTCAGCAGCACTACTGCTACGGCTAAAGGAGGTCAAATATAGAATATGCCAGACTGACCCCGCGGCAGACCCCGCCAGATGATGGGATCAAGCGCATCAACAATCCTATTGTGCAGGGTGCATTTGGGGTTTTCTAAGCTCAAATGCATGGTCAATTAGTGTATTTACCTATGGAAATTATACTGGGATGATTTAGAGAGGCTTCCATTTTTTTTTTGGCGGAAAATCACGTGATTTTGCGCCCACTGTCTGCCACAACATGCAATCTATCAAGCAGCACCTCCAAAATCATGCCAAATGGTGCAAAAAGGGGCCCCCAAAAAGTCACGTGATAATGCGCCCACTGCCCGCTGCAGTGTGCGGGAGGGGCGGTAGCGCCCCCGCCAACACCCCTGCCAACCCCCGCCATTTTGAAATTTTTCCTGCAGCTCATCACGTGATTTTCCCGCCATCCCGCCCATTTGGTGCATCATGTGATTGATTTTTTTTTCCCGCCCAGCTGCCCGCTCTTATGGACAAGTCACATGGTATGTATGGGCACCCCTGTCCTGACCCCCGTCCTGACCCCCGCCCATCCCCCTGCCCCAAAATGGCCAGCTGCCCCCTGTACCCCCGCGGGGGGGGACCTCCTGGGTACCCATAGAGCTACGTCTAAGGGTACCCAGGAGGTCCCCCGCGGGGTCTATATGGGGGGTTGGCGGTGGTAACTGAGGTGCTGGATAACGACGTTGGAGCACCCGCTCAGATTCTTCGAGCTGGCTACGCTGTTGACCGTGCAGGACGCGCGCTTGTCGTTCTCGATGATGGTCATGTTCCCCGGAAGGGCAAGCGCCGCACCGACGAGGGCAGACAGCTGGAGGAAAGCAACGATGGAAGGCATGTCGAGAAGTAGCGGTGGAAGGACGAGGAGAGGATGGTGTTTTCTGGACGGCTAGATGCTCGTTTTTATATCGAATTGCGTTGTAGCCCCACCTGACAACGATGGACCATTCGTCGACGCGTCAACCCATGAGGGCATTTCTCCTAACGTGACCAAGTCCGAGTCCGAGGCCTTCAGAATAGTCCGTCGCGTATAGTCGATTGAGCAAAAGACCAATTCCTCCACGTGCCAAGCAACCCGGCCGCCTAGACTCGTCCGCATGATCGCGATCCCGCCCGGGGTTGGCAATATTGGCGAGTATTTTGCAGAGCAGTGAAACTTCCCCTCAAGCTCACAAGACTTGCGTCCTCGTCAAAACCGGCGGGGATGTTTTCTCGGGAGATATCGTTCCGCACACTGTCCACCAGCGATCTGCCACTGGCGCCACCGAAGATGACGCGGTTGTCATGCATTTGTCCCGATGCCGAGAAGTTTCCCGGGCGGATAAACCCGGTTGTTGCCCTTACTCCAAAATGGCTTCCTTTCATCCGCGGCAGCTGTGAGTGATCCGACCCATGATGTGTCATATGTGTCATATGTAACAGAAACACAGTGACGAAACGAGGACCTGCAGGTACTAACTCCAAAAATTATCCTGGCCACAGTCTTGTGGATCGACTTAGGAAATTTTACGAACAGTCCCATCTGTGCTCTATATAATGCGAAATTCTGTTGGAGACGTCACAAGGAAATTTTTACTTGCAAGCAACCGGGGAATTACGAAGAGGAAGTTTTCTCATCGAGAATCCGAAAAAGATCCGTCAAGACCCAGGGTCGATTGAGATTGATGGGGGATTCACCGCCAGTCCAGCTCGAGGAATATGGAGGGGGTCTAAGCCCCCGGGCCGTCGGGCCTGGACGTGCTCGGTGATCGGCTGACCGCCAAGCTGCCGAAGCAACCCAGGCGCGGTGTTGCGAATATAAGCAAGGATGTCTGATGACTGCGCCGACCCGGAGCGAGGAAATAGAACTTTGAGCGTCGGCCGACGTATCGCTATCCATGGTTTGATACGAGTGCGACCAATCTGACTGGTAGGTTGACTTGAATTTCTTTTGGAACGCTTTGCGAGTTCGGGTGAACATGGGACGTTTCAATCTCCTCTGTTATTCCCGCGGAAGAAAAATGAAAGTTCATAAAAGTATGTCAATTGGTTCAGAAGCTTATCTTGCAAAAAATATAAGCGAGTAATACATCCCCGGTTTACATCGAATAATCAGATAGTTTATCCTAGAGATTCTATCGTTTTCTCGAGTAGTCCGAAACTCGCTGCGTGACTAGGAACTTCTGCTGAGTCTTGTGAGCTGAAGTAAGAAAAGGAGCGAGTCCTTGACAGAACCATCCGGCTAGCCCACCTGGTCAAGGCACTGGCCCCGTGGGGAAGCTTCTTTATTTCGAAGCCACATTGAAGCGGACCGGCGGGTTTATTCCTCCGTTTTTCGGAGGGAGTTCCGCCTTAGTTTATTAGCATATGGTCGACAGTCGTCCTTATTGTGAAAAGTCATCGTGCGTACTCCGCTCAGTGCCTGTGTATTAGTCGAAGTACACGGACAGGCAGAGAGTAGCATCTCTCAGCCAGTTCAGTCAATATAAGGCTGTAAAGACATGATGATCAAACGGAGTGTATGCGGGGAGACCGAACAAATCTAAGGGCACATCCGACTGAGAGTTTGAAGCGCATCTACCGCCCAGACGCCATAGCAAGGGTAATTCTATCGACAGACGGATTTGACTGAAATGCATCCCAACGGTCGTATAAGATGTGATGCGGACGATAGGGAGGGATGGACCAGGAGCTCCAATTATCCCCGATAAGGCTAAGGCCAAAAACATCAAATCCCCCAAATTTCGACCGGCAGAATCTTGCCCAGATTAGGGTCAGTTTGTCTGGCCAAGTGGCAAGCGCATACCTTTGGGGTCTAAATTAGTCACACTCTGTGACATATGCGCCAGTAGCCGAATTTTCTTTTGTCTCGCAATCGGGGTCAGACACAAGTCAGCAATCGAGTACTTGGTAGCATCCACCACACAGTCACGATGGAATCTCCTTTCGGCTCATACATCGGTACAAACTACGCTCCCAGCGCTGGAGAGCTGCGCCAGATCTTTCACTTCCTCAAGGACCCCCTCGATCGCTTGAGTTCGCTCGACAGGGAGATCGCACACGTAGCCGCCACGCTCAGCCATCTCCAGTCAGAGCGACACGTTCTCCAGCAATTCGTTGACGCGCACCAGGCGCTGACGCATCCCATCCGCCGAATCCCCCTTGAAATCCTGCTTGACATCTTTGCCGCATGCCTACCCACGCACCGAAACCCAGTTATGAGCACCGCCGACGCACCGCTCCTCCTCGGCAGAGTGTGCAGCTCCTGGCGGCAGATCTCTACAACCACACCGACGCTGTGGTCCCGCCTCCATATCGTCGAGCCTGGGTTGCCGTGCCAAAGTCTTGAGGCTGCCTCAGTCGACCACGGCACAGCGAATGATGCAGAGAGCGCTCGCTCTGATTTTGAAGCGCGGATGAGACTCAGGGTGGACGCAGTGAAGCTTTGGCTGCACAGGTCGGGCGAGGCGCCGTTGTCGTTGTCCCTCCTCTGCAACACGGATCTGCGTTCGGATGGGGAAAGCGCGATACTGGAAGTGCTGCTCGCCGTGCGCCATCGGTGGGAACGGATAGAGTTGGCTGGCCACTTGTCGATGCGTCAACTGCAGGAGGACTGGGGCTCTGATGACGTCGGTCAACTACAGAGTCTGCGGCTGATCATCGACAGGGCGCCTGTGTCTAATCGCATTTCTCAGTGGGGAAAGTTGAATCTCCTCCGAGCACCTCAACTCCGAGAGTTGCATATCGTCGGGGACACCGTCTGGCTACTTCCGCTCAGGCTGCCTTTGAAGTGGGATGAGCTCATTGAGCTCAATTTGGAGGTCTCAGTCACCGCAAATATCTCCAGCGCTGTACTGCAGGACATCCTCAAATTATGCCCCAGGCTTAAAACCCTACGTTCTTGGGCATGGGACGGGAAACCACGGCTGGAATCTGGCGGTATCCTCACACACCACGCTCTAGAGACGCTGGATCTCCATTATACCAGAGGTCAAAGGCTTCTAGTCAGTTTGGAACGTCTGTGTGGGCGCACTCGGTTCCCCAATCTGCGCAACTTCAGATTTTCCGGGTACACTGATGAGCAGGTGCACTTTGACTTTGCCCCCTTCATTCTTGCTTGCACACGGCTTGAGTCGGTGCATGTCGGCATCGACTTATTTTCAAAAACGACACTGGAAGAGTTTCTCATCTCCTTGCCTCCCACTTTATGCTCTCTATGCATCACAGAATCAAGGATATACGACCGGAATCTAAACGTCTTCGACAAAGATGCACTCTCTCTTCTAGTTCCTACTCAAACAAGCCCAATTCCCTGTTGTCCCGGTCTCCAGAGTTTCACAGTTGGACCCTGCGTTCGATTCTCGGGTGCATCTCTGCTATCTTTCATTCGCTCTCGGATGACTTCGACCACGAGTGTCCCCCTGAAACATGTCTCAATCGCTTTCCCTGGCGTCATTAAAAAAGATATTCTGCTTGCTTTGCAGAATTTCGTTGCGGCTGGTCTGAATGTGGACATTCAACACAAGGCGGAGCTGTCCGCAGATAATATGTTTACTCCTTGGACCGGAATCACAGTGAAGTAGTCAATCCGCTCTATCTCATCTTGTAATTAGGTAGAATCCAAAGATGGATATTGGCTACGAGCTCAGAAATCAAGTGCTCCATTCCACATCGGACGGACTGCGGCACGCACGTCCTCCTTCCACATAGTTTAGATCCAGAGTCGAGTGATGACATCTGCAGTAAGGCAGTTTACGTATCTTCGATCCCGTGAAAGCGAAATCCAGACAGTACTTGAATCATTGTGGTAGCGTCAGAGTACAACGGTAACAAAGATGTTCCCCGCAACATTAAATAAACTTTGTTCCCGTTCAATGCTTCGATGGTGGCTGTGTGACACGGACGTCAATCATCGACCGCCCACTTTGGCCCATCCCCCCAGCCTTCTTCCCGTTCTTCACCCACGATGCAGTCCATGATCCACTTCCCCCCACCCCACCGTGCGATCGAGAATGCCGAAGACTGGAACGACGGCTGGGAGAAAGTCTTGCGCCTGCCGCAACTCGCGCCAGCCAGAGCCCCGTACTTCGTCTACGGGTCGATGCTGCACAACATCCGGATGGACGCGGAGGACGCGGTGCAGGACATGATGTTCCATCTCGACGAGATGAAGTCGCTGACGCTCTCTGCGCAACGCGTGCTCTCCATCCAAGCCGTACAGCATCTGGCGAACGACGACTTCGAGCGGCGCTGGCTGGAAGCGAGCCCCGCCGAGCGCAGGAAGCACCTCATGTTGGCCTTCGTCAAGTCCTGTGGGAATTCGGATGGACTGAATTCTGCCCGTACATCGTGTGGTGTCGAGCTGCGCCTGACGCGCCTCCGATTGCTTGGGCGCGCCTTCATCGATCTGCTGCAATCGGCGATCATGCTCGATGGGACGATGACCTCCACAGAACCAAAGCGGATCGCGAACCTGGACTGGGATCGATTTGAGGCGAAGCGGAAAGCTGATGCACATGCGACGAATGAGGAGAAGCTCGCACTTGCACAGGTCGTGCTATTGCGTACGAGGCTCATATGTGCGCACCCTCATCGTCAATCTTTGTACGGGCTGGAGCTGATGCTTATCGAAGGTCAAGTGTTGACTTATACCCTCGATTCGTTCCATGGCAACGAGATCAAAGATCTTGTTGTGCTCAAGGACAGTCGTGAGCTGCAGAAGCGTCGGGCGAGCAAGACACCTGAAGAGAAGGAGATTTACAAACGGATGTATGGGCTGAAACTTGCCAACGAGATCATGAGCGAGGAAGACGCTGGTAAAAAGGAACGTCTCAGCCACCGTCAATTGACGTGTTCACGAACCGGCTGTCCGGCGAGGGTCGCAGAGCTTAACACCAAAGGCACCCCCGCCATCAAGTTCTTGCGGTGCAGCCAATGCTGGGTCAAGCTCAAGCGTCAGGTTTCATATTGCTCCCGGTTCGCCGATCTTCTCCGATTTCTGTCACCTTCTTTTTGACAATACGGCAGAGAGTGTCAGAAGGAAGATTGGTCGTTGAGACACAAAGCTATCTGCGGGAAGGCGATGGACTTTGAGATGGCGTCGTCAGCCAGCAGCAGTCTCTCGGCCATACTCAAGTCTTCCAACGTCGCACCGTCCGACATCCTCGCCAATCAGATCGAGCTGTGCACCAGCACACCGTGCGCAGACTATTTCATCCTGTCGCCGGAGAAATTCGATTTCGAAGGGATTTCGTTCGCTCACACTCCGTCCTTCTCCGTCGCATTCCGCAAGTGCAGAGACCACGCATTCGAGACGCGTGACCCGACGTCATTGGCTCGCATGGCGCACTTCTTGTGCTGGAGCTCGCTCGTCCCGGGTTCGGAACGGGTCGGCGTCACACCGAGGGTGATCGTGGTCCAGCTTGCCATGGAGTTTCAAACGTCGCCGGAGGGACTCAATCTGGGCATCCTGGGTATGCAGAAGTTGCAGAAAGCTGATCCGTGGAAGCGGCCGTAAGTCCTCCTCTAATGCGACTTGAGATTGTTTTGACGTGATGTGTAGTCCGCTTTTGCATGGTACGCCACCTGATGATTGGGAAGAGGCTTGTGCTCCCGAGTGGAAGACCGTTGTTATCAATCTTATTGAAAAGTGAGCAATTACTGTTTGTAGAATGGCCAAGTGTATCGATAGTTGTGTTGCCATGAATGTAGCTTTCTTGTAGTTTCTTGATTCCCAGGTTTCATTCGGGAGTCTATCAAGGACTGATGCATATCAGTCTAAGTGATTGAACTGTATGCGCCGGATGCCGGATGAAATTACCTTAGAACTCAAGGCGATCATCCAATAGAGCTGATACGTGCTGCAGGTCCCAGCGGAAAGCAACACACGTTGTTCGTGAGAAGGATCAACATGGCTCCATCTCGTGACATCTGATCGCATCGGGACGGTGGTGCCTCATCGTCAGACTCATCATGTCGCGCTTGCTACGACCTCAGTAGTGAAAGCTACGGCATGCGTAAGATCCCTCATCTTACACAGTCACGATTTGGAGCCTACATCTAAAGCGGGAAGAACCTGACTCACAGCAGATGGCATCGCTGGCAGTCGAGTCACCCGGCACTGGCCGGTCGGAGCCGGTTTCATCTGAGGAGGTATATCATCTTGAGCTAGTATGCGCCTGCTTTCTCGTGCTCTGACGACGAGCCGCAAAGACTATCGACTCCGCCATCGTCCCGCCGTTGATGCAGTTGTGGAGATTAGACTTGGACATTGACTGGATCATCGACCGATTACTTGATGGTACGTTCCTCGCGTATTCATGGATTGCCATCTGAGAGGCGACTGCAGTGCGGGGAAACCGCCCGGGAAAGGCGGTAGCGTTGCAGGAGGTCGAAATCCACCATCTGTGCATCAAGGCACGCGAAATCATGCTCAGTCAGCCGACCCTGCTCGAGCTAGAGGCGCCAATCAAAGTCTGCGGCGACGTCCACGGGCAGTACCACGACTTGCTGCGGATATTCGAGTACGGGGGATACCCGCCCGATGCGAATTACCTGTTCCTGGGCGACTATGTGGACCGCGGTAAACACTCGCTCGAGACGATATGTCTGCTGCTGGCGTACAAGATCAAATATCCCGAAAACTTCTTCCTGCTGAGAGGAAACCACGAAAGCGCCGCAGTGAATCGCATATACGGCTTCTATGATGAATGTGAGTTCACAGCTTCTTGATATCGAAGCCACTGACTCAGCTTGATAGGTAAAAGACGTTACAGTACAAAACTCTGGCAGACATTCGGGGATTGCTTCAATTGTTTTCCGATTGCAGCTGTTATCGGCAACCGGATATTTTCGATGCACGGCGGGTTGAGCCCGCTTCTCAGATCGATGGATCAGATCCGCCGCATTGCGCGGCCAGTCGAAGTCCCGGCCAGCGGTCAGTAGCGTTGACATGATCAGCACAGAATTCGTCTGATGCTGCTTTTCAGGATTGCTCAGTGATCTCTTATGGAGCGACCCAACACACGACCACAGAGGATGGTCGTCCAACGACCGTGGAGCGGGGAAAGCGTTTGGACCCGATGTCGTGACGCGGTTCCTAAAGGAGCACGATTTGGACTTGATCTGCCGCGCTCATCAGGTGCGTCAAGGTTTTCATAAGTTGTGCCCCCCTCAGCCTTCTGCGCAGGTTGTGGAAGACGGATTCGAGTTCTTCGCCAACCGGCGTCTGGTGACCGTCTTCTCGGCTCCAAACTATTGCGGCAAATTCGATAACGCGGGGGCACTGATGTCTGTTGACAAGGACTTGCTCTGCTCGTTTCAGGTCAGTCAAATATTTCTCGCATCGCGGTATCCTCATCCGATTTTGGATAGATCATACAGCCGTTGGAATCTCCGTTTGCCCTTGGCTAAAAGTGAATAGCTGAAAGGCCTCATACCGAAGATGTTCCGCAAGAACATGGATCTATCACGGCCCAAGAGCCGTAATTATTTGATTGAACCCTCGGAGTCATGGTGCAGCTAGTATATCGATCCTGTCACTTCGAGAGTAGCACGACTCGGGTACCCCGGGCCTGTGTGCTGATCCGCTCCACACCGATCAAGCGCCGGCTCTCACGCGTCCCGCCTAGATCTCAAAATTGTAAAACACAACATTGTTTCCCTTCAGAGTTGCAGTTGCAAGAAAGGCCCGTGTTTCCTTTCCAAACGAGGTTCTTTTATCTTCCTTGAGCCGATTGTGCATGGCTTCAGTAGTTCTTTGCCTTCCCTTATCAGGCACCATCGGCCATTGTCACAGCACGTGCGTGTTGGTTGACCCAAAAGCTGTGCTGGCAGCAAAGCGCGACGTCACGATATATATAAGCGCGCGTTTTTCGGGAGCTGATCCGCGTGCGCTCAGTCGTCCCCCTCAACACCCTCTCTTTCAGGTCCGGCCCACTTCCGCTGCGCGGTCTCACGAATTCCGATTACGAACATCATCACCATGCTTTTCACGCTCACACTCTTTCAAGTCTCCCTGCTCGTTTTCCCCGCTGCTGCGCAGCAGATTCAAGATGTGGTGCGTGCCTACTGTATACCGGCGCGTCTGCGCGTCCGCACGCGCATCTGCTCACCTGAAACAGTGGCAAACGACTGCGAACAAAGCCTCCCTCTTTGCCGACGTCTCTCCCCACAAGCCCATCGACTTTGTCAAGCCCGGTCCCGTTGCCCAGGCCGACATCGTCGTCACAGACTCGCAGACGTTCCAGACGATCGAGGGATTCGGTGGATCACTCAGTGCGTGCCTCTACCTGCCTCTTCCCCCCATCGCCGAGATCGCGCACTAGCCGACTCCTCCGCTCTGACCCTGAGCAACCTCAAGTCCAAGAACGCGACAGCCTACTGGGAGATCGTCCACTACATGTTCGACGCGACGGACGGTGCCAACGCGGCCGGGTTCAACTACATCCGCGTACCTATCGGCGCGTCGGACTTCTCTGCCAAAGGTGCGTCGTCGTCATGGCTTTGTGCAATGTACCACGGCATGCGGGACCGAGCGTTCTTCCAGTCTACAGTCTCGATGACCACAAAGGCGACACGACATTTTCGAAGTTCAACATCGACAACGCTCCTTCGCACCTGTTCAGCACGATCCAGGATATCATGACCGTTAACCCCGCTCTGAAGGTGCACGTTGTGCCGTGGAGTCCGGTGAGTGCGAGCTGCTTTTTCCAAATGATCCGGTTTCTGAGAGATGGGTGGATGGTATAGCCGGCCTGGATGAAGAAGGGTGGAAAGATGACGGGGGGCACTATCCAGAGCCAATACATTCGCATCTGTGAGTTACCCGTCGGCTCAAACTTCCCTACATCCTCATGCATGGCAGACCCGACGTATCTGCTCAAAGCGGTTCAAGGCTTCGTGAGCAAGGGTATCAACATCCATGCGATCTCGGTGCAGGTGCGTTGGCTCATCTGTTCTTTGACTACCCACCTGACTGGTCGACAACCCAGAATGAGCCCCAGAACAAGTACGCATATGATTCATGCTCTTCGTTTCTACCCTTTGCTGAGACCCGGTCAGCAACCCGACCTATCCTACGTGTACCATGACACCCGGTATGTCGCTGCGACTCCTCCTGACCGTCTCGTTCACAACTGGTCGTGCAGCAATCGAAGGCCGCATTGGGTCTGCCCTCCGCACTCTCTTGGACCAGAATGGTCTCTCTAGTGTCAAGCTTGTAGGATATGAGGTTTGTTTCTTGTCCTCCCATCTTGCTCGATCTCATGTATGCGTGTCCACAGCACAACTGGAACGATGCCGCTGCCTATCCATCTACTCTGGCGAGTCTCTTTTCTCTTATTGCCTGGGCAGATGCTGATGGAATGTAGATCCATGACGACAATGACTCTTACGACGGTGTTGCTTTTCATTGTTCGTCGCCACTCCTCGTGCCGTCTATTCTTCCGCCTTATCATGCACAGGCTATGCTGGCGACGTCAAGAACCAAGCAGAGTTCCACAAGGCTCACCCGAATAAGGTGCGTTGTGTTTGACTTGATGCTTCGTGTGCCAAGACAACCCATTTAGAACATCTACTTCACGGAATGCACTGGCACTGTCGGCTCGGACTTTGCCGGTGATCTGACGGTGAGTGATTGGGAAATTGTCGCGTGCAGGGTAACTGATGGTTCTGGCAGTGGTATATGCAGAATCTGTGGATCGGCTCCCTCCAGAACAACGCTAGCGTCGGACTGATGTTCAATCTTGCTCTCGATGGGCAAGGGCTCCCCACCCTGCCTGGGACAAACAGCTGTGACGGTGGTTGTCGGGCGATGGTCACTGTCAACAGCGACGGGTCGTTCGAATACAACCAGGATTGTGCGCTATTCACCTGCCGCCTGCTTGTGTTTGATCTGATGTTTTACAGTCTATGCGATGGCCCAGGCCTCTAAAGCCATCGTTCCGAAGGACAACGGGGGGCCGTCCGGCTTCCGGACCGGGGTGTCGGTGCAGGGGAAACATGCCTCGGCACTGACTGTGGGTTCTTACACGACTAAACGCGTCTCGTCTTCGGATTTCAATCGGCACTCGCTTGTCGTTCTAAATGGTGCGTTCGCACCAAATGTTGTGCAACCCATTCTCACTATCTCTCCGTAGCCCACAACTCGCCGTTAGCGTCGACAATCGATTTCCGAGGAAAGCAGGCGACATACACGTTCCCTGCGGGTGTCGTGCGTGCAACATGCTTGACTTTCCCTTGCCAGATGCTGATCGTAACCTAATAGACGACTCTCTGGTGGTTCGCACCGCCGGCTGACGAAACCAGTGGCGGACAGACGAATGCGGTCGCGCGAGGCGTGGCGAGGCACCGCAACTCCTTCCAGGTCAGGCGCCGGCGCCTTTGATTTGAACCTGCAGAGTTGGGTGCGGCGATTCGTTCAGCTGCTATAGATTAGCGTAGTCTTATCTACATTAATGTACACACGACCAATACACACGACCAATGGAAAACATGCAGGCACAGAACAGTGAGCGTCGACCTCCCCGGCGTGGCACAACTGTTGTTGCCTAGACCTTGGAGGCTTTCAAATCGTCTTTTTATGCTTTGGTTCCATGCCCTGCAGTCCCATGAGAAACAAGAAGAATCAGAGACCGTGACATGCATTTGAGACGGTGGGGAATCTGGGGACATCGAATCGCTCCCCATTGAAACTCAGTACGAGACGTGCTCAAACTACCCTTTACGATCACGTGGTAGCTTTGGTGTCAGCGGATACAGCTCAGGTGAAAGGCGTAGTAGAAACCATAAACTTGGGGCGGCTCTCGCACGAGAGAGTAAGGTGCCTACGGTATTGTCTTTGAAAAGGTTGCTTGATGTGAGCAAGCATATAATTTCGTTATAATCAGTGATACAAATTGATTCATGTAACTACGAGCATTAAATAGACAGCCATGCACATGAGTGATTCCAAAGCTCCGGTCACGTCTCTTCCGGCTCACGACTACCGTGGAAAGTCGGGACACGGCCCGACATGCCGAGGGAGACACGAGGGCGAGGGACCCAACTTTCCGGGTCACTCCCACCCTCTACCTCTGTCACGGTCTCGCACCGCAAGAGCGCTTCGACGGCATCCTTGAGCAAGGCATGGCACCCATCGTGATCAGACGCCGGCGAGACCGAGCGCGGGGGAGACAGCGACTCAGGGGTCAGCGGCATGTCCAGGAGCGCGGACAAGGGCGTGGACGATGCCGACGGCGCAAAGGAGCTGGCAGGGTACGAGGCCGGGGATGAGTACGTCATCACAGACGCCGGGAGGACGTGCACCCGGAAGAAGCTTGCGCCATCCCACCGCCAGCCCTCGGTCCACTTCGACGCAGCCCACGCGTAGAGGTCCACCAGATACGTGTTGACACGCTCGACGAGCTCGCGGGTGCGCGCGTACCGGAACAGCTGCACGCCCCACTCGACGCCATCGCCATCTCCGCTGCCCGCCTGGACGAACTCATCCAGCGCCTCCGGGGTCGCGGCGAGCTCCGCCCAGACGAGCGCGTCGGCGAGGTGCAGGTGGCGCCAGACGTGGAAGCTGAGCGCGGGGAGCAGCACGCGGTACATGGCCCACTGCAGCATCTCGATGCGCTGCGCTGCAGGGGGCAGGAACACCATCTGGTGCGCCTCCGCGGCGCGTAGGAGTTTGTACTCGAGCGTGAGGTTCGCGATGCGCTCGCACAGCGATGCGACTGTTTGCATGAGCGACGCGCCGAGACACCGCGCGGTCACGCTGGACGCGGACCCGTCGTCCAGCGGCGCGCCGGCGGGGTCGACGATGCCGTGCGAGACGAGGAATTGGCGCAGGTCCGGGGCGAGGGCGGAGAAGGGGAGCCCGTGGAGCATGTAGAACGGCGCATGGAAGGCCGGGCGGGGGATGCTGAGGGTCTCAGGCTGGGCGATGGCCATGTATTCCGGGTTCGAGGGAATCGGGCTGGTCATTGCTGGGGCGCTCTGGGCGGACGAGTAGTATCGCATGGGTGGTGGTGGGTAGTGGTGGATGGCAAATCTGGAGGTCGGTACATTGTTTTTATATCAGAATCTAACCAGTTTTCGGTGGCAGAGCTTTGACCATGCGAGAGACAATGGGGGAAAGAAGCGTCAAAGCGCACCTCGCAGAACCATAAATGACCTTCCTCTTTGTATTCATGGAAGGACAGCCGAGTGCACCGCAGCCAGAACTCCACCCTTCGTGAGGATTGGATGGTGACGAGACATAGAGAGGGAACGGGAAGATACGAAGAGGAGTCAAGGTGAGGGATCCAGCTACATTTGTCTCAAACAACACGCAGCGGGTCCCGGGAGCGCAATGCTTTGAATTGTGTCACGGCCATGTGATATGTGACTGGTAGCGAAAATCGATTTCAATTTGATCGCGATGGTTGTAGTGTGTGATTCAAAAGGAAGTGGAAGAATCAGACAAGCCTTGCCTCCTTCATTCAAGCTCCTGCTGCCCGAACTTCCGTTTCAGCGGTCGTGCCACCCGCATCTCTTGTGCAACCTCCATCAGAATTTCCCTCGCGACCTGCATCTGCTCGCGCTTTCCCTCACCGACTTCGGTGCTCGAGGGAAGCAGGAACACAGCACTCGTGATGCGGTCGAAGAGTGAGTCAAACTTGGGCAAGTCCATCGTCACCTTCGAACCCTTGGCTGAGAGAACACTCATCGACTGTGCCTCGTCTTCTGCCACCGTTGATGATTGCAAGCAGCGGGGAGATGCGGACCGGATGAAGCTGGGCGGTGTGCAAGCCTTATCCTCCTGTTTCACGCTGGTGCTCTCCACGCTGGTGCTCCTCACGCTGGTGCTGACGACGACAGTTTTGATCATTCGAGCGGGTGAGGGATCCTGCGCTGGACTGGATGTAGGCTGCGTCGAATATACTTTGAATCTTTCCTGTGCTTCCGGTGTGATGGTGAACCAAGTGTGATAGCTGCACTGCATAGGACGCGACGTCAGCGATGCAGCCTCGCGCTGCGATAAGAGTCGCGGAACGCACCGCCTTGCGCCGCCTGTCCACTCTGTTCTGTTCGGCCCGTGTGAGGTAGCGCGCTTCCATACTTCCATGAAGGGTCGAAAAATAAATCCATCTGAATTCAACTATTCGTGAGACGTACGTACGAGCAGCCGAAGGATGCGACGAAGTCGTTGAGGGCAGATTCCTCGGATGCGTTGAGCGATCGCGTCTTGAGCCCGGCCTTCTTCACCGGCCCCTTGGCTGTATTTGCATCCTCCAGCAGCCGAAGGAACGTCTTCTTAGCCTGCGTGGAGTTTTGTCAGGTGCCATTGATTCATCCACTTGGATTCAATCGCATGATCGATTCCTCCGAGTGGTGTGGGTCGAGCTGACCATCCACAACTCACCTTTCTCAATGCTTCACTGTCTACGCTACTGATGCTGTGCTCGGTGGATTCCATTCCCAGCGCTGGTGAGACCAGAGAAGAAAAACGCAACTTTGAACAAACACCGGGAACAGCCGGTTGGTCACGCGCTCGTCATGTGCCCCAAATCAGCTGAATTGGATAGTTCGACATCTATTTCAAGAGTATATCGATCTACAGATACACTCCTTGCAACTTGCACAGAACATCTTGCGCCGCTTCATTCTTCGCGATCTTCTTGTTCGCACCCTCCCCGTGCCCGCTAGCTCTACCCACCTGCACATCGACCAACCAGCCCGGCAAGCCGTTGCGACATATCCCGTATTTGTACTGCCAGTCTCCAAATAGCTGGTGAGCTTGCATAAGCTCGTGCAGTTGCGAGATCTCCGCCCCGGATGGAGATGTTCGGGGTGTCTGCTGTGCGGTCGCCTTCTGCGGTGTTGATGGCCCGGACGAGTGCTCTTCCCGCAGTTTCTGGTACGCGGAAAGACAATACGGCTGAAGCAATGTCTCGAACCAGTTCTTGACGGACGAGAACCCGTCTTCGTGAAAAAGGGCGCCGATGTAAGCCTGCAACGATCAGCTGCGTTGGATTGGGAACCCAGCACACTATCTCACCCGCAAGACATCGCTGCTTCTTTCCGAAGAGATACCAAAGATTTCGCATTCGATGGCACTGCAAAACTGGATGAGATCTATGTAACAGGGACGCGAAACAACTTACATCTCGCTCAATGACGCGTCGTTTACAATCTGTTCAGCAATGGCCTGAATACAAAGATGATCAGACACTGGCAGCGAGCCCTTTGATGCAAACTTACCTTGGCAGGCTTTCCCATGAGTCTCGGAAAGTTCTGCGTGACCAGCGAAATGGCTATCAACTCTAGTGCTGACGCGCCCAGACCGATCAAACTGAGAAACAGAGCTCTGAATCGGAGCACAAATGGAAGGCAAGTCACCCACGTTTCATGAGGCAGCGCGAACTTGCCCTCAAAACTGCCCATTTCAATCGTGTCTAGCTCATCAAAGACCTGCAGGCGAAGCTGGGGATCGACGATTTCAGGAAGACGAGAGTTGGAGCGCTTCTGCTCGACTCTAATGTCGCATCAGCTCGGGTCGGCGTAGAAAGCATTCCCTCACGTAGACCCTGGTTCATCGGTGAAGACGTCCGCGCCATTCGCAATGAGCGAGGCACCGTCTTGCGCAATTATCCATCATAACGCCCGGAGACAGATCTAAAAAAGCCACCCACCAAGATAGATCTCGGCGACGTATTTCGCACGGATGCGGTCGAAAAGCTCGCGATCCGTTGGAAACTCTTGGTCCTACAGCGAATCAGTCGTCCTGTCTCGGGATCGAAGGGAAGACTCAACGCCCTCCAACACCGAGATCCACTGCGTGTCATGGGTAACCGCGACATCCACATCCGGGTTCTAGTATGGATGAAACTTAACCAGGCCGAAACTCTCAAAGTGGACACGCACACTTTCTAGGATGCAGGCATTGATCATATCCGACGGATGATACGGCTGCCGGGAGTGATCAGCCAAAGTCTCGTCTAACGAGCAACCAATCCTAAATCACCTTGTCATCGTCCCGCATTCGACCGGATCCACCCCCAAAAAGGCCGCGAAGCGATGCCGGATCCGTCAGTCTGCGAACGAGACCCGGGCCGCGCGGGCCCCCCATCGCATCGATATCCGTCTTCTTCAGATTCAGCATCGACACCGCCCTGCCCGTCTTGCGGCCCAGCACACCCGACCGCACCGCGACCTTGAACCCGCGGATGAAGACGGTCTGGTTGTCGCGCCAGGTCTCCTCGCCGGCCCGGCGGGCGCTGGGCCCCGAGTTCGCGAAGGAGCTGATGGTCTCCCACCCCCAGCTGTACGCGCCGCCGACAGTCCCGACCTGGGCCGCGGTGCAGCGCAGCGAGAGGCCCGTCACGCGGTGCTGGTTGTCGAGCGCCGCGACGCTCCAGGACGTGCACTTGTCGAACCCGGTCACGAGGTACAGGTCGTCCTCGTCGATATCGCGCTCGAGCGTCTCCGACGCGAAGGTGTACCAGCTCCGGGCATGTTTGATCGCGTACTTGCGGAAGCGCTTGAGCGGCAGCGCGTCGGTGCGCGACGCGCCGTCGGGGAGGACCAGGAGGCCGATCTGGCGCGACGTGTTGGAGAGCTCGATGTCGATCGACGCGCCGGCGCAGGGAGGCACGAATCTGCCCTCGCGCAAAGGGCCAGCGTCAGCATTGGCCGCTGAATGGGCAGAAGACGCACATGTTCCCGTCAACGCCAGCCTGGAAGTCAACCCTCCGCTTCTTGATCGCAGCGCTGCAGATATCTGACCCGGGCTTAACCCATTCGTCCCGCCGCGCGAGCTCCGCGGGTTCGTTCAGCGCCAGCCGCTCGAAGCCCGCGGGGACGCCCATGACGTTGAGCGCGTCGTCCGCCTCGCGGCACACGTTGAATAGAACGCTGACAGATCCATCGAACGCGATATGGCACACGTCCCCGACCTGCGTGCCATGCATGCGGTACTCGGCGGGCGACGACTCGAACGGCTGCGGGAGGAAGATCGGGATTCCGTTGCCCTTGGAGAGCAGCTGGCGGCTGTAGATGCGACTGTCGGACATGGTGCGCAGTCGAGGTGCAATGCTGCTAGGTGACCGAGTCCCCTCGTGCGCTCCACTCTAAATACGGAGCGGCGACCTCAGCAATGAGACACGTAAATGCACACGCACATCGCTGTGGCCTGCGAAGTCGTGGGACACCCGCCCGCCTCGATCAAGAAGGCAAGCCTCGCCGCTCGTTTTAAACAGTGCCCGTCCAATCGGGGCCACCTCGTTGTAATAGACTTTAGCTGAAAGTGGCGATAGGCCCTGATCGATTTCATAAGGCCACAGTATCTCTGCCATGAATAGATGAAGTTGGCTGTGAAGATGGCAGTAGAAATCGGACTGTTGCTTCTCGACAAACCTCGAGAAAGATGGTACGTCATTTTGTGGCTGTACATCATCCGGAAGCGGTCCGTATGCAAATCTCCCGGCCGATTGGACTCGTAACCAGAATTGTGATCTCAAAATGAAAGTTGTAATCTCTGGCCCAATACGATTAGAAGACCTGTCTTTACACACCTGCTGTTATGGATTCGCAGGAGCAGCTGAAGCCTGATTTCCTCCCACCTGGGCTCGTGGCGCGCCTCGGTGCAACGGAGATCAACGATTCTCTATTCCCGCGTCCGAGCCAGCCACCTTCCTTGGTGTCATGCACATCCTCGTGGTCGTCAGGCAAGACAAAGTCTTATGAGAGTGCCAGCCGGATGGTCAGCGTGCCCCAGATATTCCGGATTACAGTTGCGGAGAGGAGCAGTGGCCGCGGGAGATCGGTTTGAAGTCATGCCGGGAGATTCTCACGGTGCGATGAGCCAGTTCGGAAGCAAACAAGCGATAAGGAAGGTATATCAATGCTGTCTCGGTGAGACACAGGCAGGCTCTGTAATTATCGCGGCAGAAATGGTGTCCCCAACTGCCCTCGATGGCTGCTTTATTGCGGCCGCAAGCAGCCCTGAACCCATGAATGGAAGGGAAATCCAGAACTCATCATTCATGTTTAGCATGGGCCAGTTTCTGGGAGCTGCGCAGCGCATATTTTCCACGCTCGGGCATTCACCGGTTGATTGACCATGAAAGAATACAAGACCCCGACGTAACCAAGAACAAACTACATGAATATCTAAACGGAATGCAGGGGCTGCTTCGCGATGACCTGCTTGAAGAGCTCGAGCGACGCGGCGGGCTGGAACGCAGCCTGTAACAAAGACGTCAGTTCAAGCGGAGAGACTGGACCACAAGAGGGATGTCACTCACGACTTCGTGTCCAGCACCATATACCCGACTGCAGCACATCAGCATTACCCCTGTGGGTACACAGACCACAAAACACGCACGCAAAGGAAAAGTTGTCGACGTTTTTGATGGCAGCGATGGGGGTGCCGTTCAGGGTCATGTTCGTGAACGTCTGCGCGGCGAACTTGGCCTTGCCGTACCAGTTCATCGCGAGGACCGCATCGTGGTTGCCGACCCAGTTGCAGCTGAGCCGCAGTCAGCGCCCCAAGTCACAACATGGATACACACACAGGCACGCACATGATATCAGCATCGCCGGCCCAGATCAAGATCTTCATCGTCGAGTTGGCCAGCTGGCCGAGCTGCGGCAGCCAGGTCCGTGCGTCCTGTCAAAAGCCTGAGTAAACAGCCCTCTGCATCACTGGTCAAGCGACCGCACATCTCCGGTGGTCGCAAACTTCTGGTACGGTGCATTCGGGCACTCCTGGTAAGTCACTTCAGCCCCGATAGCGGTCTGGACACTGCGCTGCTGGAGATAGTTGACGTAGTACTCGGGCGGGAAAGCCTCGCTCGAGTCCTGGCGGAGGTCGTACGGGTCCCGGTTCCCGACCGCGTCAGAGAACATCGAGCCCTGAGAAGGTGAGGCCAAGGTACTGAGCTTCTCGATCTTCACTCACGCAGAAGTTGTCGGCATTGATGCAGATCCGGTTCGACGAGGTGCCGGTGCCGGCGTTGTAGCAGTTGGTCTGCTGCGCAAGACATCCTCCACTCTGGTAGTAGGTGTTGTTCATCTGCGTGATCGTGGAGCGCGAGGCCAGTGCTCCGTAGCCAGGTGCATTGGCAGCGAAGGACACATATGCGAGGTTCTGGATGAGCGGGTCGATCCATCCGCTGTCCGAGCGGATAAGTCATCGCAAACACATGCAGGAAGAACGCACTTGTTGATCATGAGCGCGCTGACGACGATGGGAATGCCAGTGACGGTGCCAGCGGAGATTGCTGCGTTCTGCGAGTTGAAGTACGAGACGAACGCGGGGCCGTAGTGTCCGCCATAGGACTCAGTTGCGAAGATGAACCTGGGGAAGTCAGCAGATACCCTCCGCTATACGCAAGAACAACGCACTCCCGACTCGCGTACTTCGAGAACTGTCCGCTCTCGAAGAGGATCTGGAAAGTTTGCCAGAACTGTTCTGCTGCAGTCTTGCGGTGCGTGAGAGGGGACAGAGAGCAGCATGAGGTCAGGACACACCTGGGTCGAAACCACCGTGTCCGTGCCGTGCGAAAAGCCAGTGCCGATCGGCTGGTCAATGTAGATCACTGCGTGGCGTGTGAGCATCCCTCTCTCGATGTACATGCTGCGACGACGGGACTGACTGTTGCTGACGGTGTTCCAGCTGTACGGGTTCACTGTCGTGCTGCGTCCGTTCGAGTTGGCCGTGCACGGGCCGTTCTCTTGGAACAAGCCCTTGGTACATGTCAGCATCTACCCGGCAAAATAGGACAGAGCGCACGCACGATCTCAGACGCACATCCAGGACCGCCGTTGATCCTGCACCCTACAAGTCAGCGTTCTATCTCAAGCCCTGCCATCAATGACCACGCACCACAGCGTGAAAGGCGCCGTCGCGGGTGCGGTACGCGCCTCAAAGAACCAGAACCACTATCAAGAAGCATCACCATCAGCCCCAGCCCCATCCCTCCGCGCGAAAGCAACAGATACGCACCACCGACATGCCCGTCCCAATATCGACATACCCCGAAATCTGGTTCACGCCGGGCGTCGTCTCGCAGATGCCCGAGTTGTTCACCACGCGCAGCGTCACCTCGGGGTTGATCTTCGACACGAACTTGTGCTTCAGCGGGGCGGCGGGGTTCGCCGTCGCGACGACCGACGTGGCGAGGGCCAGCAGCAGCGGGGGGAGCAGGGCGATCATCTTCATCTTGCAGACGGCGACGAGTCGACGCGCCGCGCTTTTCTAACAGGTGGGGCAGGGGGGCACCGCGTGGGTCACGGAGATTCGCACGGCGGAACATGGTCGATTGAGGAAGATAGCATGTTTGGGACTTCGGGGACCATGCGCGGGGGCCTGCTGGTGGCCTGGCGACCACAAGGGTGAGCACATGGTGGCTCGGTCTTCTTTGGCGCTTGATTATCTCCGGATATCGCTGGGCCAGGGTCGTTCGGACAGCGTGCATTGGTGGGCCGCTGCGGAATGGTGTGGACTCGGACTTCGTGGTTCATCCAGACGCCAGGCGGATCGAAAAACTCGACGGAGGAAATGATGCGGATTTGGGGCTTGTGATTGCGGATCAGATGGCACACTTGTATCCAGATTGTCATGATTAAAGTCGAGATTTATCCAAGGCCTCGGCACTTTTAAGTGTCCCCGAGGCTCGATATTGATAATGCGCGGACCGCAGACCTGTCGCGGTCCATCGATCTTGATTCTTTGAGCATCAACAATCAATGAGGAGGGAATACAAGACAAGGTTGTGAACATGGGCCTTATGTGTGCTGTGATTCTTTACGAACAGAGCTGACCATGCCCCACTCGATGAGGTTTATATCCAGTTTCTGTTCACTTTTTCTCGATAGTCCATTTTGCGTTTCATTTCCAGCCAGGAATCACCTTGGACACCCCAAAATCCTACCTCGAGAGGTACCTTTTTGAGGCCCAAACAAGGTACCTCAGTGGTAGTGGGGGGCTGTGGGCTGGGCGGATGTGGGGGGCCCCATAGGCAGATGTGGGGGGCCCCATGGGCAGATGTGGGGGGGCTCTGGGGGGCTCTGGGGGGGCCCACCCCAGACCCTACCTGGCACGTTAGTGCCCGAAAAAAAAATGCATTTTTTGACCCCAAAATTGCCTATTTTAGAAGATTCTGAGACACTTGGCCAGAACTAGAAATCAGGATAGGGTATTGCTTAAAAATAGAATGTAGCTCAATGCATCCAGCTATAACAAGCCAGTGTAGTAGTTTTAAATATGGCACTTTCTTTTCAGGCTAGGTTTTCCCATTTTTGCACAAAACTTTGTTCTACATCATTTTCCAAGTGATGTCATCATGTGGACTGTTTTGGATGCTGCGCTCTAACGAGTGACCTGATTACCCATGTGTATAGGTGAAACTTGTTCAGTTTTGCGAGGGCTACAACTTTGATTTCCCATCATTTTCTTTGTCAGCATCAGTCACATGCTTCACTGCCATGTTGAATGGCACTACTTTTGATCTCCCATCAATTTTTAATGATACTGATGATGTAAATCTTAATCTCATCTTATCTGTCAGACCCATATTGATGGTATCTGCTTACTCAATTGTAGTTGCTGATAATCAAATTGAAGACTTATCTAATCTTGATGCGGCTGTGTGTGATTGGATCATTATTGCAGCACAGCTTCCATTTTGGGTTGCATGTTCAAGTTACATAATCAGAATTGAACATGTTGAACATGTGACTTCCTTTTTAGGACATTTTGATGCAACTTATAGCAACCCAAAAAGGAAATTCATCTCAATTTTGGAATAGCTCATGCTCATGGTGTGGGTTCTGCCTTAGGTTTTCAGGGTATATTCTACAATGTAATCACTTACATTTGTGCTCTTCAAAGCCACTGCATTGTTATACAATGCCTCCATATCCCAATTCTTTCAGTGATACCCTACCTAGCTTTCCATGACAACACATGCTCCTCTAGGCACATCCCTATCTCTCTCTAACATTCTATGCCTCTCAAAAAATGTACTTCTATCTTAGATCTTACAGTAGAGCCAGCCATTGTATATATAAATGCATAGTAACCATTTCCAACCTATCTTGCTTTGATACATAACCAGTGGTTTCTATACCCCCAATTCACATCAGTCATGCTTTCATTATTACAAAGAAGAGTCAGTGAGATTGATATGGACATAGAAACAAGAATACAGTGGAAGCAATGGTAACAGGTGGGAAATCAAAGTGCCCTTTGTAATGCAGGTATTCTTGCTCCCATAACTCGAAGCAATGTTTCACTTTATTGTACCAACCATTTCGGAAATTTTCCGCACTTCATTGATCTAAAAATCAGGCTGTATCTGTTTCATTTAGGTGCATGTACTTTTACATTGTAAGTGGAATAGGGACTCTCTGGGTGAATTCCACGCCCCCCTGAACATTGCAATGAGTTTTTGGAGTCATATTCTCCCAGAATATGAAATAGATGGCAGAGGGAAACAAAAAAGTGCAATTTTTTCCGCACTTGCATTAGTGCTACCTCTTAATCTTCTTGAGGTATATCAATTCAATATCATGTTGCTTTTTACTATTCCCCTGTCATCTATTTCATATTCTGGGAGAATATGACTCCAAAAACTCATTGCAATGTTCAGGGGGGCGTGGAATTCACCCAGAGAGTCCCTATTCCACTTACAATGTAAAAGTACATGCACCTAAATGAAACAGATACAGCCTGATTTTTAGATCAATGAAGTGCGGAAAATTTCCGAAATGGTTGGTACAATAAAGTGAAACATTGCTTCGAGTTATGGGAGCAAGAATACCTGCATTACAAAGGGCACTTTGATTTCCCACCTGTTACCATTGCTTCCACTGTATTCTTGTTTCTATGTCCATATCAATCTCACTGACTCTTCTTTGTAATAATGAAAGCATGACTGATGTGAATTGGGGGTATAGAAACCACTGGTTATGTATCAAAGCAAGATAGGTTGGAAATGGTTACTATGCATTTATATATACAATGGCTGGCTCTACTGTAAGATCTAAGATAGAAGTACATTTTTTGAGAGGCATAGAATGTTAGAGAGAGATAGGGATGTGCCTAGAGGAGCATGTGTTGTCATGGAAAGCTAGGTAGGGTATCACTGAAAGAATTGGGATATGGAGGCATTGTATAACAATGCAGTGGCTTTGAAGAGCACAAATGTAAGTGATTACATTGTAGAATATACCCTGAAAACCTAAGGCAGAACCCACACCATGAGCATGAGCTATTCCAAAATTGAGATGAATTTCCTTTTTGGGTTGCTATAAGTTGCATCAAAATGTCCTAAAAAGGAAGTCACATGTTCAACATGTTCAATTCTGATTATGTAACTTGAACATGCAACCCAAAATGGAAGCTGTGCTGCAATAATGATCCAATCACACACAGCCGCATCAAGATTAGATAAGTCTTCAATTTGATTATCAGCAACTACAATTGAGTAAGCAGATACCATCAATATGGGTCTGACAGATAAGATGAGATTAAGATTTACATCATCAGTATCATTAAAAATTGATGGGAGATCAAAAGTAGTGCCATTCAACATGGCAGTGAAGCATGTGACTGATGCTGACAAAGAAAATGATGGGAAATCAAAGTTGTAGCCCTCGCAAAACTGAACAAGTTTCACCTATACACATGGGTAATCAGGTCACTCGTTAGAGCGCAGCATCCAAAACAGTCCACATGATGACATCACTTGGAAAATGATGTAGAACAAAGTTTTGTGCAAAAATGGGAAAACCTAGCCTGAAAAGAAAGTGCCATATTTAAAACTACTACACTGGCTTGTTATAGCTGGATGCATTGAGCTACATTCTATTTTTAAGCAATACCCTATCCTGATTTCTAGTTCTGGCCAAGTGTCTCAGAATCTTCTAAAATAGGCAATTTTGGGGTCAAAAAATGCATTTTTTTTTCGGGCACTAACGTGCCAGGTAGGGTCTGGGGTGGGCCCCCCCAGAGCCCCCCAGAGCCCCCCCACATCTGCCCATGGGGCCCCCCACATCTGCCTATGGGGCCCCCCACATCCGCCCAGCCCACAGCCCCCCACTACCACTGAGGTACCTTGTTTGGGCCTCAAAAAGGTACCTCTTGAGGTAGGATTTTGGGGTGTCCAAGGTGCAGGAATTCACGGAACATCGCGTTTCGTCATGGACAGTGTGGGATCCAATGTGATCCATACTTCGCACCGCATCGCGCTTGTAGTCATGATTCGTTGCTTCGCTTATAGAAGACACTAAACGCATGCACCGTTGTGTGCTTTCCTCCTCGAGTTGCCTGGCTCACACACAGGAAGAAAAACATCTGATTTTATTCCGGATCTCATCGATGTTCTGGCTGGGTTGAGACAGCGACGCCTCACTGACCGGGTGTCTGGTACAGGCCACAACTGAATTTCGATGCACGGCAGATATTTCAGGGAACATTTGATCAAGGGATTGGCCAGACGGCACACCTTGATGGCATTAATCGCTCACAGATCTTGCCAGTCTGCTTTTCGAGTTGCAAATGTGCGGTAAATTCTCACAGAAATACACGTACTGACGAACAACGGCAAATTCGTCCCACGAGAACAGCTCCTGCGCGCATCCTTTCCACGTTCGATCCTGTGCTGACTCAAATAGAGCTCCCATCAATTTCGCACCAGGATTTGAGAGGTTTGACCTAGGAGCCTGACTGAAGGTTCTCAGAATTCGATGAGAAACCTGTGCACATGAGATCTCGATTAACTGGAGCTTGTCGTAGTTGCAATTTTTTTTCGAGCCAGAGAGATGACATACATTGGAACATACATTATACATGGTACAGAACAGGTGGCTTTTCACTCAAGCTTGCACTGCGAGTGTCAGAATCCGCGGTACGGGGTCTGATAATTCGGTGCAAGCATCGCGGAGCTGCTGGCAGAGCCGGGGCCTACTGCTCCTGCATGATAAGAGCGTAAAAACTCCTTGACACGCCGGTCCTGCGATCAGACAAATTCATTCATGTCCGCAGCGAGATTGTCCAATTGCACATACCATCTCGGCTTGCTTGGTGCGCAGTTGCTGAATTTAATTAGAAACTGGGATCAAGTTCAAAAATTCAACACACTTGTTGGATGGTGGCGTAGGGCACGCCAGACATCTGCTGGTCTCTCAGACGGCGCTGCAACAATTCAGCGCGCAGTCAATGGTTTGAAATGGCTGACTCCTGACCGTGAAATCGGACTGATAATAAACCGATTTGACCGGGTCGAAGATGATGAGCCCGGGATACAACTCCACAACGTGGCGCGCCAGTGCTTTGCAGGTGTCGCAAAAGGCCCGACGCTTCTTGTTTCGGAAGTACTGGGACTCGGAATCCAGGACACGGAATTCTCTGTTACCGCTGGAGAACCGGCCAGGCATGGAAAACCATTCAGAACATTGGCCACAGGGGTTTAACCCAACATCGAGGTCACGCAGCTCGGGAAATTTCCAGTGAAACTGAGGAGGAATCTTGTTCAGCCTTTGTTGCGCGATGTCGTTGGAGGGATTCCCCCGCTGTGTCGGAGTGGATGTTCCATAGGAGATCTTTGGGGGCGCGCTGTCCACGAAGAAAGAACCGCTCGCCATAGCGGGCAGAGTCAGATTATGATGCTCGTCAGTGTATTTGTCGATGAACGCGCCTAGGTCACGGGGTTCCCCAGCGTGATCCTCTGAATATCGCCGGACCCAAGCATCGGGTGGATACTCGCCTGGAACGACGGCGCGGTCGGGAAGAAATCCTGGAGGGTAGTGCACAGGATCCCAGGACAGTCCTGTTCGGAATGAAGGCGTGTCTTGGTTTT